ATTTTGAAAGTCATAATAAATTTGTATATGATAACACTAAATCATGTGTCAAACAAGGAAACAATATGTCAGGTCTGTTCAATTGTAATGTCTGGGTAAAACAAGGGGAAAATTTATCCCCATTTTTATTTGCAATTTATCTAAATGATTTAGAAGATTTTTTTCTAGAAAATGATATCAGATGTCTCCAATCAATTAAAAACTTGGGTAATGACATAGGTATATATATTAGATTGTTTCTTATTTTGTACACAGATGATACTGTTATAATTTCTGAATCAGCAGATGGATTACAATCTGCACTTAACACGTTTCAAAATTATTGTAATGAATGGAAACTCACTGTCAACACTCAAAAAACTAAAATTGTTATATTCTCTAAAAGAAAATATGATACAGGAGGTCAGTTTTTACTCTGTAATGAAGAACTTGAAATCTTGGAATCTTTCTCATATTTAGGTGTTTTATTCAACTATAATGGCTCTTTTGTCAAAGCAAAGGATAAACTTGCACAACAAGCGAAAAAAACTTTATTTGCTGTGTATAGAAAGATTAGAAACATTTCTTTACCAGTTGATCTACATTGAAGATTTTTGATTCCCTTGTACAACCTATACTCCTATATTCAGTAGAAATATGGGGATTTGAAAATACAAATATTATTGAGAAAATTCACTTGCAATTTTGTAAACGTATTTTGAATTTGAGATGCAGTACAGCGAATTATATGGTTTACTGTGAATTAGGTCGATACCCATTAAGTATCGAAATTAAATGTAGAATGGTTATGTTTTGGTATAGTTTGATATCTAGTAATAAGTTATCTAGTAACATTTATAAATTATTGTATTATCTACATGAAAATGGAAACAAGAGTTTCAAATGGATTACTTACGTGAAAAATATATTTTCCAAAACTGGTTTAAACTTTGTATGGAATCTACAGGAAATGTGCACAATAAGTAAAGCTACTTTAAAATCTATATTAAAACAACGACTAAGGGCCAGTTTATTCAGAAATGGTTTAACGATATAGATGTGTCATCTAGAGGACAGATATACTCAATTTTTAAGTCTAAGTTTCAAATAGAAGATTATCTGATGAAATTAAATGAAAGAGACAGGAAGTATATTTTAAAATTACGTACATCAAATTTGCATTTACCCATAGAAACAGGGCGATGGAACGGTACACCTTGTCAGGATAGAATGTGTAATTTGTGCTCTAGAGATATTGGCGATGAGTATCATTATTTATTTATTTGTGAACATGTATTGGTATGTCAAATCCGACATTTATATATTCCAAAATATTACTGTATATATCCTAGTCGTACGAAAATGGAAGGTCTTTTTTCTCCGTGTAACGTTTGCTAATTCATATTCATAGATTTCTAGAAAAACTTGAAAAACTTCTGAAAATATGAAAATTCAACGTTTATATGTATACATGTATCAAAACTGTTATTATTGTGTTCCGCCATGTTTAATATTTGTTGTTTATATGTGACCTCTTGTAACACACTCTGTGTGTCTGAGCGTACAATAAAATCTGAAATCTGTAAATCTCGCGTTACGTTTTGCCTGTCGATGTACACTTGTATACGTATACCGGGTATAGCGCGTGTGTGCTGTACGTGAGTCGTGGTCAACTACAAACTGGACATGTGACACTTGACAGACTTTGACGAAGTTGTTAGATTGGTTGAAAGTTTCTGTCTTGTGGGTTTCTTTTATTGTCCTTAGTATTTCGGTACGTTTGAGTTTTATCTCTCCAAGTGAACGGTTGGATTCTTTTGTCAGGAAGACTGTCTCTGTATTCTTCAGTGTAAGTTTAATACATTTTTTTTTATATTTCCAGTTGTTTCCCTAGTTTACCTCTCTGGTCGAATGAGTAATTGTGTAAGTGAAATATTAGTAAATTATCTAAAAATGTAATTGATCAGTATATTGTCATCAGTGTTTCATGTAGCGTATACGTGCACGGTAATGTTTCTTGTGATATTTCTTAAAACGGTACGTTCTGTGATTAGGTTGTATTTGAATATTGTAAGTAAGAATATGTAATGTATTCATTGTAGCATTTGTACCTGCTATTGTGATGTCAACTCCTTGACTAAATTATGTAATATCATCTGTGCTGTTATATATTATAGTTAAATATTTGTGTAGAGTGATACTATTTTCATTTCTTTGTTAACGTTGTGATTTGTTGGAGTTTGAATTGTCAATAGATGTCATATGGTGGGAGAGTCGGGTTTTATTTCTTTCTATATGTTTCAGAATGTTTCTCTCTCTTGTAATAAAACATCGAACCCAGCTGCTCTGATCATACCGCTACAGATATTTTACTATATTTACAATGTGGAAGTTAAGTTAAACACAATTGTTACAGGTTGTCTATACCATGCTCAAATAAAGACATGAAATCTGTTCAGAGTTCTGACCATAGTTTACTGTCGAACCGAAAGAGCATGAACTCCGTACAAAAATAAAACAATATAACTACAGTATACATAAGCACCAGGCAAATATAACTAAAAACATATTAGTATGGAACATCACTATCATTTCAATAAAATATGATACGCTAATATAATAATTGATTACTAGCGAGTAACTCTATACAGTATAACGATATCTACACGAACTATGTCCAGGTAAATACGGACATAAAGTATATAGAATAGATACAGTACAAGTATAAACAGTATCTGTAGTTATGTGAAATACATCTTATATAGATGAACCGGCTAAATTACCTGTGTGTGACGTAAAGTACGTCTACATTCTGATATTGACACACACACACACACACACACTCTCTCTCTTACACACACACACACACACACACACACACTCACCATATATATATATATATATATATATATAAAACATACAGAGAGAGAGAGAGAGAGAGAGAGAGAGAGAGAGAGAGAGAGAGAGAGAGAGAGAGAGAGAGAGAGAGGATGGCATAATAATTAAAATACTAAAAACAAAACAAACAAATTATTTTCAAAATACTGTATATAGTTTATCGGCACTTCATTAGTGGGTCAGTATATTTTTCTTGAAATCACAAATTACAAACTTTCTCCCATTTTTTCCATTTCTTTTTGAAATTTTCCATGGCAATTTCACCTTGACTATTAGCAGTGTATTTTTGTGAATTATAATGGTATTTTATTGTGATAATAAGACTATTAATGTTCAGAGAGTTGTGAAGGCATCGCATCTTGTATATATATTGTTTGATTAGAAGAAGTGTTTCATTGTCAACTTTGTGTATATTGAGATTTGGTGATGTCAGTCCAAAAATGAAAGATTGTTTATTGAAATCAAATGGAATGAATAGAGCTTCTAGTAAAATTTTAAAGCTATCAAGTATTTTTTTAACTTCTTTACACTCCCACAAAGTATGTATTATTGTTTCAGTTTCTGCATTACATAAAGTACACAACGGAGAAATAACAAGATGTTATTTGAAAAGAAAGAATTTCTTGTTAAGATATGGTGGTCAACTCTGTACTGAAACCATTGTAGCTTTGTGCTTCTAGTAACAGAGAAAGGAATTTTGTATATTTGATCCCAAGTTAAATCATTCAGATCAAAAACTTTGTTCCATTTCCTTTTCCCTGTTGGTATAGTGTTGTTTTTTTTATCAAAATGTTGTAAAAATCTTTGGAGCCTTTTCTTTTCATCATAAATATTTCTAAATTTGTTGGTATAAAAGGATATGGGGGTTTTGAGTTTGGGATTTCATTGGAAGATAGAAACTTTTTCACAGCTCATAAAATGCTGTGGTAATGAAGGAAGTTTGTTGTCACATCATATGTGTGAAGAATTTCCTGATAACTGTAAAAACTCCCTAATTCATGATTTTTTATCAAGTCATTTATGACAATAATATTTTTTTCAAAAAGATTTTTAGAGAAAACTGATTTCTTACCAACAGTTATATTTCTGTTGTACCAAATAGGTGTTTTTAAAATAGAATCTCCTTTTGGGGTATTTTTTTTCATTAATCAATGTTAATTTGTTCCAGGCTTTAAAAACATCAATCCAAAACTTACTTTTAATTTTTTGCTGTACAAAGTCAACACTACAGTTTGCTAATAGGTCTATATTAACAGTATTTTTCAGAATTACTTGCCATTTAGCTGTGGTCTGAAAAAGCCTTCAAATCCAACCTAGTTTTAAAGAAGTCTGCAAAGTTACAAATGAAATATATAACTTATGAGTACAAATGAATAGACTGTAATTCTAATGAAAATATCAGAATGTAGATTTAAATAAATGACATTCAAGAAGATCCAAATAGATTAATTTGAAATAACGCAACATCGTAAAGATATGAAAATACAGGTAAGTATAATCGTAATGTTTACAATACCTAGATCATAGTGCCCATACTAATGATCAAATACAATAACATTAGGTGGGAGTGTAAAGGATATTAGAATAACAAAACTTACTTTACTGACTTGCAGGTATTTCACGATTACTATTACCAAAGCGTCCGATCCATCCGTCGGTCAGTCAAACAATGACCGGAACTTACAAAAACCGTGAAATCAAAAGAACCAATAAAATAAGGCATAAGACTGTGACGTACGACAAAATTAAGCTGACCAATGACCACACGACACTATTTAAAAAGGCAATAACGAGACTAACCACTTAAGTCTACACGTGACGAATGAACAAGATACAGTATAGACGTAAACTAATGAATAAGATTTATTAGTTACGGAGACAATACAATTCACATTATATTAAAAGTCGGTCCTGCCACACAATCTTTGTTTTATGCGTGCCATTGCAATAAGATAATTAGAACTCTGAGACCTGTCCAGCATTTGTTTTGATAGAAAATGCAGCTCTTCGAACGCGCCCTATACAAACTATTTCCACACGAATGCGCATAATTGTATCAACATCCGGTACGAGAGAAAGCGAACAAAAGGAAGAAGATATGCGATAATCCGGAGATAAACGCGTGTATGAAGGCTAAATCAGGGTACGAATGTGATCAGATGATTTGCATCACGGTAAGTTTGCCATACGTTGTGTTATATGATACATTAAATCCGTTATTGAGGCCTAGCTACTACATGAACTTTTTAGGAGATGGACAAACCGTGTATATCCGTCTTTATAAAGCTACAGCAAATATGTTAAAATGATCAAGCCGGCTATATCTTAGCATCGTCCCATTTGGGAAAGTTAAAACATACATCGAAAATGCTAAAATGTGTCCCTCGTAAGTTCCATATGAATTTATAAATGTTTTAGAGGAAATAACTCTTATATAAATCATAGACCGGACTAGAGCTCTACCGTAGTATTTTGGTGTCATCATTTATTAATAATTATTATCATTATTAATGTCATTCATGTACAACGTGCACCATGAGTGTTTTAAATTATATTTTTAAGAAAATTGTTTATAGAAAGTATAGTTTAGTCTGACAATTGCGGGTCCGAGTGATATATAGAGCGACGATAATTCATTGTATAGTGGGGCATTATATAGTACGATACACTTATATATTTCTTTAGTACTATTTTGATTTACGTTATGAAAGGGTTTCTTTGGGAAAATCAACAAGGAAAAGGGGGTTAGGGACATCTTTAGGGGGACACATACAGAAATAAAGATTTTTTAGTGGGACGATGGTCGGAGTAGAGCGACGACCATTCGTGGTATAATTCACAGAACATAATTATGATAATTGGCGCTATATTTGATTCTATAACCCCTGCAAGTAATGGTATGTTACATGTCCATTAACAAATCGAATATCATGTACTATTAAAACCACTGTCCCACTAAAAATCTCTATGTGAGATTGTCGTTGTGTGATAAGTCTACAGATCAATTTAACATTTGTTCAGTCAAATAACTTATCAACAATGTAAGTATGAAAAAATGTCTATTCTATGAAGAGAAACTGAGTTTTATTTCGTCAACCATATTCGCAATATAGAATGAAGCAATAAATACTACTCCGACCATTGTCCCACTAAAACAAATTTTTGCCTTCCCCCCTCCGCTTTCCCTCAAAAATATGTTCCTAGCCTCAATTTCCTTGTCGATACCCCCAAAAGTAAGACCTTTCAAATTGTAGAATGAGAAAAGAAAGTAAAGAAATATTGAACTGTATCGTAGTATAGAATGAAGCGTATAAAAAGCAATGATTGTCGCTCTGTATACTACTCCGACCATTGTCCAACTAAAAAAATCACTATAAGATTGTCATACTGTGAAAAGTCTTTTGCATAGTACCATTTATGGACTGATCCTTGAAAAAACATAGCCAAAAGGCGGCCATCTTGGATTTTTACAATAATAGTTATCACAATTTTCATATGTAGATTTCCTTTGGTTCTTAGTTGTGTGTCACTATCGGCTGCATTACCAGAAATAAATAGGTCGGTTTTTGACGAGTAATTGCTGCAATACATAAATAAAAAATATTCAGTTCTAGAATTAGTTTATTGAAAAATAGTATACGAATAATAATAACAATGTGTTGTCAATAACTAAGATAGACCGTAGGACCCATGAAATAGACCGTGCGACCCCATGAAGTAGACCGTGCGACCCCATGAAAATACGACTGATGTCACCTGTGCTATAGACTCTTGTGTAGCATTCATTGACATTTAATTAAAACTTACCGATGGAATGCATCAGCTGGTAACATTGTTGGTCCAATTCGATTTTTTATCTCTGTATCAGCGCACGGTTATAGTTATTTTTGAGGATAGGACTGAAGTTTTTCCGATCTTACTAAATTAAGTACAGCTTCCCAAAAGTTGGTAAATGTGTACGCTGTGTGCCAAAATTGCATCTGAAGCCTGAGAAACCCTATGTTTTTAGTGCATATTGCTCAAATTAACAACTTTGATGGTATGTAAATATCAACATCTGACACATATCTGTTAATATGATTTGGATATAACTCTTTGAAATTACCCATCCAAATTATTTGTCACTTTTTGGTTGAATCAGGCGTTTACACGCATACCCTTTTCACATCTTTAACGAAGTTCAGAGTGTTTCAATAATAACATCATGTATTTCTTTTGTTTCAGCACATACGTATATACGTCTGGCATCGACGTTAAGGAGCAAATACTCGACGACAGAGATAAGGAGACGTGCCCCATTATATTTACAATATCTGAATTATTGTTCCAGGAACGTGAAATCTATAGCTTGAATCTTATAAATTAGAGTATCAAAACCTTTGCCGTAATCCCCATTATTCGGGAACATAGGAAACATTGTGAGCATCTGAATGCACATCATGCAAGAATTGACAATAAGAAATCAAAGACGCCAGCAGTACAAATAATAATTCAAAAATATATAAGCCTTATACAATAGGATATTTTTGTTGTAGAAATAAGTAAAATTGATGACAAATAATCGGGATTGACCAAAACATAATCGTGTTCCATGACGGGTTCGGTGAATAGACAGCCTGGGGCTGGGGCAATGATGAAACAAGTCAAGATTCATCGTATAACAGGGGTAGCACTGAAGTTACACAGCATCAGGACACACAAACAAATAAGAATTCGTATGATACTCAACCAAACGTAGGAGTGAACAGTCACAGAGACATATCTTTATCAGATAAAATTACGTCGACTGATTTAGGAAACGGAAGGACAAGGATTGAGTATACCGATGACGTTAATCCTAGTATGCTTGTTAATATGTCAAGACATGACTTACAAATTTCAACAATGAAAAACAATCCGATTGAAGATTTCCAGGAAAGAACAGATCTGATCAATAAACTACCAGACATTTTAGAAGCAAATACTAATGAATTACAGCAGTGTCCAAGTGATTTACATAGTGTCACAGGGAAGGTATGTCAACGACTTGAAACGTTGACCAGTGAAAGTCCAATCAAATGCAAAATTTGTGGAAAAGTTTTTACCAAGAAGAAGAGTTTAGAAACACACCTTAGGACACACACAGAAGAAACTCCCTTCAATTGTGATATATGTGGAAAAGGATTTAAGTTTTCTGCAGCTTTAAAGAGACATCTACGAGTTCACACAGGTGAAAAACCTCACGGATGTGATGTATGTGGGAAGAAATTTGGTAGCAAAGGACATCTAAAGGAACATTTGATAACCCATACGGGAATAAAACCTCATAAGTGTGAAGTGTGTGGCAAGGAATTCGGCCAAACAGGAGACTTAAAGAAACACGCCAAGATTCACACAGGGGAAAGACCATATGTATGTGAAATATGTGGAAGGGGTTTCGGTCGATCTGGGCATCTGAAAACACATCGCATTATACATACTGGAGAAAAACCATATACATGTGATTTTTGTGGAAAAAACTTCAGTCGAGCAAGTCATTTAAAAGGACATTTGACGATTCACACGGGTGAAAAACCATTTGTATGTAAAATTTGTGGGAAGGATTTCAACCAGTCTGAAAATCTTAATCAACACTTAAAGATACACACAGGCGAAAAACCCTTCAAGTGTGATGTTTGTGGAAAGGAAGTGAGTCAGAAAAATACACTGATTGCTCACCTTCGCATACATACAGGAGAAAAACCTTTCAAGTGTGATATTTGTGAAAAAGAATTCGCTTGGCAGGACAATTTGAAACGACACCTGATGGTACATGCTGAGGTGAAAACATTTAAGTGTGAAACATGTGGAAAAGGTTTCAACAGAAAGGAACATCTGAAACGACATATTGTTTGGAGACATCAGGGAAAGAAGATGTTTAAATGTGGTATCTGTCAGCAAGAGTTTACAGAAAGTGGAAACTTAAAACGACATCACATCAGAAAGCATTCTGCTAAGACACATAATGACATTGGACATTAGGAGCTATTGATGCAACCATTAAGATACCTCATAGATAATTTCACTTAATTCATAATAATGTATTATAATTTTCTGAATTGACCCTAAGAATTTATAACTCACGTTGAAGGCAGTAATATTTACGTAATGTTATCAACCCCTGGCATGAATGTTATAACATAATTACAAAATTCCACATATACATACAAGTAGGTAGATATGCATTTACTGATTTAGCTATCACTGCATGAGTCTGTTGTTAAGAATTTGCGTATAATATAATTTGAAAGTATTGATATTGGTCAATACAAATGAATTATTCATAACCCTTTAACAATTTTTTAAACTTGATAGGTATTTATGTAAGTGAAAGTTAAAAGAGAAGAGAAACATTGAATCGAAATACTAAGCATACATTCAACTTACTTTGCCAGGAACACAAAATTGATACATGTACATTAGAAGATCAGTGTTAAGGGTGGACTCCGCTGATGTTTAACAGGAAGTAGGACATAATTAAATGTAAAAAAATTCCAACGTAATATCCTGGCCTCTCGTTTTTAGGATTTTAGGATACGTTATCTATGGTTGTACTTACAAGTTGAAAACGGATGTTTTAAACGGCGTCTTAAAGAAATTTCGTTTGTATATTTTTGGCAAATACTGTTAGCAATGATTCTGGTAAATGTGTTCAATTTCCGTTTAGTACCTTATCGATTCTGTCAGGACCTAGCCATTAATACTTCAACGACGGAAGTTAATGATGGTCAGTTCACGATCATCAATTGCGTCTCTACCACCACTTAGTCTGAACTCCCCCCACCACCACCACACACAGAGTAAAACTCACGAAAAAAATATGCATGGCCTACACTTCATGTGGTTGTGTCCACATTTATTAGGTACAGTGTAATCCCCATTTAAGTGATTCAAGTTTTGTAACATTTGATATGATTATTTTCGTATGATTTACACTATACAGATAAAAACTACTAACAATGAAGTAGTTGTACACTGTATTTCATTAAGGTATATAGAGGGCACCTCTACAAATCAGCGAAAAACACACCATATGTGAGGTATTTGTCTTCATATGAACGATATCCACATAAAATATCGTATCATACGTTTTAAATAAACTGTATCCATAAGTTTTGTTCTGTTTTCTACATTGCTCTTTTTATCTCATCACTCATTTCCACTCTTGGTGTTCCTCTTGACACTGTCCTTTTGTTCTGAAGGGGTATGCCATTTACAAGATGGATTTAAGAATAAATCACATCGCATTTAATATTAACGGTAAAGATGAAAATCTGAAATCGACGCCTGTCAAAATATATACATAAATAGGTGCGAAAGTACAGGTAGTATAAGTAAATCCCAGGAACAATCAGAACAATTAACAACTTCCATGGTATTACAAATAATGACAATAGGAAACAACTACGGAGCAGATAACAGATACATACAATCTTATAATCTTGTCTGAGTAAAAATCAATTAATGACAGTGAATTCTTGTATAAATTACAGAAATAAATCAATATTAAGTTCATGTGAATAGGGATACACACATATTTAAAAGTTTACAAAGTATAAATGAACTTCGACTATTTTCATGTTTTTTCTGTCGTTAATGCAGTGTAATATTTCCTGTAAATGTTACCAGACTCGAGATAAATATAAAAATAACTATTGAATAAACATGAGGACAATGATAAAAGTACATTTAAGATTATGTATTAAAAAAAAAAAGATATTTAATGTATTTTATAAACATTGTTATTTTATGAAATGCTAATTTAACTAGTACATGGGTATGCTCTAATGCATGCCAATGTCGGGACAAATTAAAACATGGCATGCAAGTCCACCAGCAGTATCCACCACCTGGATATAGAAAATTGTATAAAAGACAAGAGAAGGGCATCTTTCACTATATATTGATAGTTTACTACAGCAGAGCCAAATAATGAATTAAACTGCATCACACAGCAGTCTTTGCAGGCTCATCAATGAAGTGCTCCAATGTTACAGATTTAGCAAGGTTTTCCTTCAGAAATGTATATTTTCGATATTTGATCGAATAGTTACACATGAAAAAATAAGTTTGACAAGTAAATAATAAGTACGGGTAACAGGTGTAGTTATGTACACAGGGAATTACAACTCTACTACACGTCACCTTTGTAGTTCGTGAGTTGTAAATGATAAAACCTATTTAGGTATTAAGGAAATGACATGATTTATATATACTTGGAAGCACATTTACATGTAATAATGCCGCCCACAGATGTAAGAACGCAATCGCAAGACTATGAAATAGGTTCCCTGTGTGTTTACATTGCATTCCTCTGGACAGCATCTAGATACATTCAAAGATGAACGTCGTGTTGATTTCTTTGCTGTTTGGTGCCGTATTGTACACAGAAGGTATGATAAATATCATAGAAACCAAACAGACAAATGGAACTTTTGTAACCTATTTTACATTGTAGATATGTAGGGTAATGAAAAATTGATTAACACGATTCAGGAAAGGTTTTGACGGATAAAAGTAGTATGTTACATAGTTGTAACCTACATATAGGTTTTCTCCTGAATTTTATCTTCCACTTTACGGAAAGTCACACATCCAATCTAGAGTATTTCGACATCTTCTATAGACCCAGTGGTTTCCTTTTTCTTTTGATTCCCTTTTTTCTATAGTCTGTGTAGTTTGTCCCTTTTATCAGCGACTATTTTGGTCTTTTTGTTTGCTAGTTTTTGACATGTCCTTTCCTTGGGTTTTAGTATAGTATTTGTTTCAAAGTGACAAGAAAGGACTTTGAAATGTATTTGTTATCTGTTCTGATAAATTCTACATATTTTGCTATCAGACTCAACACAAAGATAATGACAACTCGAAATGCCATCATTTTGCATGGCTTTGGACGTACAAATCACATCTGTCATGTAGATATGTGCAAACTTAACATGACTTTACATGCCTGTGCTTAACTGACTGCAATTGGTCAGCATTGCGTTTGTGGTGCAACAGGAATCATTTTCCTCTTCAAGAATATATCATTTCTTCAGAAGAATCTTGTGTTATGACTTTCATTGTGCTTTTTGCTATTACCCCAAATGTTATAGCTGTCACATCAATATTGCACAAATGCGAGTAATTAATAAAAGGAGATGATTAATTATGTTGAAAATTTCATTTTCATTTATATTAATGAAAAACCCAAAGTGAAAAATATGTCTTGGTTTCGTAACCTTTAAGCTATATAGGCTTGTTGACACGCTTTCCATTTCAGTGGCTGGCTGGCAGACACCGTGAAAAAATCCTGGTATGAAGCAACGGTAAGATAATTTCACGCTGAAGGAAATGTTCATGGTGCTGTGAATTTTGATTACTAAACTAAGCTTGTAATATAATTGACAAAGGAAAATATCAATTAAATCAATTGTTCGTGTAATTGCGGATTTATGCACGAATTATAATAATTACAAACATGTGCAAAAAAAAGAGTAAATGCCTATGTTTCTGTGATGAAATAAAATGAAAATCTGCATTTAAATTCTTTTCGTATTATATAATATGTTTAAGCGACGTTACGAGTTTTTCCGGTCAAAAACATTCTTTTACAAAGTGATCTTTTTTTATTACACAGTAAGAATGTGCCAGACTCGGAGGAGCTCTTGTCTCCTTTAACTCTCAAAAGGAGTTATGGTGGGTCAAAGGTTACGTCAAAGAGCTATGTAATAGTAAATATTTTACCAAGACCACGATTTTTAAATATATTTTATACATTGATGATGGTTCTACAAACCCTACAAACTCAACGTGAAAAGTTTATCACTATTGAAAATTGAAGATATAACTTAATGCAATGAGACAACCATCAGTAATTTGATTTTCTTGGAATGGGATTGGGGTTGAATGGATGTTGGTGGCTGGATGATAAGTAGTAATTGGTGGTACAATAACAAGGACGTCGTAAAACAGATCTTATGGAAAACGTATTAGGTATTTTCTCAAGGGTTTCCATCAAGATCTGCTAAGTATAAGTGAGGCGTATCGAGTGGAAATTACCTTGCTTTAACAAATCCATTAAATAACACTTGGTACTTATATCTAGAAAGAAATTACTGGTTCAGTGGAAATGACGTCAGACATGAAGGGATATGGTCGTGGAACCCTAACACTGGAGAAATAAACCGAGACTGTAGAGACTGGGCACATGGCGAGCCAAACAGCTGGAGAGGACTCGAACAGGACTGCGCTCTAATGTGGGCTAGCAGGGGCTACAGTTGGGACGACGAACAGTGTCATCTACCTAAGGAGTACATCTGTGAACGACACATGGTAAATATACTAAAACTAACATATTCTTGGTGTTTGTAATATACCGAGAGAATTGGTCATACGTTTTCTTTGTGAACTGAACCGAATACTCATACAGTCGTTGGTTAGGTTTGGTTGGCTGTTTACATGTTTACAGCCTATTCATTTTCACGGCCGACACACGTCAGTGTCCAGGCTTCATGCGATTATATGTGATTCTCATCATAGTGTGAAACCGTCTTACCGATGTACCAATATAGAGTAGATTTTGCAATTGATTCCAGCCCTTATGTGGCTATATCCTGATAAATACTGGAAATCTTAGGTAGCCTCGTCACATCCACGTCTAGATTTCCCGGAAAGGGAGTCAAAGGATTGGGCGTGGTCTTAACAATTTGAAACAATCAAAATAAATTTTGAAGTCCATCTTATTTCCTAATAACAAATATATATTATTTGTATATCGGGCCTATCCCTTTTAATGTGCTCACTTACGTCACATTTTATGACTGTGTATATGCAGCAGTGTAAACATACATGATTCTTTGGTTGTTCTGGAAGATAAGATAGGATGATTTAAGATAATACTGGATAATTGAGATTACTTACGGATTACGGTAAAGTGTGTTAGATTATGTTATTATATTAACTCTTAGCAGTTGTTTTAATAAGTTTCAACCAAATTCTCAAGCATTTTTACGTTTTTGTCTCAAATTTTTGTCATATTCTTTTGTCAACTTTCATCATTCTATTATTTTATTTGTACTTGAGAAAATGAGTCTGAAAATCACAAATATAATTGTTATCAAAAATCTACATATCAGTATTCCTAGTAAGTCACTTCCTTAATTTAGTAATGTTTTCACACCACGTAATAAACCAATCCGTTGTTTTTCAGTTTTCAGAGACAGTATGCTCCTGTCGGATCTAAAAGGACTGCAATTTCCTTCAGATGTACAAACACAAATGTGTCAGGGAAACAGATTAAACTGTCACCATTTTTTACTTTGTTGTAGTTTATTTCTCAAGTCATTATCATTACCAATCACTCACGATGACGTTAATCATACATATTATACTGTAATATACTACGGATTTCGTAACAAATATGGACACTTTTGATTTGGAATCACCACCTCAGAATTTAGTAGAATAAACAAATTTAACTTGTAGATGACTTCCGTCGAATTATCATATAAGCGATTTACAATTCTGCCTGGTCGTGTTTCCTTTTTCATTTTACCAGTCTGAAATTTGCTGACCCACCTGAAAACAGTTTTCCGAAACGGTAAAAGTGTCAAGTGTATTGCGCAACTCTGCTTGTGTCTTTTTTTAATGTACATGGACAAGGCGGGTATTTAATTTAATATCAGTCTCAGTGGAGAAGTGCCTTACTTGTTCAATTCATAGCGATTTTTGTGTTAAAGATTTCACACGTGTATTGCTATTACTGCCTTTGTGATATGTTTATCATTGCCTGTTTGTACCACGTAACAATGACTACTTATTGAATTTCCCTTTTACACACAAACAAATGAAAATATTATCCTTTGCAGGTCAAAGGCCATAAAACTCCTTGGCACATATAGATGTTATGAACATGCCCATTCCATAATGATTCCGTCCTCAAAGGCAACGTCATTATAACCATGGATATTGAAGGGGAACGATTTACACATAAGACTCCTGGAAAATTATTAAGAGAATAAGCATCTTCTGCTTCATCGACGACATCACCATATAAAGTTTGGTCAATCCAATCTCAAATGGGAACAAGGTATACAACAACGGAATCAACAGGCAAATTAATGAGCATCAAATTCCCCAAGCTTCATTTCACGAAGAACTGAGAGAATATTTCTCAATGAGATCACTATGGCGACAATAAAACTTTCCCATAATTTTCATTAACCTGCATCTCCATCAATTGACGACTTCTTGCACGAAAATCATGATAATGGGAACAGATCCTTGAATATCGAATCGGAAATGGAAAATTCACAATAGAGGATTTGAAATCACCACGCTTATCATACAGCTTGATGAAAAGCTGTCCATGTTGGTTTCGTTGTAATAAATAATCGATGTAGAAGGGACTATGGTATCCTTGATTTTCCTTTAATTTGAATTTGCAAGATCTTTGTGAGTGTTTTGATAAGCTCTTCAATAAACTCAGCCTCGTGAGAAAACAAGTCAGCCAACAGAGGGGCGCAGTTAGTTTCCAGGTATGCCAATAGTCTGTTGGAAGATCTTTCCACCAATCTCGACGAAGATGTTGTCGACCAGAAACTCCTCCGTATATTCCTTCTTTGATTTGGACGGTTTTTTTCCCAAGAAATACGCTTAAGTATAGTTCACAATTATATATTCATATAGCCGTTCATCTTTCTTCGAGAATAAATGCCCATAACAAGAGAAAAATGACGTTCTTTTTGTATGGTGGCGTACATGGTGAAAAAGATTAGTCAAAAACTCTTGGGAGTTCTTCAAAATCCATATACTATTAATTCCGCTTCTTGAGTAAACAGTATCACTACTAAGGCTAATCCAGATTTCATAGTGCGTACAATGGTATATATTAGTTTTGGTAAAGGCTAGGTAGTTGTGAAGTTTAGGAATCCAATATAAACGAGGGATGTCCGTATCCTTATCACTAATACTAATTTTGTGAATACCTAATAAAGACTATAATAAAGATATCGTCAGGTGTCTAACACATTTGAACTATTTCGCATTTGCCCGTGTGACGAAAACTACAAGTGAATTATGCTTTAATTCTTCCTGATGACAATTGTGAACTGATATTATTGATAATGAGACTTCAACATGTACGAAACTCAGTCGCCCGAAATATTTCAATTTTTTGAAAGGTCATATGCCAGAAAGTAATCTGAGGCAAAAATATAGAAATAATATATATGTTGCTTCAATGTTTTCATTGCTATAGGTGGCTTATCTTGCGTATTATTTTCGAGGCGAACTTTGTTTTTAACAAATTTCAGATAAAATAATATGCTAATGGGATAATGGGATAAGAAGCAAAAAATGATTTCAAAAATACAAATCTCCATGCCTATCAAAAATGTAAATATTCAAAGAAATCGTTTAATAATCGAGTCCCTGTGCATATTTTTGTATTTTTTTAAAATTAATGACCATACTGAAATATTTAATTTTGTATCATAAAATTCTTGAAAAATTGTACACCAAGTCACCCTTCACGTATTTCAAATCAATAACTTGTGGTGATAATTCATTTATAAGGGGAGCAAGTACCCTCACAACAGAAAACATTGTTGACTCTAAAAACAGAATCACAGAATATAGTCCCCAGAAATATAATTCATTTCATACCAAACTTTGTCGATTCTGGAAACAAGATAGCTGATACAATTAATACATTATTATCATTATACTTTTCTTTAACGAAGCATCTCTAACTTACAGAAATGCATCTGCCATTTCTTAAGTCAAGTTATTCATCTCAACCCTTTTTCAATCACCAACAAACGCTGTTGTGAATTAATTTAGATTATCTAAAAATACGACTCCTCATCACTGGCTGGACACATGTATACCGGAGATCTAAACTTTATCAAAATAATTAGCTTTGGATGTTAAAGCAGGATCCAAAATATCAAGAAATTCTTGCAATAGATCTTACTGTGATTTTCAAGAAACAAATGGAAAACAAACGAATTTAAATAGAAGGTGAAAGGAGAACATAATGAGTTGGATTAACTTTCAGAATGGATTAAAATTCCTTTTGGTCGTCCATTCTCTAAAAAAAAAAGTTTAAAATCTGAAAAGAATCAATGCAGAATATGTGGATGTGTATGCTTATGGTAAGGCTGATAACTTGATATTAAATTTCCTGGCAAATAAGCAAATTTACACGATATACTTGGAAACCCAACCTACACATTATAGAATATTTCGTAAGACAAAGCACGTGCTAGCTAATAATACTTCATTCAAATGAATTGTTCATGATAAGGACCTTCCTCGTTTATATTGGATTCATTCAACGAGTTGCTTAACCAAACAATTATCCATCTTCTTACAACTTTTCTTGTCAGCATTTAGTGTGATGGTTAAGTTATTCTACAAACAACTGACATATCCACGGGAACTAATTGTGTCCGTTTCTTGGCCGAATTAGTTTTCATTTTCATACGAGGTTTAATTTAACAAGCGATTATCAAAATTTTGATTTGTCCATGACGATATATCGATGGCATCTTGTTTCAAATAACAAGAAATGTTGTTATTATGTAATTCATTTTTACTCACAAGATTTGGAAATCAACAAAACAACAAATATATTTACCTACTGTTGTACAATGCAGTCAATGAAAACTTATTTCCGCTACCTTTTGATAATAACGATTCCCTTATTGTGATTTATTTATTTTAGAAAATTCAACGATCGCTCCTTAAAGTCCTTAAAGCAGAAATAATTATGAAAAAACAATGTTACGGGCATTCTCCAAAAGCTTTCCAATTTTATTTATATAGATATTACAATGATTAATTAATTGACTAAAGATATTTCCGGCGTGCACCAAAACAAATTACTAAATGTAATCTCAGATAGATAAGCTCATGTCTAGACAAATTTTACGAAAGAAAAATGGTTATTTTACTTCAATCTACAAAAGTTTATAAGGATCTTGAACGACCCATTTTAATGAGATAAGTATCGTGTTATTATAGGAAGTTGCACATATTTTCTTCTTTTTAAATTGACCCGAAAACGCTTTCATACTTTGTCCAGAAATTTTTTCAACCTCATCATTATCTAACATTATGCATCGGTTAGCTTGTAATAAAATGACATGTAACAGATATCAGAGGTGCCATCCGCAAGTAACATATATAATGACACCTGTTGATTTTTTTAATAATTATTAAATAAGAAAAATATCAAATGATGATCACGACCCAAGCAAAAAGAACTCCAATAATGATAAACATTGTTCATATTTTGTATTTGAATTGTGAAAATGTAATACTATTGTATTACACTAAAAAGATAAGTAAAAAATGTAGACTGTACATTTTTTTTTATATAAATCACTGCAAACTCAAACGTACAAGTTTGCTGGTGTATTTATGTTTGAAACAAAAGAAAGTACGCCAAGTTGACTGTCATTCTGTTATGTTCTTAAATTCGAATTTACAGACACGATATCAACAGCAAATAGTTAAAAAATTAAAATAAAGCTAGAAGTGATATAGATGACAAGATAGTACGCTGAGCCAATGGGCTTCATTGCAATTGTAGGAATGTTTGTCACAATCGTTAATATTTCCGTTGAATATTTTTTTCGACTACCGATTTGGTATAACTGAAGATACATCTATTCATATGTCTGTCTGTATGTTATACGAGTTTGAGTTTTTGTCGCTTTTCTTCTCTTAGAAGCATATCATATACTTAGAAGCCATCAATATATACGATAATATTTCTAAAATTCTCTGATTTCTGTGATTAATCTATTAAAGCTGCGGTGATTCTAAATTAAAATTGCCCATATTTGGTACGGAAAACGCAGCCTACTTCTTCTACAAAATCTACATAGTATGATATATATGATTCACGTCGTCGTCGATAATGGACAATGATAATAAAATTAACATCTTAGTTATTACCAATCATTTCATAAATGGCGATTGATACCAAACTTCAGTTAATAAAATCTAAATGAATACTGTATACAGGGGAATTTTCGCTTTAATTACCCCCCTTTTCGTCCAAGAACATGGAGGGCGAATTGAAGATGGGGCGAACATTTGTTGCACGTATGTAACTCTTTTATATAATCCTCAGAATTGAATGGGTTGAATTCGTATGTAATTGTGCAAGGACGAAAACAAACTGGGATGTATCCCGGTATACAGTAATAATCCGAATTCATCACTTACAATCAACTACGGATATAAAACATGAGTCCGGATTTTTTTTTTAAATGAATAGATTAATTAGGATCTATATCTGATAATCAGATCCATAAGATCTAAGGATACTGTTTTTTGAAAAGCAACTGCTTGAGCGACAAACAAACAAGAAGAAAATAAAATGGTGACATTTTAATTTGTTTCCATGATGAATTTCTATTTGCACAGTGAATGTATACTGCAATCCTCTTAGATCCGACAGGAGCATACTCTTTCTGAAAACTAGAAACAATCAATTAGTTAGATAAGTAAGGATAGTGTGAAAATATCACGAAGTGAAGCAGGTGGTTTTCTATGAAAGGCATATGGATAAGCAGATTATCATTAATTATTTTTGAAGACTCAATATAAATCGCCATTTGGCCATTTTATAAATTTGTGTTTCTTGTAAGTAAAATCCAGAATTATTAGTGGAGTTTGACAAAAGAACATGATAGTAAAGAACAATAACGTCGATTTTCATATTGAGTGAAAACACCTGAATATACTGAAACAGGAATGCGAGTTTTGATTCAAACAAATTATCCATAAGTTATGTCGTATGACAGATTCCTACCATTTCTTTACCAGAAATTCACGCTCCTACCTTCTTAATGAAAAGTCCTAACCATGCACAATTATATAACTGACATCATAATAACAAAGCGGCAGCTAAGTAAACACATGCATTGAGTCGGAAAGAAATGACATAACCATTAACACAGTAACATCTAGTCCTGTAGACGGAACTTTCACGAAGAAGGTCCATCCTCGCACGATAAAGAATTCTCTGTGGTTTGTAGAGGTAGACACGATATACAACGACATTGGAACGGAAGTGATAAATAAGATGGACATCAATAGTTATCTTTTTGAAAAAAAAAACCTCAGCTCCCTTCCAGGAATTCAAGAGATTTGTCTTTAGCGAGGCTACAAATGATACCCGATAAATAATAAGAATAAGGCCAAATTAAGGTCGAGAGAACCGTCTTGCGAAATTCTGCACGGACGGTATCACAATAGTAGGACGAATCAGGAATACCAAGTGATTGATAATCGCAGAACACATGTAACCGACCAACAAACCAACAAACTCACGTGATGATTCACTTCTTCACAAACAATAAATCTTGGAAATTATCTTACTAAAACACCAAGAATATGTTAGTTCTAGTATAATTACCATGTATCGTTCACAGATGTACTCCTTAGGTAGATGACACTGTTCGTCGTCCCAACTGTAGCCCCTGCTAGCCCACATTAGAGCGCAGTCCTGTTCGAGTCCTCTCCAGCTGTTTGGCTCGCCATGTGCCCAGTCTCTACAGTCTCGGTTTATTTCTCCAGTGTTAGGGTTCCACGACCATATCCCTTCATGTCTGATGTCATTTCCACTGAACCAGTAATTTCTTTCTAGAAATAAGTACCAAATGATATTTAATGGATTTGTAAAAGCAAGGTAATCTCCACTCGATACCAATTACTTATACTTAGCAGATCTTGATGGAAACCCTTGAGAAAATACCTAATACATTTTCCATAAGATCTGTTTTACGACGTCCTTGTTATTGTACCACTAACTACTACTTATCATCCAGCCACCAACACCCATCCAACCCCAATCCCATTCCAAGAAAATCAAATTACTGATGGTTGTCTCATTGCATTAAGTTATAACTTTAATTTTCAATAGTGATAAACTTTTCATCATGAATGTATAATATATATCTAAAAATTGTGGTCATGGTGAAGTTTCTATCATATTTATTGTCAAAAATACTTACTATTACATAGCTTTTTGACGTGATTTTTGACCCACCATAACTCCTTAGGAGAGTTAAAGGAGACAAGAGCTCCTCCGAGTCTGGCACATTCGTACTGTGTAATAAAAAAATCACTTTGTGAATGTTTTTTGAACGAGAAAATTCGTAACGTCATATAATCATTTTATTTCATCAAGGAAACATAAGCATTTCTTCTTTTTGTGCATATTTATACTTATTTCAATTGCAACATAAATCCGCAATAACGCGAACAAGTTATTTAATTGATATTTTCCTTTGTCAATTATATTACAAGCTTAATAATCAAAATTCACAGCACCATGAACATTTCCTTCAGCGTGAAATTATCTTACCGTTGCTTCATACCAGGATTTTTTCACGGTGCTGAAGAGATAGCAATGTCCACCATTTGGAACCCATCCTGGTGGACATGCCCAGCCAGCCACTGAAATAAAAAGCGTGTCAACAAGCCTATATATCTTAAAAGTTACGAAACCAAGACATGTTTTTCACTTTGGGTTTCTCATTGACATAACTGTAAATGAAAATTTCAACATAATAATCATCTCTTAGCATAAAATAACTGCATCCCTAGGCGACTCGTTTTAATTTTTATACGACACTGAATTGATCAGAACTGATAACAAATATCTTACCAAGTCCTTCCGTGTCACTTTTGAATAAATACTACACTAAAACACAAGGAAAGGACATTGACTCAAATGTCAAAAACTAACAAACAAAAAGACCAAAATAGTCGCTGACAAAAGGGACAAAGTACACAGACTATAGAAAAAGGGGAAGAAAAAGACCAGAAATACTCTAGATTGGATGTGTGACTTTCCGTAAAGTGAAAGGTAAAATTCAGGAGAAAACACATATATGTAGGTTACAGCTATGTAACATACTACTTTTATCCGTCAAAACCTCTCCTGAATCGTGTTAATCAATTGTTCATTACTCTACATATCTACAATGTAAAATAGGTTACAAAAGTTCCGTTTGTCTATTTGGTTTCTATATTTATCATACCTTCTGTGCACAATACGGCACCAAACAGCAGCGAAATCAACGCGACGTTCATCTTTGGATGTATCTAGATGCTGTCCAGAGGAATGCAATGTAACACAGACAAGGAAACTGTTTTATAGGCTTGAGATTACGTTCTTACATCTGTGGGCGGCAATATTACATGTAAATGTGCTTCTAAGTATATAAAAGTCTTGTTATCTCCTTAATACCTAAATAAGTTTATTACTTACAACTCACGAACTACCAAGGTAACGTGTAGTAGAGTTGTAATTCCTTGTGTACCTAACTACACCTGTTACCCATACTTGTTATTAACTTCAATAAGTGTCAATACCTTGTTACTTGACAATAAATCATGTCCACGTGAAATCAGACTTCCCAATTAAGATATCTGGATCATTTATACGAAACTCTTTAAGTTCATATTGATGACTAATTGGTAGGATTTTTTCGCCCATTTCGGTCACAAAAATAACAATTCAATGAAAGGCCTTTAGCAACTGACAGAACATCCATTGGATTACGTTCAACACGTACAACCATCTATATAGGATGTAAAGAGATATCATTTGCAGCTCTATATTGCGAACTACTACAATATCAACTACACTTCAACATTATAAAACATAATAACATAACAGACCGATCACTTGTTCGTATATCATACATAATGAAATAGGCACTGCCTAAAAGCGAGCACAAGTTGGTCAACAATATATTCATGCTCGAAACTTAACAGCCCAGACATGACTTTGCGATGAGTAAATTGGCACTTTTCAGTGGAAGGTTTTACGTGTTTTATTGTAGAATGGCTGCCCTCTCCACCCCCTCCCTCTTATTTTGGCAATGATGTATATAAAACTAATAATATGTTGATTTTAGTTTCTTTCTTGTAATTTCTGCACTTCACAAAACGTTATAGTTTTTGTACCACGTGAAAAGTACCACAGTACACTAAGGTCGGAAGAGGAGTAACGCGGTGCACACAGGATGTATACCCGACATCAACAACAACATCTGTGACAACAACATATGGTCAGATTGTAATAGGTTGTTTGTCGTCATCAACATCACACATATGTTAACATGTATATACATATAACAACTATTTGCCTAAAGCGATTGGTCATCTCACTTGGAAAACAATTCCACGTTTATCATTAGTAATGAAAACCTGACGAATACTGGTAAAACAGGTGCACGATTTTAATAAATCAATGTTACCTGTGTGCTGATTACAAGTATACGACGCACCTTTGTCAATTGCATCATTCTGTTTTCGGACATATGTACTTGTGCTGAATTAATTAAATCACATCGAGATTAAAATGGCTTGATTTTAATCTTTAGTTTGTTTGTTATCTTGAAACAGTAATTACCAATCAATTCAATCTCAATGTGTTATTGACTATAAAAGCAAGACTCCCTCTACTATCGTAAAGCCACGATGATTCGAGTTCTGTTATTGCTAGCCCTCTGTCAGTCGGTGCGGGGACATGGACGAATGTTGGAACCCCCACAGCGGTCCTCCCTGTGGCGCTTTTACCCAGGAGACGACCGTTTCATACCCAACTATAACGATAATCAACTGTTCTGTGGAGGATTCTCGGTAAGTTACTACCTGTAGTTAGTTGATCACAGGTGAAATTCACGTACTATTCACACCAAAGGGATAGAAGCTTAGACGGGAAAGAAAGATGGACTGTTCATCCCTCCCTTACCTATCCCCCTTCCCCTTTCAGAACCGAGGTCACTCAGCTCGGGTAACTTGAGTATTAAATCAAGGAGATACAGATAATGCTACTCATGGTATTACATAAAATGATTTCCCTTATAACAACCAGTCAAAATTTTGTGATATTCCACTTTTTTTTCATACAAAACCATTTTGTGTAATTACACAAAAGACAAAGCATCATTCTATAAAATTTTGACGGCTAGGTTTCTACCCAATACATATTTTCATTTAAAGTGGTGCTTGTTTATCAAAGAGGATTTCCCAGGATTTCACTTCCAAAATTTCCTGCGCACAGCCCACGGACTCCACGATATCTGTATCCCGCCTTTTGAAAGCTAGCTTTATTTTTCTTTACATGAATGTTGTATGTGCTGTTGTTTCATTTCTGAGTTTCTGCATATAGAAAAACAAAACACCGACTCTGAAAACAAATCATATATGGTACTGTGACGGTATATACTCTGTTATAGTACAGCTTTTTCTTAGTACAGTTTCGTAATCTATTAATGTATCCATGCCTTTGTTAATGTAACTAGTCGGCAGATGTAACAAACGAATTACAAATACCTACCTTCCGGAAAATATTCCGATTTGTGTAAATGTCCAAATAGGTAACTGATGTCATTCCAGAGTGAAACCAGCGACACTTACTACTATGCTGTTTTAAAACTGAATTTGATATTTATAGAATAAAAATATTACATGTTTAAAGAATAATTGGTTTATTTTTAAATTTGAATCCAATGAAAGTTTAGCTATCTATCTAAATCTGTTACGGGTAAAAGTCATCCAACTTCGACTTTTCGATTTTGGCTGTCGCCTCAGTGGAATTATGTGCTCTTTGTATCACGAAAATAGAAACAAAATTTCTTAAAATGGTTGTCCTTGTAGAATTACATATACTTCTATTTCTCTAAAACAAAAACAACACGAAAAAACGCATATTTTGGCAAATCAAGTGGTCATTTATTCAAAGAACAATGTATATTATTATTGAACGTGTATCTTCATTAACATATAACATAATTTATATACTTATATCTGTATAACGGTAGATATACAAGGGCTTTGATAGGTCTCTATCTTTTTCGCGATTTCTTATATCTTAATGAGATTTATATTATCAAAGTGTTAATAAGATATTTCATAAAACAAATAAGATATCTTATATTGCTTCATTATCTAATGAATAACAACATGGCTTACCATACATATGGTCACGTCAATCACATCTCAACGGCTGAAAATCAGTGCCACGATTCGTTATACATCTTATGTTATAATTAAGAAACTCTGTAAGTACATTTTCAAATCGATCTTTCAGGTTATGCAAAGTAACGGCGGGAAATGTGGTGCATGTGGTGACCCGTATGACGGGGTACGGGAAAATGAGGCTGGCGGCAAATACGCAACAGGTTTCATCGCTCGAAACTACAACAAGGGGCAGATAATTGACGTCACGATCGATCTAACAACCTCACACATGGGGTTCTTCCAATTTAAAATATGTCCTCATGATGACGTGACGACACCAGTTACTCAGACCTGTTTGGACGACCATGTTCTTAAATTTACAAATGGTGATTCGAAATGGCCGGCTACCATCACCGGGGTTTATGATCTCCAGCTTCAGCTTCCGTCGGATATGACCTGTGACCAATGCGTCATTCAGTGGTACTACAGAGCAGGTAATGCAATGGTTTATGACATATGTAGGCTTTAGGACATAGTATAACAAGTGATTTAAGGCTGGGTTGTTCATTTATGTATCTATTCATTTTAATGGGCAATACGTAACTAGGGCATATTTATTAAAATGGTCTGTTTTCCTTAAATTATCTTATTTTCACCTTATCTTGGATCCATTTCAAAATAATTTTTTTCAGTCGTTATATGGTTTATTTACGAACAGTGATGCCAATAATGAATTATTGACAGATTAAACGATTATACAATTTGTTTACGTTACATAAATGAAGTTGCCATCATATGTGTTTCCAGGAAATAACTGGGGCGTTGACCAAATAACCGGAGAAGCATGTCTCGGATGTGGTGAACAGGAAACATTCATCAATTGTGCTGATGTCAGCATATCCGGAACGGGCCCATCGGCACTACCAACAGCACCACCAACGGCACCACCAACAGCACCACCAACACAAGGTCCCCCTTATACTCCAGCACCGTTGACGACAAAAATGCCAAGTGATGATGGTACGTGTCCAGATGGGTACAGAACACGATGTCGAGGAAACGGAGTGTTAGACGGGTGTTGTAACATCATATGTCAGAACCAGGCCTGTGACTCGAACTTTTGCACGTGCGACTGCTTTCCGGATATGACGTGTGAAGGCATAGGTCCTTTGAAGGATGTGATATATGCAGCGGAGTACTGCTTCTACCACTGTTTGGATGGATGTCCTGGGTTAAGTAACAGTTGTTTATGTCACTCTAGTATGTGAAAAGAATACCTTTTAACATGCCTAACAAGACGATAGTAATGCCATGTTACTACAGAACTACAAATGAATAGTAATTATAAAATGGATTCTTTCACATTACGTGATCTTGATCGACTGCCAGACTGTGTTAATCCGAATGTATTTCTAACCTCTAATTGATTATCAATTCAGACGAGTTTTTCGACTATCTTGCACTCTTGCACAATGTGTGGGTCATACTTATCGATATTCCATTCTATTTCTCGAAACTCCGGGAAAAACAACTTGTATGAATAAACACTACGACATACCAGACAACTCCTTGTTTTTTCTTGCTTTTTTACGAATACGTATTATTTATTCCAATAGGCACTATCACTTCAGAACAAAACATCTCTGATAAAACAACAGTACTTCTTACTCGGTTAGGTTAGTTTAGGTAACGTTAAATATGTTCAACATAACTGTCAAATTTTCGCAGGTGACGAACATGCATACAATGTGATGATAACAAAAAGGGTAAGATCGATTTCACACATCCACCCACAGTTACCAATATTGGTATTGTGACTGTTGCTAGCTACTTGATTGATTGATTGATTGATTGATTGATTGATTGATTGATTATACTAGTATTAAACTCCGTACCAGACGCTGCCAACTCATGACTTCTGGTATAACTGTCTGGACCTTGACTGGACCTTTCGTGTTCCCTTATTTTATCACTAGCCTGGACATTGCCTTGACTGTCTGGACCTTGACTGGACCTTTCGTGTTCCCTTATTTTATCACTAGCCTGGACATTGTCTTGACTGTCTGGACCTTGACTGAACCTTTCGTGTTCCCTTATTTTATCACTAGCCTGGACATTGCCTTGACTGTCTGGACCTTGACTGGACCTTTCGTATTCCCTTATTTTATCACTAGCCTGGACATTGCCTTGACTGTCTAGACCTTGACTGGACCTTTGGTGTTCCCTTACTTTACCACCAGCCTGGATCTTTACTGGACTCCCTGGACATGGACTGGCTGGACTTTTTAAATTCCGTTACTTTAACACTAGCCTTGACCTTGCCGGGACCAACTGGGAGCCCAATATACACCTGTTATCTTTATTTACCACTTTAATTCTTTACGTTCATCAAGAACGGAAAGTAGTGGAGTGGTAAATTAAGACCTGTATTTTAATCACATTGGAGCTTGGTTTAAACAAATTTGTTTTCCAGGCTTAGGAATATTAAAACTTTATGCTATATGTCTATAGCATGTATGATATCAGGAGATGTAGATATATATCATGTACCGGAAACAAATAGGTCACCAATATGTGACCAAACAGAGAATTATACAGTGTATATCAGTATTTCTCATACCAGCAAAATAATTAGTGAATTAAAAATAAATAGACAGTCTGTAACTACGGACCATCTACAAGTTGAGCTCAATACCGTCATGATTTATATCAATACTACGGACGTTATCTTGGATAAGAAAAGTAGTTAGGGGTTATGATGAGATCGATAAAAATGTTTCACCTTCCTTCTTTTCCTCTTGTCCGCGTGTTTCCATACCGGGTTTGGGATACAAAGATTCGATGTTAAGTGAAGGGAAATACCAGTGACGAATCTCACTGCTTCACGTTGTGCTTTTTCTGTCAAAAGGAGACGTTCTTATTTATGTCACTGATACGATTAAAACCCTACACAAACACAATTGCACAAAATAATAGCACTATTTGTAGGTAAGATACAATAGCGCCAAACAATAAATTTAACTGCATCATACAGCTGCCTCGTCTTTCTCTTGTCAGTGATGCAAAGGGCTCTATTATATCTCGTTCTGATTTCGCATGAAAGTATGTTATTCAATCTGTTGTTGTACAATTTTACTGAAAACGAAATTTCTGACATTCTCATCTATTCTTGATATAGAAAATGCAACTGATCCTGATAGGACAGTGTGTGCTGCTGGCTATGGTCAGAACAGTATGGTCGCTCTACCTTTTTATTGTGTTGTTTAATAGCTCGATTAGAGAAGCTGCTTTCCTTTCTGATCGAAAAAAAAGTGAAAAAGTATTAGTATCTTAACATTACTTAGAAAAATGATATGCCCAAACTCTCTCCAACTGCAGACCTATATGTTTACTTAGTTGTCTGTAGTATATGTCTTTAAAATCATGGAAAGATATATTTTTCAACTTTGCCAGAGAGAATTAATCTAGATAACTTTGCGAACATTTCACAGTAAACCAGTTAATATAATTGTACCATAACATTGTCGCTGCTGTTAATGATAATGATGCTGTATTGTGTTCTGTGACTTGTCAATGGTTTATGACAAAGACATAGAGGTATTTTGTTTAATCTATATCGACGACAAGTGAAACATGAAACTTCCTATCGCACAAAGAGGTCAAAGAGTGAGTGAAGTCACTCTGCAATATATCTAATAGAAGACATTAAGTGTATTTCAATTATTTTTTAAAGTTATCCAAAATTACTTATGTGTTTCAATTATCGTGGAAATATTTGTCGTATCCTATGGCTTTTATTAGGATTGGGTGCAGGTTTACATCGAATAGCACTGGTCCGCAACAGGCCTTTTTACAACCAAGCGCAGCAGTTCAAACAACATTGCAGGGAAATCAAAGAAAACACTACATCTCAACAGATTCCACTATTCAAACTCAAAGTCGATGACACTAGGCCAAACATGAACAAAAGAAAGTTTACACGGAGACTCGTGGAAAAGTAATAAGCGACCATACTCATGCGCACATGTTTGGTGATATAAATCTGATAACTGAATTAAAACATGTTCAATGATTTGAAATAATTTCGGAAAAAAAGTGCGAGTGATATTTTATTTTTGAACGTTCAGGTTTTTCTTTAACACGGAGATTTCAATTATTTAAGCGATGGTTTCCTGTTGAGCATGACTTCATAGATACGGATCCTGAGGTGTTCATTACAATATTGGACACAAAAATCCCACATGAAGGAAGTTCATACCAAACGTATAGACATCTATATAGAAAATACATGGTCAGTATCTTAAAAGTCTTAAAATCGGGACAGATGCTCGTGAATTTTGTCTTTCTTCACCCTCGCCAAAATACAGCTTATATTTTTAAGACACTGACCATGTATTCTCTGTTTATATATATATGAAAAATGACAGATTATAGAAAGTTCTGGATGGTACATAAAACAAATATTATCGGACATACAGTCAGCAAATGTGGTCAGTACAGCTTATTTCAGAAACCAGTTAAGTCGCCAACACATGTTGTATAAAGGCAAAGATTTGACCTGTGGGTTTCTTGTGGTAAAAAAAGTCAGTTATCAATACTAGCCTTGCTTTAAAACATAGGCTGATATATGAATAAATGAATAAATGAAAGCAATTTCCGTACGTAACACATCTGATAAGTTCTAAGAAAACATTAAACAGATTAGTTTGTTCTGGGCGTGTGTTCACCGTTGGTAGCCTATCCACAAAATGCTATCCGCCTTACGGGTCCGTTCTTAGCAGAGCGCATCCAAATTACAATTGTGCCCAACCGAAGGTTTTTTTATACGGTTAAATAAGTGAAGTCTATACATAGATACTCGTAACAAGTATTAATTGTTAGTGTATGTAGTCTACTGGCATGAAGACTTATAGTGCGTTAGGCATGAACTAATTGTGCACAGTCGCATCCTATGCTTAAAAATGTAAGCCCTTATCATCGCTGATGAATGCTAGAAGGTCGAAACAGATGCAGTTTAATTCATTGATTGGCTCCACTGGGTCTAACTTAATTTGTAAGAGGTGTCATTTTCCTAATCTGTATTACTTTACACCAAGTTGTGTTTCTTGATTCCAATTCTGTATTCGAACCAGCCATATATGTACTCAATATGAATCTGTACGAACGCGCCTTTTCATGATAATTTCGAGTTCCGGTTGAAGACTGGCCTAATAATAGCTGAACACGACCAGAGAATTACAGTTTTATGAAGGTATAAAGAAAGAACTGGGCCTCTTATTAAAAAACTGTTGTTTAACTGTAAACAACAAAATATTCCTTGAATGCTTTACGGTGATATCACCTCAGTAGAACTTTCCACAACACTGTTTCCGTTGTCAGATTCCACTAAGTCAATGGTCTGATGGTTGTTTTTGTTTCACATTATGTTTTCAGAATGGTGATATAACAGATAGTATCTTTATTAAAGGCATAGGGGGTTACTTACTAGATGCATTGCTTCTAATTAGATTATCTAAATGTCATATAATCAGGATTTTTCATAAGAGCGGATCGCCGGCCAATTTGACCCGTTACTTTGATCATTTGGCTGCCTACACCAATCCAGTTCCGTAATAATGTTCTGTACACAACTACACGTACACGGCAGGCCAGCCTCCTACTTTCACTACACAGCCTACTACTAACAAAATTATGGAAAACCCTGTATAATGCATTATTCGATGAAAGGTTCGGCAGGGGAAACAACCCTGTTTATGCTTATGCATTTGAGGGAAGTTATAACATTTGCACTGCGTTGAGTAATCAATTAGTTGCTCAATAAAAGGTATTCTGCCACAATTCCTGCTAATTACCAGGTAAATATGAAAAATGTTTTTATTTGGAAATTTGATAAAAATATGAATTATCAGGTATTATGGGGTATATATTTATATACATGTAAAAAACTGTATAGCTAAAGAATTGTAATGTGAGAAAAAAATGAAATTCAGTAATACGTACCCTTAGATATGGGTAATTGATATTTTATGAAAGGTCACAGATTAGCATTTTCAATGGATCAGTTAAAGATTTTGATAGAGTGCTTTATATTGTTATATGAATGAACCCTATACATATGTAGAAACAGGTATATGAAATATCTAAGTATCATTTTTGCCAATTTTTTTTTATTCTAGACACTGATTTTCTTACAAGATGGAGTTCCAGTTGAATGAAGAGGGCACATTTCCATCAACGCAGATGATAACAGAGTTGGCTAGACAACAGCTCACCGCAGAGTTGTTGTGTACCAATTCTACAGAGGTGTCCTCCTCCTCAAGTACAACACAAGAGACTTGTACAACACAAACAATTGTACACAAAGCCATCAAGTCTAATAATAAAGAAATTGTTTGTGATATATGTGGTAAGATCTTTAGTACACCACGGAAACATAAACTTCATATTAAGACACATTCTACAGAAAAGCCATTTAAATGTGGGGTTTGTGGAAATGGATTTAAGTCCTCAGGAGACCTCAAGAAACATCTCATGATTCACACTGGAGAACGCCCGTTCACGTGTGATATCTGTGGGAAGAGTTTCTCAAGGAAGGGCACTTTGCAGAGTCATGAGATGACCCATGGAACATATAGAGCGTACAAGTGTGACATTTGCGGCAGAGGATTTGGACAGAAACGGGCATTACTGGTGCATAACAGAATTCACACTGGGGAGATGCCATTCAAGTGTGACATTTGTGGAAAAGGATTCCGACAGTCAGAGTGTATGAAGCGACATATTATGATCCATACAGGAGAACGTCCCTATGATTGTGACATATGTGGAAAGAGTTTTACTCAGGCTGGACACATACGATCTCATCGAAGGACACATACTGGTGAGAAACCCTATCAGTGTGAACATTGTGGCAGGGGATTCAACCATAAAGATGGGCTTAAGCGCCATGTGCGAATTCACACCGGTGAGAAACCTTACGCATGCCATATTTGTGGGCGTGCTTTCACTCAGACTGGGAGTCTAAACACACATTACAAGGTACACAGAGACAAACCAAAACCTACTAAACCAGACCTACTTGTACCTATAATGTACTTACAAAAGGAATCCTCTTAGTTACAGAAAAGTATAAAAATCAGTGTTGTAACTTGTTTTGACAAAATCTGAATGGTAATTTGGTATCTAATATTAAAGATATTATTTCTGCTTCTCGGTAGTATGACATTGTGATATTGTATAGACATAATGCATTATAGATATATACTGTATAATTACCACAATAAGCATTTACCACCAAATTTTATTTTACAATGAAATGGTGGAGTACCATATTTTCGTAGGTTATAAGTCATACCTGTATATAGGCTGCAGAGCCATGTTTTAGCAATTTTTTTTCCATTTGATCCACATATTAGACACAAGAATATGAGCTTCATCCTTTCTGATGATATGGTAACCATTATTTTGACCAAAATTTGTTGATAAAACAGACAACGGAAGGTAATTAAACAAGAGCATCGGTCAAATTAATGAAGTTTGCAAATGATTTATGCACAAATAAGCCGCTCATAAAATAAGCAAACATGGTGGTCCTTCTACAAGTTGACCTATCACTCGATGACCTGTCTGTCCAAGGTGCAATAGTCTATTGTAAACTTCTACCATACCTTCAAGATGTTATTGTGATTCATATTAAAAGGTACATTGTATAAAAATATTAAATACACTAGAACGTTATATTTTTTGCAATCTTCAAAACTTCCTGTATACAATCACAAAGGACAGTTGTACACAATCCATCTCATTCACAAACACATGATGGGCAGGTACTTGTACAAAAGCTTTAGTCTTGTAGTGGTACAAAATTTTATATTTTTTCATCCACATATAAGCAGCACCGGTATATCAGTCGCACGCTTGACTGGCGTTGAAAAAAGTTGTGACTTATAATCTGGAAAATATAATATCCAAGTTGTAAAGGTTGTAGTTTACTTTACTTTTGATATACATATATATATATATATATATATATATTCAGTCAGGTTCTAGGATTAGATACATTATAGTAATCTAGATTGTAAAAATCTTACTTGGAGTATTTACATGATGTATTTCACAAATTAATTGATATTTACCCATGAAATCAACAATAATAAATCCACCATAAAAGTGAATGATTTTACAGTATTCTCAGATTTACGTTTCACACCGATAACAAGATGTACCATTTATATACATTATTTGTGTAACTAGTCTGATTTGTGTAACATATGTGCCACATTTTGTACAGCCAAAAAGACCATAATTCTGGTTCCTAACATAACCTATCCTGACTGTGTTCTTTCAGTAGATTTCAAGGAGTTTTAATGGACTCAATAATTGACAAGGTTATTAGTTCCCTACCCTATAAAAAACAAACTATTTTTTTGCATACTTTCTTAAAAAAGATAATGCCAAACAGCACCATCTATATAAATCCAGACAGTGTAATAGCTTGCTGGGGCTGGTAGAAGGCATGTATTGCTTTATTATCATGCTTGTTGTAAATATTTCATAAAAAATACATAAGGTTGTTGGTTTTTGTTTTTTCTCTAGATAAAGTGACTTCCTTAATTGATATCTTTTGTTCTGGTTGGGTTGATTAGAGACCTAGATAGAAATTTTCTATTAAGGTCTCTGGTTTGATTAGCCAAATAATGCTAAATACTTGTGTTCAATCTTTGTCGGTGGCATTAAAGTTTAAATTATACTAAATACTTGTGATAATTTTTTGTCTGTGGCATCAAAGTTTAAATTACACCGGATACTTGTGTTAAATCTTTGCCTGTGGCATCAAAGTTTAAACTAAACAGAGGTCATTTAATTGTGAAGGTTTATTTTTTGATAAATTATCCTTATGACACACAGGTAAATGATCACAGAGAAAATTCCCAACCCCATGATTAATGAACAATATTTTGGAGTAGAATTTATGCCAAAATCATGTGTTTGTCTTCCTGTTTTACATTATAGAAATATTCAGATTGAATCGATGTCTGACTATTTCGGTATTAACTTTTGTAAGAGGGAGTTTATGTAGAAGTTTTGTTAATGAGTATATCTGATTGGTTTGTTATCTTGTTTACTTGATTCTTACAAGTATATTTTATGGTAAAATAAATTGTAAACTTTCATTTAAAACTGAAAAAATAATGAAATTTTGTGTTTAACAGAACATAAAGAAGTAGACAATAACTTTTAAATCATATATACTTTTGGTATCTGTAACTATCATGTGTATGTTTGGTTTCTGTGTCCATCAGCTGGCTTCTCACATGATTTTGATCACATTCCCCAATACCTGTTGTACTGTATCAATGTCTTACATTAAATTTCATATGTGTATGTACATATACACACTAGTGTAATGATATGTGTCTTTGTTTGTACTTGTGTTGTAATGAAATAAATATTAATATAATTTTTGTGTTTGGTATACATGTATCTATATACGTTGTGTTTCATTCATTCATTAGGATACCTACAATGTATTACATGATTTTCCATTATTAGGCCAAAACAGTTAATAGATCATGTACACTAGGTCTTATAAACAGCCAGTGTCATTTAAGAACATGGCAGGTGTAAGTGTAAGGGGAAAGCCAAAAGCTCTATAGAAAAAAAACAACTGGCCAACGACTCCGTGACATGAAGAAAGAAGCTATATAGTGATAAAAACAGATGCCTAAACCATCGAGCACTGACGCCCCTACAGCAAGAACAAGAACTGGACAGATATATATAAAACAATGACTGCTGACGTCACGTTATTACAACAATGATAACAAGCAATGGTGTGAGACAATGACTGCTGACGTCACATAACCACAACAATGATAACAAGTTAGGACACAGAACAATGACTGCTGACGTCACATAACCACAACAATGATAACAAGTAAGGACAAAGAACAATGATTGCTGACGTCACATAACCACAACAATGATAAGTTAGGACATAGAACAATGACTGCTGACGTCACGTTATTACAACAATGATAACGAGCAATGATGTGAAAAAATTACTACTGACGTCACATAACCACAACAATGATAACAAGTTAGGACACAGAACAATGATTGCTGACGTCACATAACCACAACAATGATAAGTTAGGACATAGAACAATGACTGCAGACGTCATATAACCACAACAATGAGAACAAGCAATGGTGTCAGACAATGACTACTGACGTCACATAACCACAACAATGAAAACAAATGATGGTGTAAGACAATGACTTCTGACGTCACAATACCACAACAATGATAACAAGTTATGACATAGAACAATGACTGCTGACGTCACAATACCACAGTAATGAGAACAAACAATGGTGTAAGACAATGACGAATGACGTCACAAAACCAAAATAACGAGAACAAACATGGATATAAAAACCAATGACGACTCCCAGATTAACTTCGGTTGGTGGCGCACATTCATTAATGCCAATTTTCATGTCGCTTACGATGTATCGAGATAAGGGGCTAAAACATCGATTTAGCAAATCATTTGAACTGGACACGGTAACATGCAAGATTGGTGTCAACGTACCGTCCAGACCCCTATATACTACTGGACACTGCTGTATTTTCATTTTGCCGGTGAGCGAGACGGACAGTTTTTCTTGTAACAGCTGTATTTTTTTAAATTTCTTTGTTACTCAGCTAAAAGCACGACATTGGGCTACAAGGCAGTTCTCAATAAGATTACTTTTTTGTAGCATTAATACTTTATTCTGGCAGTGATAAGAAATAGTAAATAACGTGTTACGATGAAAAGACATGCTAATTAACAATATTCTAGCAAGTTCCTAATGATTTTGAGGAGTTTCCTTTATATCCAAGTCAGGGTTCTTTTCTTAAACTCACTACCTGACAATGGTTGGCTGCTCAAATTGTCATGCAGTTTCTTAAGTACTAGGTGGAAGTTTCTCAAAAACATATAAAGATGCATTTTTGAGTCGGATTTAAAAGATAATTGTGACAAGTGGCAATCTTGGATTTTGACAACAAAAGTTTGTTACTGCTTGTGGAGTACTCGCTAGGCCTTTCTCAAATTTTATATGTAGACTCCCACTAGTTCCCTGTGGTGCTGTCTAACTTCTGATTGAAAATCTTGAATGTTTTATTATTTCTTCTGTGTAAATCGTTCTCTGTTTCCGGATGTAGGCTATCCTTGGTCCCTTCTTTTGCAATTCATTTTGTGTCTGATCAGAAAGGTCTCGGTTTTTTGTTTTTGTTTCTATATGGGGGTCACCTATCTCTACTTTTCAAATTCGGTAGCCTTTGTCCCAATTACACGAAGTTGTACATTTTTTCCTCTTTTGCACGGGACTTCCGCATATTATTCCGCCTGTTCTAGTTTCAGTTAGTTTTTTAATCAGTTTAAGTATCTTGTGAACGATATATTTTAGAAAAATTCAGAGTATTATTAGTATAGCTGTAGATGAACTTGTACTTCCAAATATCACAATATTCGTAATGGAAGTCGGCAGCTAGAAGGACGAAAAACCTATAGGATGTAGTTTGTGTTTTATTTTAACATATAATAATTGGTTTGTATTGAAAGTTGTTATTATATTCACCTTGTGTCTTTCCTTCCTTCCTTTTCAAGGATACTGGTATATGAAGACTATGAGATAATTGTCTCACGATTTTCACGGCATGGAGGGAGTTTCCTTATTTAATATTAATATCAGTTTGGACTGGCGAGGATTAACCAGGCGGTTGTCGTCGATAAGGACAATTACTCAAATGGAATTACTGTATTTATTCTTTAATACGTGTTCAAGGATCTTGTAAAATTTTCTTTACTGATGTTTTGTTCTCGTTTTATACTGACTTTGATGCAGTGTTGGTATATGTACATAACCTGATTTTTTTATAACGTTATGAGTCAAATCCAGCATACATTCACTGTAATATGCCGACAGAACAGCAATCTTTTGGACGGGATAGTACATCTATACAACCTAATTTAAAGGCCAAAGTTTTCAATTTCAGTACACCACATACAATGGGCCCTTTGTACGTCAACTTAGCCAGAATAAAGCGGATAAGGATGTCCTGTGTGACACATAGCGACGGTTATATAATTACGACAAATGATACAGTTAGTGGTATTAATTTGACCATATTAACATCCCCACTAACCTCGGTCACATCGTGTACTGTGTGTCTTTCCGCTCACTCCTTATGTGTATATTTAGTTTCTGGGAAGTATCTCATTGTTGTCGGTATTCATTTATTCTGTATACATTGAAAGTTGTACAGTGCCAATTTTCATCACATTTTTTGACTAGCGTGGTATTTTTTTTTACTTTTCGGTGTCCTTGTCAATATCAAAACATTTTTGTCAGTGATTTGCCAGGGCATATACCTTTTGCGAACCACGCATTCTTGGAACTATTTCATCAGGATCGATTTTATGTGGATCTTGTCCCTTCTTCTTTTTGTGACACTGTTTTCCAAAGAAATATGATTAATGGTGTGTAGATTTAAAAAATCCAAAGAGCTTTCGACCAATCTTGAGCACATTCTTCAAAACATAATTCTACTACAACAGATGATTTTCCCACTGTGTACACAACCTTACACTATACAAAGCTAAAGGAATGCTTTTGCCCCCTTTTTGAGTTTTGTGACGGACAAACTCGTAAAACGATTTCGAAAGACGTAGGTTGGTGATAATTATGGGAAAGGTTTACGATCGTCATAGAAATCTTCTCATTGAGAAATGTTCCGCTTCTTTGTATAATATGAAGCTAGACGTATATGATGCTCGTTAGTTTGCCTGCTGGTTCCGTTGTTATATACCCTGTTCTCATTTGAGAACGTGACATAACTTACATGGATTGACCAAGGTTTACATGGCGGGTGTCGTCGATGAAGCAAAAGACGTTTACTCTTCCGGAATACCTGGTCTTCTTCTCTTTATATTTTTCAGGACTCCAGGCTTCTCCGTGTAAATATTTCTTTTGTTTATATTATGCCCTAGTTTCATCAAATTTTAGTTTATATTGTGATCCTGTTGACTTGTTGGTATTTTCTTGTTGTTTTTCAAAGAACGGTGATGGACAGTACAAGTATATGGTTGTGAATTGTACTGACATTTATTTCGTGAAAATACATCTAAATCAAAGAAGAATAATTAAATTTCTGGTTGACAATATTTTCGTTGAGTTTGTTAACAAGGTCTTCCAACAGGCTGTTGGTATACCTTGGGAACTCACTGTCCCCTTCTATTGGCTGACTTGTTCTTGTTTTCACGCGAGGCTGAATTTATCGAAGAGCTTATCAAAAGAGGTCACACAGACCTTGAGCATTCCTTCAGTTTCACATTGCAAATGTACTGAATACTTAATCACTGCATATCATTCCTTCAGTTTCACTAACGTTGCAAAAGTACTGAATACTTAATCACTGCATATAACACCTATTTTAATATATAAACTAGCTTAATGTTAGCTATGTGTCTCTAAAGCTGTGATATTTTGTGTGGAGATCTTGATATTTCAGTAGCTGGAAAAAAGTAATGCTTTGTTAATCAATGCCTACAAAAATTCTTTCACAAAAATTATATTTTTTTATCTAGAAGTATTTTATTCGTCACTAAACAAAATGGATAGGGACAAATTATCCCAACATAAAATCACTTTTTCAAAATTATTTCATTAAACATGTTATATGACAGCAATAAAAGTACAATCAATGAAATATTTTAAACAGAGGATTAAGGAGAAAGGAAAACGACAAGGATGTTCCGGATAAGGGGTTGAAAAGATTGGAGAAGTTCTAAACTCTTAACATCTCCATGGAGACGGCCACCAAAATAAAACATCAACAAAATATCAATTTTTGATTTTCTTACAGGACCTTGCTTGGGATTCTTACGACACGTTTCAAGTCATCATCAGTCAATCTCCTTTTTACGATGACTTGGTCACATGACAGAATCGTATGACGTCACAATAATGTATTCATAATGTAATGAAGAATCAATTACATGAGGATAACGCCCTTCGTAGGTGTGTTGGAGTGATCCTGTCTCGCAAACGCGAGAGGGGCCTTCTATATCTTCGTGTGAGGAGCGCCGACGAGATCAGTGACGCCACAATCTCGTTACTCTTTCGAGAGGGGAGTCCTTGAACAAGGTAGACATACGAGATAAGCGGTCTTGAAGTACGAGCTTTAGTCCTATTCTCACATGAGCGAGACGTCTTTTAATTGAATTTGTAATATGATATCAATAGCTGCACTGAACACCACCTGAATGTTGTTTGTGTCGGTAGCGCACGTGAAGTGAGTGTACACCTCCTTGTCTTTGTTTCGGTTTAGCTTCTCGTACTTTTTTCTCACAAAACTAGCGGCCTGCTCGAACACATTTTCACCTGTGAAATATAGTAATGAAATCACTTTTCATTGAGAAAACATTAGGCAACATGATAATGTGATAATCGATATTCCAACAATAATAAATACATTGACTAGAAATTTGCTTTAGTGACAAAAACACGTCTCCCTACATTAACTAGAAATTTATTTTAGTCACAAAAGCTCGTCTCCCTATATTAACTAGAAATCTGTTTAGTCACAAAAGCTCGTCTCCCTATATTAACTAGACATTTGTCGTAACAAAAGCAGGGGTCCCTCCATTAACTAGAAATTTGTTTGAGTAGCAAAATACGTCTCCCTCCATTAACTAGAAATTTGTTTTAGTAACAAAACGACCTCTCCTTTCATTAGCGAATTACGTAATTTTTTTGTAGTGGTTTGCATTTACAAGAATGAAAATAAAATTTTTTTACTGTTCTTATTTATTGATTATAGAGAAATTCACATTTATTTTCCAGTGACCCTGACGACAGTGTAACTAAGTAACGACTTTGTTGATACACTGCCCCATTTAAAATGACTTTACCAATATAAAACATATATCAGCTTCATAAACGTCCGGAAGTTAAAACAAAAACTACTTTTTAAAAAATCTATATATCGGTTTTATTACTGAAAATTTAATGTTATTTCTTCAATTTATAATGATAATACAGTGTTATGTATATATATAATTACTGTTCTTTCTTTGGGATAAAATGACCACAAAACGACGAATCTATCTTTGCGAAAATATCAATATGACTCCCAACGATCAACTATCCACAAACGAATGAGTAAGTAAACTACCTGTGTACTCGGGGAAGCAGACAATAAGGGGAGACGATTCCAACTTGACCTCGAACAGATCTTTCTTGTTGAGGAAGAGTATGATAGAAGTGTCCATAAACCACTTGTTGTTACAGATAGACTCAAACAGCTTCATACTCTCTACCATACGGTTCTTTATATAAATAAAGATAAAATAGATTAGTATCAAGGAGTGGCAAAGCGTGACATAATCCTCCGCCCCCTGGTGTTCATGTGAACATACAAATAGACATATATATATCTACCTTAATGTTGATATTTTAATGTAGCTTATCTGTGCAAGCTCAGCTAAACAATAGGCAGCTAGGAAAGATTTACAAATAGTAACTTTTTGCTTTCTTTGTTTCCATGGTAACAGAGAGAAAAACTATCGCGACTAGAGCACAAGTCTGGTATTTATACAATGTGTCGTAGATATAGATTGCATGGTTTTCAAGTTATATCACAGAAAAGTTTGCAAAAAGTAAATTTTTGACCTTGTTTCCAAGTAACAAAAAATATAATAATTGAAAACTCGCCAATAGCAAAAGGCACAACATGGGCGTAACCTGAAATACATGTATAGAGTGTATGCGAAGTTTTGTAGACGGTCTTACTTATGGCAATTATACACTTACACTAAACATTGATTGGATGGACAGTGTTACTTATGGCAGTTATACAGTTACACTAAACATTGATTGGATGGACAGTGTTACTTATGGCAGTTATACACTTACACTAAACATTGATTGGATGGACAGTGTTACTTATGGCAGTTATACAGTTACACTAAACATTGATTGGATGGACAGTGTTACCTGTGGCAGTTATACACTTACACTAAACATTGATTGGATGGACAGTGTTACCTATGGCAGTTATACAGTTACACTAAACATTGAATGGATGGACAGTGTTACTTATGGCAGTTATACACTTACACTAAACATTGATTGGATGGACAGTGTTACTTATGGCAGTTATACAGTCACACTGAACATTGATGGGGTGGACAGTGTTACTAATGGCAGTTATACAGTTACACTAAACATTGATGGGATGGACAGTGTTACTTATGGCAGTTATACAGTTACACTAAACATTGATGGAATGGACAGTGTTAGTAATGTAGCAGATTACTGTTAATCATAATTTAGAAATGCACAGAACAATCATAAAGTAGGGTGTAAGATCCTTACCACAGACTCGTCTTCGCGAAGGAAAAGGTCGTACTCGTTCATAGCAACAATGAAAAAGATAGCTGTTACGCCTTCAAAACAGTTGATCCATTTTTTTCTTTCCGACCTCTGACCTCCGACGTCTATCAAACTGAAAGAGAAGATAGTTGAGGTATATCCTGTTCTATAAGAGAGCTGTATTTTTTTTTCTCTTTTTGTGCGAACACATTTCTTCATATTGTTTTAATACATACGAGATATCTTTTTGAAACAGAACAAAAGAATTCGGAATGATATTAGGTGACAAAATCTTCAAATTTGAACGTGGTCGCAAAAGGACTTAAATGTGTACATACGCTATATTTCAAACGTGTGTAAATTTATGCGTGATTGCATTTATTGGGAGTAATATCAATGCCTCCTGTTTTACTTAAACTTGTCGCAAATAAATCGAAAATACAATCTTTATAATCTTTATAAAAGATGACAAATGTTGACAGTAATTGCTCTTCAATAAGAGTTATATGTGAGTTTGATGGTCACCAATATTAAATACGTACCGGAAATGGAAATACCGAAAACTGAATAATGTCTCGACGATTCCGGTGGTTGTCACTCTGGTCCGCAGGACATCCTGTTCCGTTGGGACGTACCCAGCCATGGAAATCCGGTCAAGAGCGTCCAGGTAACTGTGGTGAAAGTGGTGTAGATATTTTACTTCAGTAGTTGTCAGTTTAACGTGGAACAAAATATCAAACTATGATTCATCATAAGTAAAAAAGAATAACAACAAAAAATACAAAAAACACAAAAAAGAGAAATAGCGACAGGAAAACAAGTACAACATCATTTCCGCCAAAGGACAAATAACCAGGAAATCGAAAGGGGGAACTGTTATTGTTATTCATTTTTATGCCCCCGGATCGAAAGACTAGGGGCATACTGTTTTTGTTTGTCTGTTGTCTACTTTAACCTTACATCGTAAGAAGTAGGGCTTTCATATTTGGTATACGTGTTCTTAAGGGTGGTACCAAAATGTTTCACCATGTGATTTTGACCGTGACCTTTGACCTACAATTGAAAAAACATTAAGACTGGCCATAACTATTGTACCATAAAATATATGGCTTTCATATTTTAAACATGTGTTCCTTCTAACAATACCTTTGTTTTGGTACCAACATTTACGACCGGGGGCATATTGTTTCATAAACACATTTTGTTGCTTTTACGCTTTCTTTGTGATGATATATTAAATAAGAGAATTATTCAGAATACCCCCATCTACTTGGATTCATCCCTGATATCGAATGAGATTTCCAGCTCTGTCTTGATGCATATTCAACACTAATCAGCATTGTTTATCTTTCCTCAGACTTACTATTCCGCGGAATCGTTGAGTTGGTATTCTCTTGCCCGACTGAAGCAGTCCTGGACACCTGAATCATTCCAGAGTCTTTTAAACGCCCCACACAACTCTAAAAAACGGTCTTCTTCGTCTGCCATATAGGTCATTACCTGTCTCGCGTCATCCTGCAAACCAGTTCAAAGGCAGTAAAATACTACACGGGGTCTATATATGTCTAGGACTACGTTTTAACAAAGCATTCCCCAACAGTTAAGTTATAGGATGTCGTATACCCTGTCTTTGTCATAAGAAATGTTTAAACATTTAACTATATTGTATATCGAAAGTGATAATCCTGTTCTATTTCATGTTATTATCATCTTTTGGGGTGGGTAGGGGTCGGTGGGGGTAGGAGGGGTAGGGTGGTGATGGAGTGGGTTCTGGATAAGTAATGACATCACCCTTCCAAACCCAAGTGTGATGGTTTGGCTTTTGTTACAATGAGCGCATTCAAAAATATGTGTTGATAATGAGATTTTTGTCAGTAGTATTCATCAGATTAGTTAGCCTCGGTCCTTAAGAAATTATATCACTTATACTAATCTACTTACACAGTCTTATAGACGTTTTAAATTATTATACTTAAGATTTGTTTTGAAAGATACCTCTCTATCGGAGTTGGCGAAGCTGATTCCCAGCTCGCCCATAGCCTTGATAATAGCTATGAGGGAAACACACGTGTTGCTGTATACAACGGGCTTATAAAGGAGACATTCTTCTTTGGAGTAACCATCATCGTGAATAATCCTGAAATACGGACAGTATAAGGATGACCATCCACAGGCCATATAATAACTACTTACTGAATCTATGGTAACGAGATGAAACCATAAAACACATCCGATATATAATACATTAATAAGTAAACCAGACAGGTACTTAATCACTAACGACACTCTCTATAACGATTAAAGACAAATGGATACAAAGTTTAACAAAACACTGATTCATGACACGGTACACATGACACGGTACACATGACACGGTAAACATGACACGGTACACATGACACGGTAAACATGACACGGTACACATGACACGGTAAACATGACAACAGGTCACGTCCTGTTATTTGAATAAAAAATTTAAAAAGAAATTAAAAGCAAAAATTATTTTGTGGCTTATAGCGCCTAACTCACATTAATGAAATATTAAAGATAACAACGAATTTAAATAATATATGAAGGGGTGTTGAAAAGTTGTCCGACATGAGGTAATAAACCACCTGAACCACAATGGGTCCATGATCAACATACATTACTTACTTCATCTGTTTCACAATCGTGCTTTTCCCAGATTCTCCGGCTCCTGAAAAAGGGACTCTGATAAAATGATTTGATTCCCTTTTATGAGGTTCCAGAATATACCGATACAATTTTAATTAAAACTCATATTTAATGACAATAAGATCAAAATATGAATAAACGAAAGCTGGAGACTTCTCAAAAACATTAAGGAGAATAAAACCAAGTGTTCCAAAAAAAGGCTTGGTCAATCCCTGTGTTAGTAATGTCATGTTCCCAAATGGCACAAGGTAAACAACAACCGACTTATCAAGCATACTTATGACAATTATATTATCATGATGACCATAAAACTTCCCTATAATTTCAATTCCAGTGTTTTGAGTTTGTCTGTCAAGTGCCGACATTTTACACTAAAATTGTGGTATTGGCAAGAAACCCTCGAATATGGAATCAGCTGCGACATATAAACAACATAGCTTGGAGATGTAGGTAAGCTGCTCTACAGAAATGGAAAATTCACAATAGGGAACTGAAATCATCACGATTATTATACAGTTTGGAAAATTGTTGTTGTAGAAAACGGTCTGATGTAAGAGTTTGTCTTGTCTTTGGTTTCCAATTCCGGTGTGTATATACATTTCTTCTTATTTAAAGACATGTCAAAATAATCGAGTTCAATAAGATTTCAATGGGAAAATGGTCATTTTCACGACCCATAGGATACTGATAACAGATTAACGTTCAGTCAGGACATGTACACCAGGTACATGTTCTTTCCGGATACTGATAACAGATTAACGTTCAGTCAGGACATGTACACCAGGTACATGTTCTTTCCGGATACTGATAACAGATTAACGTTCAGTCAGGACATGTACACCAGGTACATGTTCTTTCCGGATACTGATAACAGATTAACGTTCAGTCAGGACATGTACACCAGGTACATGTTCTTTCCGGATACTGATAACAGATTAACGTTTTTCCGGATATTGATTACGTGATGTTTTCTTCTGACATGTACATCCGGCATAATTTCCTTCCTGATAATTGTAAAACTATTTAAACTTGTTACTGTGTAGCTTAGATAGGATGCATGAAAGCCTCATCGTGACACTCCACAACTGAAGCACGAGAAAGCAGGCGTTCTACCCGAACACCTGACTCAAAACATGATGGTAAAAATGAAATAAGTACGTAACTCCTCGGCGAATGATCGCAACAGTGAGAATTTCCGTAGAACTAGTGGAGACTTCCGCTGATGTTAGGGATGTTGTTAAAATTTGCTGTGCTAATTTGTCAACATTTATTTTGTATTTTGTCAACCGCTTGCAAGATTTGATATCACATACACGCTGTTCATTTTAAACATAATTAAAATGATTGAACGAGACAATGGCGGAAGTTAGTTTTAAATCACATTCAGTATAAACCCCTATGGTGATAGTACTGCTGGTACCTAATGCATAAACATATCCGGATTGTACCTAACTTTTAAAAAGTAAACAAGGCGAACAATCGCCAAAGTCAGCCTCTTGTTTAGCAATATAGAAGTGATTCAGTTTAATATACTTGATAAGCAATGAAATATCTACATGTTATTACAAATACAAGCCATACCTACATTCTGACCCTGTTACCGTAATTATCAACCAATTGATGATGATGTCTGACCCAGTTACCGTAATTATCAACCAATTGTTGATGATGTCTGACCCAGTTACCGTAATTATCAACCAATTGATGATGATGTCTGACCCTGTTACCGTAATTATCAACCAATTGATGATGATGTCTGACCCAGTTAGAGTAATTATCAACCAATTGATGATGATGTCTGACTCTGTTACAGTAATTATTAATCAGTTGATGATGTCTTATCTAGTTACAGTAATTATTAATCAGTTGATGATGTCTTATCCAGTTACAGTAATTATTAATCAGTTGTAATTATTAATCAGTTGATGATGTCTGACCCTGTTACAGTAATTATTAATCAGTTGATGATGATGTCTGACCCTGTTACAGTAATTATTAATCAGTTGATGATGTCTTATCCAGTTACAGTAATTATTAATCAGTTGATGATGTCTTATCCAGTTACAGTAATTATTAATCAGTTGATGATGTCTTATCCAGTTACAGTAATTATTAATCAGTTGATGATGATGTCTGACCCTGTTACAGTAATTATTAATCAGTTGATGATGATGTCTGACCCTGTTACAATAATTATTAATCAGTTGATGATGATGTCTGACCCTGTTACAGTAATTATTAATCAGTTGATGATGATGTCTGACCCTGTTACAGTAATTATTAATCAGTTGATGATGATGTCTGACCCTGTTACAGTAATTATTAATCAGTTGATGATGATGTCTGACCCTGTTACAGTAATTATTAATCAGTTGATGATGATGTCTGACCCTGTTACAGTAATTATTAATCAGTTGATGATGATGTCTGACCCTGTTACAGTAATTATTAATCAGTTGATGATGTCTGACCCTGTTACAGTAATTATTAATCAGTTGATGATGATGTTACAGTAATTATTAATCAGTTGATGATGATGTCTGACCCTGTTACAGTAATTATTAATCAGTTGATGATGTCTTATCCAGTTACAGTAATTATTAATCAGTTGATGATGTCTTATCCAGTTACAATAATTATTAATCAGTTGATGATGATGTCTGACCCTGTTACAGTAATTATTAATCAGTTGATGATGATGTCTGACCCTGTTACAGTAATTATTAATCAGTTGATGATGATGTCTGGCCCTGTTACAGTAATTATTAATCAGTTGATGATGATGTCTGACCCTGTTACAGTAATTATTAATCAGTTGATGATGATGTCTGACCCTGTTACAGTAATTATTAATCAGTTGATGATGTCTGACCCTGTTACAGTAATTATTAATCAGTTGATGATGATGTCTGACCCTGTTACAGTAATTATTAATCAGTTGATGATGTCTGACCCTGTTACAGTAATTATTAATCAGTTGATGATGATGTCTGACCCTGTTACAGTAATTATTAATCAGTTGATGATGATGTCTGACCCTGTTACAGTAATTATTAATCAGTTGATGATGTCTGACCCTGTTACAGTAATTATTAATCAGTTGATGATGATGTCTGACCCTGTTACAGTAATTATTAATCAGTTGATGATGATGTCTGACCCTGTTACAGTAATTATTAATCAGTTGATGATGATGTCTGACCCTGTTACAGTAATTATTAATCAGTTGATGATGTCTGACCCTGTTACAGTAATTATTAATCAGTTGATGATGATGTCTGACCCAGTAACAGTAATTATTAATCAGTTGATGATGTCTGACCCTGTTACAGTAATTATCATTCAGTTTGATGATAATGTCTAACCCTGTTACTGTAATTATCAAGCAATTGATGATGATGTCAGACCCTGTTACAGTAATTATCAACCAATTGATGATGATGTCAGACCCTGTTGTTAACAGGGTCAGGATGTTTAGGATTTAACGTCGTACCCAAGTTACAGAGCATTTTGTTTAAAATTTAACGTCGTACCAAGTTACAGGGCAGTATGTTAAGGATTTAACGTTTTACCGAGTTACAGGGCAGTTAGTTGAGGATTTAACGTTTTACCGAGTTACACCGAGTTACAGGGCAGTTAGTTGAGGATTTAACGTCGTACCGAGTTACAGGGCAGTATGTTTATGATTTAAAGTCTTACCGAGTTACAGGACAAAGTGTTTAGGATTTAACGTCGTGCCAAGTTACAGGACAAAGTGTTTAGGATTTAACGTCTTACCAAGTCACAAGGTAGTATGTTTAGGATTTAACGTCGTACCAAGTTACAGGGCAGTATGTTAAGGATTTAACGTTTTACCGAGTTACAGGGCAGTTAGTTGAGGATTTAACGTTTTACCGAGTTACAGGACAGTTAGTTGAGGATTTAACGTTTTACCGAGTTACAGGGCAGTTAGTTGAGGATTTAACGTCGTACCGAGTTACAGGGCAGTATGTTTATGATTTAAAGTCTTACCGAGTTACAGGACAAAGTGTTTAGGATTTAACGTCGTGCCAAGTTACAGGACAAAGTGTTTAGGATTTAACGTCTTACCAAGTCACAAGGTAGTATGTTTAGAATTTAACGGCTTACCAAGTTACAGGGTAAAGTGTATAGGTTTTAATGTCTTACCAAGTTACAGGGTAAAGTGTATAGGTTTTAATGTCTTACCAAGTTACAGGGTAAAGTGTTTAGGATTTAATGTCTTACCAAGTTACAGGGTAAAGTGTTTAGGATTTAATGTCTTACCAAGTTACAGGGTAAAGTGTTTAGGATTTAATGTCTTACCAAGTTACAGGGTAAAGTGTTTAGGATTACACGTCGTACCAAGTTGCTTACTTGTCCATTTACTATAAAAACATGATCATGCTAAAGTTTGTTTTAAAATCATCACGTCAGTTGTAATCAATGTCTTACCCAGCAATAAAAGTTTGATTTCTTGTTGAGACTTTTCACGATCCTCTCGAAGTTTTTTGTCAATTTTCTTAGATTCCATCAGAGATTCTGTTTGCTGTGCAGACATCGCACAACCCATGGTGAGAGGCAAGCATGGACGGAATTCACCAACTAATTAAATACACCACAACCGAAAACGGTCAAAAGGGATCCTCATCGATGTTCACATCCAACGTAGGACTTGTGGGAATGTGCCACTTACAAAACATCCAGGTCCAACCAATTCATCTTTTATATATCCATGGTTTTTTTCTTTGTTTGCACTCACTATCTTCTTATGGAAATTTAAAATTTAATCTAAAATTCGTCCCAGTCATCAAAGTCTTCGAATGTATTCACGTGCTTCCTCTTGTAAACAGTAGTGTTAATTACCACATGGGCCTACAAACTCGTTCAACGCCGCGGAACATTTTATTACCCATTACACACCAAGCCGTTGACAAAACAATGATAAATTCGACGAATACTGTTGTACTTCCGTCAAACCGGAACTAACGTCATTTGAAGAGGCTGCTTCAACACCATCCGGGATCGAGATCATTTCAAGTATAGCAGCTTGGTAGATTTGGGGAAATTTGTATGCTGAGTGATATCTGTGGTACAGGTACAAGTACCAGTAAAGTGAGACCAAGTGTTTGCTGCAAACATACAGTTTGTAAGAAACTTAAATGAGCTACATTGCCCTTTCCTTACATGAGAGTATTTGCCTGTATCCACATATGAATATCGATGTCCGTTAGGAGCAGAAAGATATTGTTTAGGAATGGATGTAAACTGCTTCTTTGTTCGATATGGAGTGCAGTGTGTTCAATCTTCAAGAGTTCTCTTCTTGATTTTGTATAAACTGTTCAGTTTCTAGTTTTAAGACGTATACCGAGTATCGTCGACGAAGTAAAGATCGCCTACTCTTGCGGAACACCTGGTTATTGATTTGTATGTAATTCAATCTTAGTTTATACTCTCGAGAGTTGGTGAAGACTATGGGAAACTGTCATTCCCATTATGACATATCCTATATAACTATGCTTTGTGATTTCATTATTGTCAACCCGTCCTCGTTTTGAGAATGTTCAACAACTTGGATTAGCCTAGAAACACTTGGCCTTATGCTCTCAGTGCTGCGGACAAAATCACAAAAATGAAGAGTTTCTGATCGACACCTTCGTCGAGATTGATGGTAAGATGTTCCAACAGACTTTTGATATACTTGCATGTATGTGAACCAATCGTACCCCTCTCTTGACTGACTTGTTTTTGTTTTCATAGGAGGCTGAATATATCGAATAGTTTATCAAAACAAGCGACAAAGACTTGCAAAGTCGTTCGATTTTACTTTCATGTATATCGATGTCGTCTTGTCTTTAAATAACACGAAAAATATTGACCACGTCCATCGTATATACCCACCAATTTGGCCGATCGACAACGCAGAGATAACCACGCCTACCGAAAATAAAGGGAGGCTACTCTCACCATCTCCGACAAACATAGTGTCGTCAGCATTGAACGTCATTCCCAATGATATCGGACTTAATTATACTTCTAACGTGTCGTTGAAGAAAAAATTAAAAGCAAACGGTTTCGTGTCTGGGTCATACTTTCAACGAGCGTCCTTCCAAACAAGAGACGATGATACAGTTGAAATTAGTGGCCATGTTTTCCCCAGTCAGCGGAAAAATTTGGGGATATACCCGTTTTCAGTCGAATATTTATGAGGTTTTCCTTTTCAAATAAAGTTAACATGGCAAATCACTGCATTTATTCAATATATATACCAGTCAATAGGGAATTCAAAACACTAAATTTGTATCTATGAATTACAGCCCTTTCCGTTATTGAAGGAGTAAAAACTGTCTTTTTCATTTGACGCATATTGCCAGGACTCAGTAAGTCGCCACATTACTACGATCCGTTTTTCAGACGAGTATTTCTGAGACGGGATTTTTACTTTTTAAACTAATTTTATATGTGGTAGCAGTGCAATAATTAAATAAAGAAATATACCGGTCGTTAGGGAATTTAATAACCTAAAATTATGTATATATATTTTTTAGCCCCTTTCCTCCTTGAATGACTTAAAACAGTCCATTTAAGTAGTCACGTACTTTCATTTCCCTATACTCGCCATGTTAAATCGAGTCGATTTCAGTCTCTTTTGGTACACAGTGACGTCACTGGTCACTTATTGGGTTTTCAGACAACAGTTTCCGTGAAATCGATAATTTTGCCATTTTAACAGTCAATGTCGCTTTTATGGTTCATCTTTGAAAATTTTTATTTCTTGTAAAGTGGTCACAGTAACCTATATTTTCATATATAAAAAAATATTTTTCGCTGAAGATACCCTTTAAACACCACACAATGTTGAATCTGTTTATGTTTTTTTCCTCTTTACATTTTTGCTAATAATTAAAAACAAAACAAAGTTCAAGTGGTGTGATTGTTTTCTATGGAGCAGAATTAATGAAATAAAAATAAAAACAGTCGCCATGCAGGGTTAGCTCAGTTGGTAGAGCATAGGCTCCACGACCAGAAGGGTGCAGAGGACCGGGTGGGTTTGAATCCCCCCCGGCAGCAGCAATTTCTTTCACCTCTGTTTCAAGTGGGAAGGAAGTGGTAAACCCCAAAGAAACAAACAAAACAAGTTTGCTTTTACAGTCATATAAAGTCTTTATAAAATGGCCACCAAGATACATCACTGATATAATGGTTACTTTCTAAACTGGCATTAAATTCTTAAATTTTTGGGTTTTTTTTTTTATTTATATCATGTTAATGGGTTTTTTTTTCATCAAGAATATTAATACCTTATTGGAAGACTTTAAGATTTTATTTCAACTGTTTAACCATAACAGTAAACATTCATTTTATCACAGACCATTCACAAAGTAAAACTTTGTAAAAGAGCAGAAACATGTCCAGATAATTTCATTTCCCTTCAGTCAATAAATATCCGAAAATGGTCAGTCCGAAATCAAGCTTGTTTATAAACACACACATTAACATGCGGCTTATTAGCACATGAGAGAGGATTATAAAACTTATGCTAGCAAAATTTTGAGTGAAAAACAAATACTGATGTTCATTGCAATATTGTACACGTGAGTCTGGGAATATTTACGCACTTTTGAGCAGACATAAATAAAAAATGCTTTCCTTTAGAAGGACACCACAGGATCTCCTCGTTAAGTTGATACTTAGGCCGTCCGCACAATCCAGAGACGTATATATCACATATATGTGATATATACGTCTCTGGCACAATCGGAGCCAAGATTTGCACTTCTCATGCTTCATCTGAGATTTGGGAAACGGTATGAACACAACACCTCCCTATAATCGCTCGGGGTAGCGAAATCGGTGTTGCAAGTTCCCCAGCAGCAGAGTATCACCATTGTCGGAGAATGTCGGAGTAGCGAAATGTAAACAAAGAGGCGAATACTACCCGCGATCTGATTGGCTAAACCGCGCTGTCAATCAAAAGCTGTCGATCGGCCAATTGGAAATCAAAGATTGTATTTGTTTATGGGTGTCAGTATATATGTTTCATTTGTTCATATTTTGCGTCAATTTGAAAATTGAACAACAATTTATTGTTTTGTTTTTTAATTTAATTTTTAAAGAACAATTTTGTCGTGCCCTCTATAGTCCGTTTTTCATCATGAAGTATGATTGTGTTGTATCCACGATTTGAAGTTTGAAGTTTACAGTATAATACAACTGGAACAGCAATGGGTGTAGGTAGGTTATTACGGTGTAGGTAGGTTATTACAGTATAATTCAACTGGAACAGCAATGGGTGTAGGTAGGTTATTACAGTGTACTTCAACTGGAACAGCAATGGGTGTAGGTAGGTTATTACAGTGTACTTCAACTGGAACAGCAATGGGTGTAGGTAGGTTATTACAGTATAATTCAACTGGAACAGCAATGGGTGTAGGTAGGTCATTACAGTATAATTCAACTGGAACAGCAAGGTTTATAGGTAGGTATGTTCCTGGTTATCGTCTGTATTCTGTATCAGACAATGTTCCTGGTTATCGTCTGTATTCTGTATCAGACAATGTTCCTGGTTATCGTCTGTATTCTGTATCAGACAATGTTTGTGACCTGGTTATCGTCTGTATTCTGTATCAGACAATGTTTGTGACCTGGTTATCGTCAGTATTCTGTATCAGACAATGTTCCTGGTTATCGTCTGTATTCTGTATCAGACAATGTTTGTGACCTGGTTATCGTCTGTATTCTGTATCAGACAATGTTCCTGGTTATCGTCTGTATTCTGTATCAGACAATGTTCCTGGTTATCGTCTGTATCAGACAATGTTCCTGGTTATCGTCTGTATTCTGTATCAGACAATGTTTGTGACCTGGTTATCGTCTGTATTCTGTATCAGACAATGTTCCTGGTTATCGTCTGTATTCTGTATCAGACAACGTTCCTGGTTATCGTCTGTATTCTGTATCAGACAACGTTCCTGGTTATCGTCTGTATTCTGTATCAGACAACGTTCCTGGTTATCGTCTGTATTCTGTATCAGACAACGTTCCTGGTTATCGTCTGTATTCTGTATCAGACAACGTTCCTGGTTATCGTCTGTATTCTGTATCAGACAATGTTTGTGGCCTGGTTATCGTCTGTATTCTGTATCAGACAACGTTCCTGGTTATCGTCTGTATTCTGTATCAGACAATGTTTGTGACCTGGTTATCGTCTGTATTCTGTATCAGACAATGTTCCTGGTTATCGTCTGTATTCTGTATCAGACAACGTTCCTGGTTATCGTCTGTATTCTGTATCAGACAACGTTCCTGGTTATCGTCTGTATTTTGTATCAGACAACGTTCCTGGTTATCGTCTGTATTCTGTATCAGACAACGTTCCTGGTTATCGTCTGTATTCTGTATCAGACAATGTTTGTGGCCTGGTTATCGTCTGTATTCTGTATCAGACAACGTTCCTGGTTATCGTCTGTATTCTGTATCAGACAATGTTTGTGACCTGGTTATCGTCTGTATTCTGTATCAGACAATGTTCCTGGTTATCGTCTGTATCAGACAATGTTCCTGGTTATCGTCTGTATTCTGTATCAGACAATGTTCCTGGTTATCGTCTGTATTCTGTATCAGACAACGTTCCTGGTTATCGTCTGTATCAGACAATGTTCCTGGTTATCGTCTGTATTCTGTATCAGACAATGTTCCTGGTTATCGTCTGTATCAGACAATGTTCCTGGTTATCGTCTGTATTCTGTATCAGACAATGTTCCTGGTTATCGTCTGTATTCTGTATCAGACAATGTTCCTGGTTATCGTCTGTATTCTGTATCAGACAATGTTCCTGGTTATCGTCTGTATTCTGTATCAGACAATGTTTGTGACCTGGTTATCGTCTGTATTCTGTATCAGACAATGTTCCTGGTTATCGTCTGTATTCTGTATCAGACAATGTTTGTGACCTGGTTATCGTCTGTATTCTGTATCAGACAATGTTCCTGGTTATCGTCTGTATTCTGTATCAGACAATGTTCCTGGTTATCGTCTGTATTCTGTATCAGACAATGTTTGTGGCCTGGTTATCGTCTGTATTCTGTATCAGACAACGTTCCTGGTTATCGTCTGTATTCTGTATCAGACAATGTTTGTGACCTGGTTATCGTCTGTATTCTGTATCAGACAATGTTCCTGGTTATCGTCTGTATCAGACAATGTTCCTGGTTATCGTCTGTATCAGACAATGTTCCTGGTTATCGTCTGTATTCTGTATCAGACAATGTTTGTGACCTGGTTATCGTCTGTATTCTGTATCAGACAATGTTCCTGGTTATCGTCTGTATTCTGTATCAGACAATGTTCCTGGTTATCGTCTGTATTCTGTATCAGACAATGTTCCTGGTTATCGTCTGTATTCTGTATCAGACAATGTTTGTGACCTGGTTGATATGATAAGTTTGGAACTGAATATTTGTCAGCGATGGTCTTAATTATACAGCATCTTTCTTTCTTTGTCTTATAAAAAGTGGGCAAACCACAAGCCTCCATTGCTGGTATGATTGTGTCCATAGCCAATTCGACACAAATTGCTCTAGGTGGCATGCCATGGACCTCCTGTATGTTGTTCAATAAGGTAGCTGCCATCTACTACAAGGATACTTCTCCTCTAAATGGTTCTGGCTATCAAACAATCAAGTTAGTTTATAGCCCATCTCAGTGTTAACTCCACGTACATTAGTCTCTATACACAGAGTCAACACGTAATACATCATATTTAACAAAGGGTCAATACACAATTACATTAGATTCAACACGGGGTCAACACAAAATTACGTCAGATTCAACACAAGGTCAACACAAAATCACATCAGATTCAACACAAGGTCAACACATAATTACATCAGCTTCAACACAAGGTCAACACAAAATTACATCAGATTCAACACAAGATCAATACACATTACATCAGATTCAACATAAGGTCAATACTCAATTACATCATATTCAACATAAGGTATATACACTATTACATCAGATTCATCACAGGGCCAACACAGAATGCACCAGATTCAACGCAGGGTCAACACTCAATTACATCAGATTCAACACAGGGTCAACTCTCTCAATTTCATCAGATTCAACAAAGGGTCAACAAACAATTACATCAGATTCAACATAAGGTCAACACACAGTTACATCAGATTCAACACAAGGTCAACACACCATTACATCAGATTCAACACAAGGTCAACACAAAATTACATCAGATTCAACACAGGGTCAACACATAATTACATCAGATTCAACACAAGATCAATACACAATTACATCATATACAACATAAGGTAAATGCACTATTACATCAGATTCATCACAGGGCCAACACAGAATATATCAGATCCAAAACAGGGTCAACACTTAATTACATCAGATTCAAAACAAGGTCAACATATAATTACATCAGATTCAACACTTGGTCAATACACAATTACATCAGATTCAACACGGGGTCAACACAAAAGTACGTCAGATTCAACAAAGGGTCAACAAACAATTACATCAGATTCAACAAAGGGTCAACAAACAATTACATCAGATTCAAAACAAGGTCAACACATAATTACATCAGATTCCACACGGGGTCAATACACAATAACGTCAGATTCAACACAAGGTTAACAAACAATTACATAAGATTCAACACAGGATCAACACTCAATTACATCAGATCCAACACAAGGTCAACACACCATTACATCAGATTCAACATAGGGTCAACAAACAATTACATCAGATTCAACACAGAGCCAACACAGAATACATCAGATTCAACAAAGGGTCAACAAACAATTACATCAGATTTAGACAGAGCCAACACAGAATACATCAGATTCAACACAGTGCCGCCAACATAAAATTACATCAGATTCAACACAGGGTCAACACAAAATTACATCAGATTCAACACAGGGCCAACACAGAATACATCAGATTCAACACAGGGCCAACACAGAATACATCAGATTCAACACAAGGTCTACACAATAACATCAGATTCAACATAAGGTAAATACACAGTTACATCAGATTCAACACAGGGCCAACACAGAATACATCAGATTCAACACAAGGTCAATACACAGTAACATCAGATTCAACTTAAGGTAAATACACAATTACATCAGATTCAACACAGGGCCAACACAGAATACATCAGATTCAACACAGGGTCAACACTCAATTACATCAGATTCAACACAGGGTCAACACTCAATTTCATCAGATTCAACATAAGGTCAATACTCAATTACATCATATTCAACACTTGGTCAATACACTATTACATCAGATTCATCACAGGGCCAACACAGTATACATCAGATTCAACAAAGGGTCAACAAACAATTACATCAGATTCAACACAGGGCCAACACAGAATACATCTTATTCAACACAGGGTCAACACTTAATTACATCAGATTCAACACAATGTCAACACATAATTACATCAGATTCAACAAAGGGTCAACAAACAATTACATCAGATTCAACACAGGGCCAACACAGAATACATCTTATTCAACACAGGGTCAACACTCAATTACATCAGAATCAACACAAGGTTAACACACCATTACATCAGATTCAACAAAGGGTCAACAAACAATTACATCAGATTCAACACAATGTCAAAACACAATTATATCAGATTCAATTCAGGGGCAACACACACTCACATCAGATTCATCACCGAGTCAAATGCATTTACATCGGATTCAACACTTGGTCAATGCACAATCACGGCAGATTCAACATAGGGTCAACACACAATTACATCAGATTCAACACAGGGCCAACACACAATTACTTCAGATTCAACACGGGGTCAACACACAATTTCATCAGATTCAACAAAGGTTCAACACACAATTACATTGGATTAAACATTTGGATTCAACACAGGTTCAACATATCATGACATCAGATTCAACGTAGGGTCAACATACAAGACGTCATATTCAGCACTTTTCTATACCTTTTAACATCATTTATGATGTTGGTGATGATGATGATGATGATGATGATGATGATGATGATGATGATGATGATGATGATGATGATGAATAATGAAATATATTTGAAAAACTTATGTCTACGTAAAAAATCTTTCAAATTTCACAGTATTGACTTTAACTAATCTCTGTATGGTTTTATTTGTGACTTATTTTCATTATAAGGTAAATCTTATCTTTCCAAAGTGTTTTAAATTTCACATGCGTTTGCTTAAATTTTGGATGTAATTACACTACGTAATGATCAACTAATGTGACGAGACGTCATCCTTAAGATATGTGATAGAAAATCGTAGTTACCTCCCATGACAAAGAGGGCACTGTGAAATGAAGATGAAAATGGCCGACGGGAGTACAGCGGTTCTCCGCCGAAACAGGCCAGGAACCAAATCAGAGGCAATATATCGATAAATTAACTGTAGCAATAATATCTTTGAAATATATCGCATGTTCTTAGGGAGGGTTGGTGTTGAGTGAGGCGTTGATTTTACGAAGCCAGGCAATGTTTACTCTCTAACTTCAGTCACTTCCGGTTTTCTTTGCCTATTTGGGCACGGAATCGGACGTTCTATATGTGAAATATAACTATTATGCTATGACAATCGCTGAGGTTATTTATTTCCTGTGGTTGGAGAATGTATGCAATGTGTATCAAATAATACTGTTCTGTTGCATTATGTTATTTACACATATATAAGTCTTTGTAGTGTTCGTGAAATATGAGTGAGACTGCATAGACAAAAATAAGCATTTTAAGTTGTGTAAATACTATAATGAATATTAAAACGGTTTAAATGAATTCCAGTTTGGCGAAAGACAAATAAAATTGATTGATATCGTAACTTTGTATTATAGAACTGGTGCAGTTGGAGTGATGAGTCATTTGAAGAGATGGATAGCACTCTTGCTGTACAACAGGTACGAGTATACACAAATATGATAAATCTATGCCAATATTGACGTTCTAAAATGTAAGTCGAGCACTTCCTGATAAAATTGCATTTATCCAGTTAGCATTGTATAAGTGCTTGAATGTCAATCTGAACCCGTTCAGTATATGTTTTTGTTGATGATTTTTATTCCTTCACTGGTAGTAGTTGATAACCAACAATTTCTTTACAACAGATACATATACCCTGGTATATATACTGTCAGTAGTTGGTAAATATATAAAAAGGTTATAACAGTATATCTAAGAAATCATTTTTATAAGACATGGACATTATATTGAAGTGCATTCCATTTTTTACCCCTCAGCTTGGTTGTGCATATTTTACAAGGCACCAATAAATTGGTGCTATTCAGTGGTCAGGTGATTCAATATTGTAACATGCTCACCTTTCCAGATCATCTGGGGTTCTGTTCCCAAAACAAACGTGAAAAGGTATTGGGGTCACATGTCCGACCATATGGATTTCAACTGAATACTCTGGTTTCCTGCCTCTATAAGACCCCTCATGTGACCCTATTCAGGCCATCAAGAGAGAAATATAAACTAACAGCTTGTTTTGAATTTGTTGTAAAATGGTTAAGATTTACATGTAAATTAGTGCTATCAATAGGTAGTTATTCACACACAAAAGATGGATTCATATACAAACCAGACTGTTGAGAAATGTGAGCAGACAACAATGCACTGTTCACCGATATTGTGGATTTGAGAGATTATATAGGCATATTGGAACATTTAACCATTGATTATCAGTCATATTGTGTGTATTATCAAGACATGTACAAGTGCAATCTGGGTGACATCATCAATATTTATCTGGTGCCCAAATTTCATTCATGTTGACAATAAATTCAATCTGACATCAATCTGACAAGACTTCAAATACACATATTTACATTTTGATATAATTTAAAACATAACCATGTCTTTTTGTCTAATTTGAAAGTTTTTCTTTGCTATATGTTAACATACGGAAAAAGTGTTTTTAAAAATCATACACAGCAAAATGATAAAGATGAAGCTGTAAGGCAATGAGGTAAAGTGTAAAATGTTGACGAATCGTTTGTCAACTTGACAACAAAAATGATGTCATGTTTTTGCTCAGTGAATACAATATAGATTAAGAGTTAGTTAATGGGAGGTCATCATGCAAAATGTAAGCATATCGTGATGTCTAAAAGTCTAGATACAATGTTGTGGCAATTAAAATTTGGTTGGATTTGACTTCAATTGTGTCATAAGAGTGATAAGACATGTGTAACCTTAAGGTAGGATGTATACAGATTTTTACATGTATGTTTTATGATAAAGTGAAAGACAGTATTTCCCTTACAGTTTATACAACAGGCCATTAGGAAAGACTTTACAAATGTTGAGGAGATTTTAACTCCCCCAGAAGGGCAGGATGAAGGTGTTTGGAAGTATGAACATCTTAGGTAGGTGAAACAATTTACTATTTTTTTTTATACCAGCTGTGATTAGGTAAAAAAAAATTGTATTACACCCATGTGTTAGACCACCTTTTCTAAACCAGATGAGTCTAGTTATCATGTAGATTGGACTGACAGTTTTCAGTCTTCACAGAAAGTTAAATAAAATGATAGATGCCTGTTGCAACATTCAAGTAATTTTTAACAGTGTGCTATATACCCTAGCCATAAAGTATTTATGTTGTGAAAGGAAACTAGCAATAAGTGATGGTTAATGTGACAATATGTAAATGTAGCCTTGTATATATGAATGGCGTATATCTGTCGGAAAATAATTAAAAAAATCATTAATCTTATATCTTTTTTTGTACTTTACATTGTTCCTCCACCAATGTCTTTTATATTTCACAGACAGTTTTGTATGGAGCTGAATGGCTTGGCAGTGAAACTACAAATAAATGTATGTAAACATTTATTATCTTTTTATATGTTATGTACATTTTCAACAATGTAATGTTATACATATATAGCTTTGATTTTGATAATTGGAAGAGAACATCTAGTTTCTGAATAGAAGTAAACCACAGGAGGTAATCAATGGACAACAATGGCAGACAATTAACCTCATTTATTGTCTCAAGATTTCTGGCTCAAATTCTGCAAACCTATGTAGAATGTTCATATTCCATACATACATGCATACAGATGGTTGACTCTTTTGGTCCTAAGCTTTCAGTAATTTTACAGCCGCATATAAAAAAGATACTTTTTGCTAAACCTGATATATCTAGTGTGGAAATGAATTGCCTAATGTATGTTATCTCATCAGAATGAATGTAACCCAGAGACCTGTACCCAGATGACAGCCACAGAACAATGGATCTTCCTGTGTGCTGCCCACAAGACTCCAAAAGAGGTATTTTTCTACGATAGTATGAGTGTGTAATAAGAGGTTACACTTTACTTTTGCTGTTGTAAAAAGTATCACTGTAAAGCATTCTAGCAGGGTTATTGCTATTTATTTAGTGATACACATTGTAGCTGTAGTATTTATTTAGTGAGACACATCGTAGCTTGGGTACTTATTCAGTTAGACACATTGTAGCTGTGGTATGTATTCAGTGAGACACATTGTAGCTGTGGTATGTATTCAGTGAGACACATTGTAGCTGGGGTATTTATTCAGTGATACACATTGTAGCTGGGGTATTTATTCAGTGAGACACATTGTAGCTGGGGTATTTATTCAGTGATACACATTGTAGCTGGGGTATTTATTTAGTGATACACATTGTAGCTGGGGTATGTATTCAGTGAGACACATTGTAGCTGTGGTATGTATTCTGTGAGACACATTGTAGCTGGGGTATTTATTCAGTGATACACATTGTAGCTGGGGTATTTATTCAGTGAGACACATTGTAGCTGGGGTATTTATTCAGTGTGACACATTGTAGCTGGGGTATTTATTCAGTGAGACACATCGTAGCTTGGGTACTTATTCAGTTAGACACATTGTAGCTGTGGTATGTATTCAGTGAGACACATTGTAGCTGTGGTATGTATTCAGTGAGACACATTGTAGCTGGGGTATTTATTCAGTGATACACATTGTAGCTGGGGTATTTATTCATTGTAGCTGGGGTATTTATTCAGTGTGACACATTGTAGCTGGGGTATTTATTCAGTGTGACACATTGTAGCTGGGGTATTTATTTAGTGATACACATTGTAGCTGGGGTATTTATTCAGTGTGACACATTGTAGTAGGGATCATATCTTGAAAACTTCAAAAGAAATTTTGTTCATATTTATCCCAAATTATTATAACATCAATTTCTACATCTATTCTTTTCAAGGTAGTCAAGTTTAAAGGATCAAAGGTTGCATTTGACAACATTCTGCAAATTATCATAAAGTGCATAGATCAGAGGTATTTTTAACATTTTTTTTCTTTAGTGTCCAGCAATCGACTACACAAGACACACTCTAGATGGAGCTGCTTGTCTTCTTAATAGCAACAAATACTTCCCAAGCAGGTAAGCATCGTAACATTGTAATGATTTTAGAATACTTTGTGAGCCAGCATTTATTCAAATAGTGCTGCAATAAAGGGTGATAATGCTTGTTTTTTTAAAATAAAAATGCTGGAAAATGTATACAAGTGATAGCATTATGATGGTTAATATCAACAGGTTACTTTTTTTTCAGAGTTAGTATAAAGGAATCGTCAGTAGCCAAACTTGGATCTGTTTGTCGGCGTGTGTACAGGATCTTCTCTCATGCTTACTTCCACCATAGGACACTCTTTGATGAATATGAGGTAAGATCTGTTGATTGTTTTTATTTAAACTGAATTTTAGATAAAATTATTTGAAGTTTGATTTGTGTGTTTTAGAAAAAAATAAACTAATAAAATAATCTACTGCAACATGTGTGCAAAATATTTTGTGAACATGAATGACTTGGGGAAAACAGATGGCATGTAATGAACACGAGCAGCAGTGATATTTTTATGAATACTTTTGTACTTCTATTTTGTTTTTTGTTTTCAGAATGAAACCTACCTCTGTAGAAGATTTACAAATTTTGTGACCAAATATAACTTGATGTCCAAAGACAACTTGATAGTTCCAATTCTAGAGGACCAACAAGGAATTGAGGGAGAGAGTGAAGCTTAGTGAGAGATAACTCTTTAGTTTTTCATATTCTGCAAGACTACAATTATGGCATACACTATGAAGAATTATGCTTTGGTTAAGGGACATAACTCCATGATCACTTATAGGACCTAAAGTCATCCTGTCTCGAAACAGTGTCTGTCCTTAGAAGTGGACAGACCAAAAAAGTTTCTCATCGAACAAAATTGTTTTCTATTCAACAAATGGTTTAGTTGTCTCTGTGTCAGTACAAACTTCAGTGGAATGGCTTCAGTGTTGTAGTATTAGGGGCTTAGTCAAGACTTAGAGATAACATTAAAATGTAAGGGAGACAACTATTACAGGGAGACAACTCAGGGTAGATTTGTGTCAACACCGTGAATGTAAATGTTCACTTGAGATGGATCTCTTTGTTGACTTTATAGAGCCAGGTCACATCCAGTTGATCATTCATTGTGTCATATATTTGTCACACATGTTTAAGTCCCACATTCATTTGTCTGAATCCATTAACACATGAATCTCCAACAATATGACTATCATTGGTGCAATATCTTGTAGATTCTACAGTAGTCCTGCTGAATTTTGAAAAAGTTATTCTATGGAATATCTAGATAAAATTATAGCACATAAATAGTTCAAATAAGAATTAATGTATGGATTAGGCTGTAGTTTCACATGAACACAAAGAATATGTATATATATATATATATATAACTGATGCCATCAAGAACATCAATATTGATACATTTTTGCTACCTGGATTTTAATGATAATCTGCAAGTGTAATATGTGAATATAAGTTATTACAAAATTTGTTCGTTTTTGGAACTTAATCATTTTAGGTAGGGAAATGCCTGTTTTGTCTGTAAAATAGGGCAAAAATTCCAAGTAAATTTCTCTGTATGTAGAATTATGTATTCTTTTCTTGGTGAAACATGGTGATTTTGATGACTGTACACAAGAAATGACAATTAATTAGCTGCAGAATGTGTGCATTGTATTTTGTCTTCACTAAAAATCAGGAGATGAAAAATCACGGACAACTGAGGTTGAGAGAGTGCTTTAACTTATATATAGTTTGTGATGAGAAGGATGTGTGTGATAATAATATTAGAGATTACAATTAACCCATTTATTATGTATTGTTTATTTACATATTTGTATCAAGTCGTAATAAATTGTCATTTTGAAAAGTAAGGAGTGATTTTGTTGTAGATGTTGTATTGTTGTTGTGACTTGAGCATGGCACATGTAACCATTACAAAAAATGTTGTCTCCCATTTTGATTTTGAATATTGATTCTTGAACATCAGATGAAGGGAGATAATCAAGACGATAAAGGAAGTTACTGTAATTGAGATGAAGGAAGATAAATTAGTTTTATACTGAAGTGATCTTTGTTTTCCCTATGGAGTCATGTTATCCAAAAGGAAAGAAAAAATGTCCTTGATCCCTCACATTTAAATGATTTGACTCAAATAAAAACGGAATTCATAAGACTTGGATGAAAAGGATTGAACTTGGTGAGGAATTGAAATGGGTTCTGTCATCCTGGTTACAATGAATTGTACAACAGGGAATACACTCATGAATGATAAAGAGTCATCCTATAGAATGTATGTTGAAGATATTTTTGTTTCACGTTTAGGAGTCCATGTCTGGAAACCACCAGTGCTTAACTGTACATTATATGTACATGCCATTTAGGTTAAACAAAGTGACAACAATATTGTCCAGTGTATTGTTAAATATCACTGTAAGGCCATTTTCATTTACCTAGTCCAAAATATTCTGACCAGTGAGATGACCGATATAGTTATAAGGTCGCCTGACCCGAAGGGTCAGGATGACCTATAGCAATCGTGCTTTGCCCCTCGTCATCGTGTGTTGTGCGCTGTCCTCTGCATTAAATTTCCATTCCAATAATTTTTCTCAATAACCAAATGGTCCAGGGTGGTGATATAAGTGGGTACCATTTTCTTGATATGAATTACTTTGACCCACTTTCAAGGTCAAAGGTGTCAAATATGTCCAAAACTTTGAACAACATTTTCTCAATTTGCAAAAGGTCCATGGTACAGATATTGGGTATTTAGCATGCTGGGATAAAGGGCTACTAAGTTTGTTAAAATTAATTATGTTGACCCACTGTCAAGGTCACAGGGGTAAAATGTGTTGAAATATTCAAATGACATCTCATTTACCAAAAGGTCAATGGTGCTGATATTGGTCTTGTAGCATGCTGGGATAAAGGGCTACCAAGTTTATTCACCTTGACCTACTGTCAAGGTCACAGGGGTCAAATGTTTTGAAATGTTTAAGCAACTTCTCGAAAACCAAAGGGCCACTTTCGCGCTTCTCATACAGTATTTTATATAATACCGTCACTCGGTTAACAGCGGACATAGCACACAGTGTTATCGTGTCGCGGGTATAAACTTGCCCATGCCCAGAGTCTTGATATTGGGCATGTAGCATACTTTTACAACAAGCAATATGTTCGGAGTAATGGCATTTGTATAATGTATGTATAAAGAATATGATTTCAAGTTTACAGAAAATGTCTTTATGAACCAGCCAATGTCTTCGATGTAAGCTGTAGTGCAAATGGGTAATCTATTTTACGCCTATTTGTCCTCTTTCATACATAGGTCTGTTTAGTCCGATGGCCCTTAAATCCCGCGGGCCTCTTGTCTAAATTTGCTGTATGGTAAGCCTTGACCAAGATTTTTAAGGCCTATCTCAACCACGGGCTTAGGATAGATACTAGGATCTGTGTCTTAACATCAGCAGAACTGTAACGGTATATGTCCAAAAGTTACAAAACTAATTTGATCCATCCCATCTATGTTGGTTTTGTTTCTTTGACTGTGCTATTTGTGTATGAAAACATTCAGCGGACTCGGGACACATCAGGACTTGCGATGAGTTAAAAACGTTATGCTGAGAGTATCACTGATGGAGCGATAAACATGTCTTATACAAAGAGGTCCAATATGGACATCGTTTACCGTGTTACCAGACTAGTAACTACCAGAGCGTGACTCCTTCTTAAAAATATATGTTCCGACTGACCGTATTAAAGAAAATATTACGATTAGAAGTGGTGCAGCGATATGGGTCCATGGATGTCCTGCATTGAGGGAGTAACTGATTTATTTAATCAGAAAAACTCAATATCTTTGTTATTGAAATATCATGCTTGAAGTAGATGTATATCGTTTCGTGTTCTTATTAACAAACCTACCAAAAGGAGTTGTATTTATGAGACTATAAATGCATTGCCGCTTTGACGTCATTCCTGCAATGTATATTCATGGAGACGGCGATCATTAGTACATATTGTCGACTCGGAATCGGACCGTAAAAAAAACATACAAGTGAATAGTAAATTTCACTAGATTCAGAATTACATACATTAATCCAAAAGTAAGGAATTGGAATGCATTGCATATAGTTGTATTTTCAGTGATGTCAAAAGCCTGAAACTTTTGATGTAAATGAGAACAGTTCATACTGGCTGAAATAAATGTCAAAAAGTAGATGATGTGAAAACGTAAACATCGAATTGTCGTGAAATGGCAGATATTCATCATATAAATGACACGCATAATGACGGATGTCGCTGTTGTAATGCTGTGTCATTCATGAGATATATCAATGTCATATGAAGCTTAAGATTTTATAATGTCTTTGTGCTGACAAGTTGATGGGACCCTAACGTGTCCAATTTCACATGCTGACGGTTAACTTCATGCAATCATCAGCGTCATTCTCACCTGCACGTGGTAGATTACCTATAAACAGAATCACAATTATAGTAATATCTTCTCCCAGTGTTCATGGAAATAGTGTTAATGAGATAACATAAAACCCTAAATTGACCATATAGTCTCACTTAATATCCCTTTTGTGACGATTCAGTACTTATGACGCCATGAAATTACGACGTCACAAAATAGTAGCAAAGTGGACCTTCAGCCAATCATCCTTCCGATGGGTGTTACTACGCGTGTGGTCACGACGCATTATGCCTACGTAGAGGAACTTAAACGAGTTTCCATTTTCTATGAGATTTATGTAATGCGTGTTGAATTTGTCACATTTTGCGAACATACGGAACTATAGGATCTGGTTCCCAATCCTATTTTTCTTAAACGTAACTGGAGCCAGGTTCCCGCTTCTCTTTTTTCTTACACGGAACTCATGGTCTGGTTCACAGAAATGTTTTCTTAAATCGAGAGTCGTGTTTTAAAAGATCTTCAAATGTTGAATATAGTGAAAAATGGTGATTTTGCCCCTTTTTGATGAAGTTTCCGGTTGACGTCTTCGTCGAGTTTTGCTGTAAGATCTTCCAACAGACTATTGGCATAACTACGTACGGGAACTAGCCGTGCCTCTCTGTTGGCTGACCTTTTTTGTTCGCATACGTGGATGAAGTTATCGAAGAGCTTATCAAAACAGGTCATAAAGACCTTTCAAGGTTCTTCAGTGTCACTCAATCCAGATATACTGATGACGTCTTGTTTAAAAAACAACAGATATAAGGACCATGTTCATTTTATATACTCAGCTGAACTGGACACCATGGACACGAAAGACTCATCTACAGCAGCCACTTATCTCGTCTTTACCTACAAACCAACACGGACAGTTTCCTACCAAGCTGCGTGTTCCCAAAATCGCGACTTTCGTCAATTGGCAAACTCATAACACAGGGTTTCCAAAGATGCAGGTTGATGAACATTATTGAAAAACATTTTTTGCGGTCGTCATAGTGATCTCACTGAGTACTGAAATATTCTATGTCTTTGCGCGATATGAAGCTGGACGTGGTTTTTGCTCGTTGATTTGCCGTTTGATTCCATATTCTCATTTGAGAACGTGGCATTATATACTTGGATTGATCAAAATTTACAAGCAGAAGACGCTTATTCTTCCGGAGTACCTAGTCTAATTCTCTATGTACTTTTTCTAGGTATCTCCGTGTAACTTTCTTTGGTCACATTCTGTCCTAGTTTTATTAAACTTGAGTTTAGTTTATGATTCTATTTATATGTTGATATGTTCTTGATGATAGTCATTTCAACTATAATTTTGTTGTATGATATAAGGTATATGTTGATATGTTCTTGATGATAGTCATTTCAACTATAATTTTGTTGTATGATATAAGGTATATTTTGATATGTTCTTGATGATAGTCATTTCAACTATAATTTTGTTGTATGATATAAGGTATATTTTGATATGTTCTTGATGATAGTCATTTCAACTATAATTTTGTTGTATGATATAAGGTATATTTTGATATGTTCTTGATGATAGTCATTTCAACTATAATTTTGTTGTATGATATAAGGTATATTTTGATATGTTCTTGATGATAGTCATTTCAACTATAATTTTGTTGTATGTTATAAGGTATATTTTGATATTGATGATAGTCATTTCAACTATAATTTTGTTGTATGATATAAGGTATATGTTGATATGTTCTTGATGATAGTCATTTCAACTATAATTTTGTTGTATGATATAAGGTATATTTTGATATGTTCTTGCATAAATTTGTAATATGATTTTCAAGTTTAAAGGTTAATAATAACCGGATATACTAAAAATTGCAGTTTTCATTCATGAAAAATGATTTATATGAAATGGTAGCGTTTGTTCTACATTTGGATGTGTAATATCATAACACTGCAGATACGTTTGAAATTGTTCGTGAAGTAATAACAAACACATCTTTTTGCAGACCCAAAACCATATCTGACAGAAAAATCTCTGACAATGAAAGGCACAGATCAATATTATGTTGGCATAGCTATGTACATATCCGATTGACCAGTCGCTAAAATACTCGGCTATTAATTTGTATGAACACCGGTCATAACAGGCATTGGTCTTTGCCACGGGATATATTAAATTTAGGCACGGACTTCCATATCAAAGTCCGTGATTGGATTTTCGGCATGCTCGATATAGGGTAAGTTTAAAATGCCTCGAGCTCGCTACCACCGTCGTAACGGTGTAATGTTTTGACACTGAACATCACATAAATCGTAATTTTAATGCCACTGACTAAACAGTTCGTGTGGTGTTGGGTGAATTTTCTTCCTGTAGATAAATATTTCCGAAGATTTTTTCTTAGATTTTGGATTATATCATACAAGATGTAAAATATAAGAATCGTGTTTTGAAGTCAGCTTTAAATCTGTGGAGCTAGCCTTACGTCTGTTAACGCCAGTACTATAATATCACAACATATCACAATGAAATCGTGCATCACAGATAGCTGAATATATAGTAAAAAAAACCCACATTTTTCTAAAGGTCATGCAAACAGAGCACTTGTGTAGCATAGATTTATGAAAAAGCATTTTAGAAATGACGATGTAAAAGTTTTACGACAGGCATAAAAAGATAAAAAAAAACCCAAAAAGCAGCGGTAAAAATGATAAAAGAATTAACAGTAACCAAAGGTAAGGCCACACCAATTATTAAAAGTAGTTCTTTGGGAATTACCTCTCTTAAAAGAGCAGAGAGAAAAAAAAAATTAATAAAATCTCTGCTCCTGAAAAAAAACCCAGGAAAGAATATGTGTTGGGAGATAAATGTTTGATGATTAGAAAGGTGTTTATTGCATGCTAAGACACATCCCAGAGTTGAACAGAATTTGTCATTCCATGACACTATCATGTCTTATGTCAGTGAAAAGAAATCTGGGTAGTCTCAGGTAGGCCTTTATTATTCAACTTTTCCAGGTTGATCAATGCCAGCCACATTTTAATGATAATTTTTTTTTTTTTTTGCAGACTTATGGAAATAGTTTTCGGGACCATTGATTATTGACAAATTATTAAAATTTCTGACGTTCTGTATCAACTTTTATATATTGGTGTAGTGGAGTCATGACATTCATCTGTAGAAGTTGAGAGTACAGGTCGCCTTACTAGCCTTGGCTAGTGGGAATTTCCTTGTAGTCAAGCAGTAGAGTGTCCGGCTAGAGACTGAAGGGTGGCTAGTTCGAACAACAGTGGTGGCAGTGTTTTTCATTACTCCTTCCTATTACACATCAACTCTTAAGTCAATTAAATTTGGACTAAATATAGTAATACATTCAACACTAATTAACTTTACATGAGGACATAATTCACAAATAATTCCTCTGAAATACTCTGTGCTTGATACAGTATGATGTATTAATGACGAGTATAGTTTTCATAAATTCCACTACTGATATCAACAAGATAATTCATTAGACATTTCCAATTCTACACTGACTACCTATAGACTTATACTGGAATACAATATATTAGAGTGATAGTGATAGCTATGATAGGTGAATTATAAGATTGAAGGAGTCTGGAATTATTGTATAGCGATATGTAAACTTTATCAAAGTGACAGGAGCTGTAGAGAGTGCACATAACTTTGGATACTTTATGAAAGTGACAGGACCTGCAGAGAGTGCAAATAACTTTGGATACTTTATCAAAGTGACAGGAGCTGCAGAAACTGCACATAACTTTGGACACTTTATCAAAGTGACAGGAGCTTCAGAGAATGCACATAACTTCGTATACTTTATCAGATGAATAAATGAAAAAGACATCTTCAGTACCACAATATTAGATAAAGTGATATATCTATCTGATACTAAGAATATCACTTTGCATTGTTACATTTGACAAGAAGAAAGGGAACTGATTCTGAATAGGAAGAGTCAAAGAGACAGAAAATCTGTAACCAACCATTCAAATAAAGGTTACAGGACAAAATCTTAATTAACACAGCACTTGACACTCTATACCGCACACCATAGATGACAGTATTACTCATGACTTAGTACATAAAACATGGTATGATCAATTATGATAATGAAACATCTTTTTAAGAAACAAGTAATTCAGTATGAATATCTAATCAGGCTGTCACACTTAGATGAAGATTTATTTTTTCCTAGACAGTGGGTCCGACTATTGATCCGAAGCGGGTTTTTTTATAGGTTGTGGTCAACCAAAAATTTAATTGTGGATGCATGTATAGGGTGATGGAAGTATTTTGTATAAATGAAGGATCTAGATACCCGGGGGGTCCAATAGGAGATATATATATCAAAATTTATAGAAGTGTTTCCCCTCTTGTTGGAATCACGGAAATTTGTCCAAGTTTGGTCTGAAGCATCATTAAGTGAAGTTAATGCAATTTCCCAAGGGGAAAAGGACAGTGGCCAAATAGGTAAATTGATGTAGGTCTCTTTTCTTGTTTTATTTTACCTTTCTTGAGGACTGTGTTTGTCATCTTTTGTATACTTCATGCAATTGTCTGCAAATACATTCAGATTTTATTTGTGATCAAAACCTTGGGAAAGTAATTGCAGGTGTTTCCCATAGTATTCCTGAAGCAAATAAGTTTAAAAGAATAATAGTATTATACAATTACAGATAAGGCATCATGTGAGAGCACTTATAAAACGCAAACACTGAAGATGGCCAACCGAAGGGAGACAACTCCTGTTGACTCAGGCTATGCTTGGGTCATCCTTTTTGGTAAGTATGGACTCTAATATTCTGATATTTATTTTTTATTTTTTCATATTTTAAAGGAACATTTACAGAGAAATTAGTGTTATACATCCTGTTAAGTTTTAGTGTGAGTTCAGAATTGTAAAGTTTATTTTGTGAAACTTTCAAAAGGATCCTACAATGCAAAAATCAACACATTGTACAGGAAAAAATTCACAGTAAATATTAAAGTCAGTAGGAACAAATGGTATGGTTTTGATCTATGGACAAAATTGTGGTGTAAACATGTAGTTAGCCTTTGAATGAAATTTTATATTGAAAGGACAGGGAAGAAAATCACTTGTATGTTGGTTTATAAAATTGATTTGTTGGGCACATTGATTATTATCATTATTATATGAAAAATATATAACATTTTCTTAAACAAACTTGATTTCAAAAGCACACAAATTACAAAAGTGATTGATATCTGTGAATTTTGTTTTATTTGGATAATAAAACTGTGAGGAATATCCTTACTAATATCTGAATTTACGCTTACATCAAAAATCATCTGATTGATTTATGAATTTTCTTCTCAGCCTGTTCTTTACTATACATGATGCTGTCAGGACTGACAAAGGCTTTTGGAATCCTCTATACTGAATTCTTGGAGGCTTATGATGCTGGGGCTGGTAATACAGCCTGGATTGGCAGTGTCAAGCTATTTCTCTTCTTTGGTTTGGGTAAGTTATCGTCTGTTGATATTATTACAATACTGCACTTGTCCTATCATTGTGAATTAAAACCCTCACATTTATTTGATACTGTTTATCCATGTTGATACACAAGCAGAACGGATAAGCTTTGTGGTGAACTTTTATATTTAATTTCTTTATTCAGATTTCTTATAGAACAATTTGATATCTTCGTATCTATGTAAAATTTTCCAGTACTGTACAGTTGGTAATATTTATGAGGGATTTAATTTTGCTGTTTTGCTGTGCATGTATATGAGTAAATACAGTAAATCACAGAAAATATCTGTTTTGCTGGTATACATGACCAACAGTTCATAGACATGAACAAAATTTAATACTTGTGACCAAGCCCATATCAGGACAACCACAAATTATCAACCCCAAAAAATTACCAACTTTGTAATACATAAAATCATGTGTCTCTCATGAACACATTTTCATATTTTCATAAAGAGGACAAACACCATTATATTACAATGCAATTAAACTTTTTTGCAGCCATTATGTCTGAGAATCTTCGCATTTTAAGGCACATCATGTGGAGCTTTAGAATTCTTGATAGGGTATGTCTGTTGTAAAAACTACTTAAAAATCTGTGTAAGTTTGAGCTCTTGTTCTTTTTTAATTCTCATAAAATAGGTCAGATAAAGATCTTTTCAGTACGTTGTAGTCGTAAAGTAATCATTTTAGACGTAAATTGTAGGTATTTATTCTGTGTAATTTATGACTGTAAAATCAAAACTTAAGCGAGATTTCAACAATTGTTTTAATGTTACAGGCCCCCTTGCTAACCACTTGTGTGAGATTTTTTCGTTCCGGAGGGTAGTGATGACAGGAGGACTACTAATATTTGTCGGATACTTGGCCAGTGTGTTTGTCACACAGATGGAGCTGATGTACCTCACCATTGGTGTCATGGCTGGTATGTGTGGACAGGGGAAGTAACCCATTGATATCTCAATCATCATTATCTTTGTATCATGTATAGACAGGGGAAGTAACTCATTGATATCACAATCATCAATTATCTCTGTATCATGTATAGACAGGGGAAGTAATCCATTGATATCTCAATCATCATTATCTCTGTATCATGTCTAGACAGGGGAAGTAACACATTGATATCATAATCATCATTATCTCTGTATAATGTATAGACAGGGGAAGAAACCCATTGATATCTCAATCATCATTATCTTTGTATCATGTATAGACAGGGGAAATAACTCATTGATATCACAATCATCAATTATCTCTGTGTCATGTATAGACAGGGGAAGTAATCCATTGATATCTCAATCATCATTATCTCTGTATCATGTCTAGACAGGGGAAGTAACACATTGATATCATAATCATCATTATCTCTGTATAATGTATAGACAGGGGAAGTAGCCCATTGATATCTCAATCATCATTATCTCTGTATCATGTATAGACAGGGGAAGTAACCCATTGATATCTCAATCATCATTATCTCTGTATCATGTATAGACAGAGGAAGTAGCCCATTGATATCTCAATCATCATTATCTTTGTATCATGTATAGACAGGGGAAGTAACTCATTGATATCCCAATCATCATTATCTCTGTATCATTTGTAGGCAGTGCTCCATATCTATTAAAGTTGAGTTTCAGCCAAATGTCTGATGTGTTTATATTCACATTTTTATATTGATTAAACAATGTCTTATATCAACTTTTCTGTTGTAGGTTTTGGTTGTGGCTTTGTTTTTGCACCTTGTACAACAATTGTGAGTTTTTATTTCAAGAAAAGACAAGCTCTTGCCAATGGCATTGTCATATCAGGAAGTGGACTTGGCAGCTTTATTTTCCCATACTTTTATCGATTCATTATAGATCAGTTTGGCTTGCAAGGAGCTTTGTTAATTATTAGTGGGGTTTCTCTAAACGTCTGTGTGGGAGGGGCTTTTTTACGTCAGCCACATCAACTCATCAAAATCAAACATTCTACAGACAAACTGAACAAAGAAACTACAGATTTGAATTGCCAGGACAACAACAAATCTATAGAAAAACCCTTAAAGCCAAAGTCAAAATTTTTGATAGATTTTACTTTATTTAAAATTCCAAGATTTTCAGTATATGTGGCAGCTTTTACGGTCAACATTATTGGATATGCTGGTAACTTTTCTGCCTTCCCAGCACATGTTAAATCGCTTGGATTTGGGGAACAAAAAGTGGCCATAGCTCTTTCCATGATAGGAGCCACCGAAATGTTTGCAAGGATCTTCTTTGGATGGTTTGCTGATAAGAAAATATTTGAAAAGAGAACCATCGTGATATTCTCCGCTGCGGTGAGTGGTGTAAGTGCAATCTTAATTCCATTTATGAGGAATTTTCCTGCTATGGTGATATATGGTTGTATTGTTGGAATATTTCCTGGTGCATTCTGGAGTCTGATGGCAGTCATGATGCTGGAGTGTGTCGAGCTCGAGAGACTCACGTCAGCTATGGGAGTTCTGTGCATGTTCATGTCTTTTGGAATTGTCATCAGCCAACCACTTATGGGTAGGTATCAAACGAGGACCAGGAATTCATTGTTGTTACATGTAACTTTATATAAGTACTTTAATTAAAGCATTCTTCAAAGCAATCAGTTGACTGTTGACATTTCGTAGATTCAGGAGTCAAATCATAAATCTTGGGGTCAAAACATCTGTGAAATAGACATGTTCCTTCAAATTCAAAAATTAAAACTCATCCCAGGGAGTTAAGAACATTCTCCCAAGGTTCTACTGAATGTCCTGTCTCCAATCCTAACATGACTACAACATGAACATTCTCCCAAGGTTCTACTGAATGTCCTGTCTTCAATCCTAACATGACTACAACATGACAAAGTTTATAGCTTGAAGTTGCTCTTAATCTAGGTTTTGGGTCTCCGATTCCAACAATTGATCTTTTTGTCGCGCAAAATACTTATGTATTCCATTACATTTATATTGTTTGTCTAAATGCTAAAATTGTAAAACTGAGTTGCTATTTTATGGACTTGATTTTTTTTATTAAGGTTGGATTGAGGATGCTACTGGATCCTGGGACATGTCTTTCAGGATAATGGGAATGTTCAATCTACTCTCTGGTGCATTATTTATGTTAGAACCAGTATTGAAGAAAACCTTATGTAGTGAAGTGATTCCAGCAAGCCATGCTACAGTGGACGTGAAAGAAATACCAGATCAAGCTATAGAGATGAAGGTTACTGACCCAGTGAAGGGAGGATCATCTCTAAAGACATCGCAGGAAAATGTATCTCTTCTTCACAGTGAGGCATCTCCACTTACAGAATCGGAGAGTAATAATGGAGATAATATGACTATTAATAATGTGAAAAATTCATGTTAAGAAGAAATTATATGTTGATATGTACAGTAAGAATGGAATTTAATTTTTTAAGTCCGTCATCATCATCTTGAGAAGTATTGGATAAATCTTTCTTCAATTTCATCTGTAGGCTCCTCTTGGTTCTTAGTTGTACCCATTTGATTTTTGGATTGATGAGATAAACAAAATGATAGACAGCCATCATGGATTTCGCCGAGAAATGTTTGTCATCACTATTTTTTGAGAAGTACTTAATGGATATCTTTCAAATTCAGGTTTCCCTTTGGTCTGTAGTTGTACTTGTTTGATTTTATGACTGGTCAGAGAAACAAAATGGCCACCAAGAGGCCATCATGGATTTCAACAATGAGAGTTTGTTATATCACTTTTCTTGAAAAGGTGGATCTTACTCAAAATTTCATATGTAGGTTCCTCTTCGTCCCAGTTTTTGCCCATTTGATTTGGGACAGATCAAAGAAACAAATGGCCTACAGACGGCCATTTTGGATTTCGCTGAGTATATTTTCTCATTGCTATTTTGGTACTGGATGAATCTCTCTTTAATTTCATATGTAGGGGCCCCATGGTCCCTTGTTGTGCCCGTTTGGTCAGAAAATGGGGGGATTTCCAGTATAATGTACTTGTTCATGTACTTACAATTTATAACATAGCAAGAAGCCAGCGGGCAGAATATCAGTAGAATCTGATACATTAAACAATTATATTGGCTTTTGGAATCTAAAGGAGTGAACAATATGCAGGAATTACAGTAGACTGTAATGTTCATGTTTGCTTTCTATTGTTTTACCTTGAAAAATTTAGAAAGACGAACAGATTTGTTTTATGCGAGCTTCTATGCTTTAAAAAGAACAACAATATGGCCCCATTAAGCCCCTTGTTTTATTTCTGTATAAATAAATGCTCTGAGCACAGCACCAGATTTCTAAACCTTTATAAGTGTCTATTATGATGTTTCTACTGAAAGTTTATTTTATATCAGAACAATTTTATTTTCGATACATGACTGTTTTACTTTATATTATGATGTTTGCAATATTGATGATATAGTTATTTAGTAGACCTATGTATAAAACATAATTGTAGGCTTTTATCATCATTTCATTATTTGGAACTGTTGTTTTGTTGTTTAGAAATCATTTTACAATTGATTTTTATAAACTATACTTATATACAAATTAGGCATTGATTTGTGAACAAAGTCATTTTATGCTGATATGGTCAATGTACATGTTTTTAATGCATTGCAATGTTTCGGTATCCATCACTGATAGAATGGCCAGGAAATATACCGCCTTCAGAGGTGGAAGGTTAATTAATTCACCAGGAAATATATTGGTTCTAACTGCTATGAGAATAGTGACATTGTGTGGGCAGCTCACCTTTATCACTTCTCTGCATGGTTGAAGTGTTCCTTATTCCACTTATCCAGAAAAGTCACAATGTTCCTCGCTCCTCATTTCAATTATACAGACAAATTCTTTCTCTGAAATTTATCCACTTTTGTAGTTGCCTTGATCACTTTGTAGACGAAGTGAGTAACTTTATCTCAACATGGTTGAAGTGTTCCTCATTCTACTTATCCAGACAAGTCACAATGTTCCTTGTTCCTCATTTCAATTATATGGACAAATTCTTTCTCTGAAATTTATCCACCTTCAAAGTCATGATTTTTATTTCTATAATGTAGACTTAACTGTTATAACAGAATTGTTGTACTCATTCTTTGTTGGTCCTTATGTTTTTAGTCGTTGTTGTAATGATGGGCTGTTCCAGTACCCTTTCCTATGTGATCAGTCATCCTTCTGTCTAACACCCTGATAGGTATTTCACATATCTTACTTATCTTTTCTCTTAGCTGTACATGTTAAATTTTCAGACTGATTGCAAGGCCAAAATGTCCTCCAAGTAATTTTGAGACCCATCAGAAGACTGAAATAAAAACACAATATCAGAATTTAAAACATCAATATTCTACTCCAGAAATTCATACTCTAACAATGACATCCTCAAGATAGGAAGTAATTTTGGTTTTATTGCTATCATAACTAGACAAATCAGGTGAAAATGGGTTTCATTATTGCTAGTTATTACCTGTATATAATTATTTATTAGTACGAAATCACACCTGTTAATTTTTTCAAGCACAGTGTTGAGATGAATGAATAAGTGTTACTGATTTTTACACTTGGTATGTTCATTTTTCATCGTCATTATCACTACACTTGTCATGTTAACCTTTCATTGTCATTATCATTACACTTGTCATGTTAATCTTTCATTGTCATTATCATTACACTTGTCATGTTAACCCTTCATTGTCATTATCATTACACTTGTCATGTTAACCCTTCATTGTCATTATCATTACACTTGTAATGTTAACCCTTCATTGTCATTATCATTACACTTGTCATGTTAACCCTTCATTGTCGTATACATTACACTTGTCATGTTAATCTTTCATTGTCATTGTCATTACACTTGTAATGTTAACCCTTCATTGTCATTATCATTACACTTGTCATGTTAACCTTCATTGTCATTGTCATTACACTTGTAATGTTAACCCTTCATTGTCATTGTCATTACACTTGTAATGTTAACCCTTCATTGTCATTATCATTACACTTGTAATGTTAACCCTTCATTGTCATTATCATTACACTTGTCATGTTAATCTTTCATTGTCATTATCATTACACTTGTAATGTTAACCCTTCATTGTCATTATCATTACACTTGTCATGTTAATCTTTCATTGTCATTATCATTACACTTGTCATGTTAACCTTTCATTGTCGTATACATTACACTTGTCATGTTAACCCTTCATTGTCGTATACATTACACTTGTCATGTTAATCTTTCATTGTCATTGTCATTACACTTGTAATGTTAACCCTTCATTGTCATTATCATTACACTTGTCATGTTAACCCTTCATTGTCATTATCATTACACTTGTAATGTTAACCCTTCATTGTCATTATCATTACACTTGTCATGTTAACCTTTCATTGTCGTATACATTACACTTGTCATGTTAACCCTTCATTGTCGTATACATTACACTTGTCATGTTAACCCTTCATTGTCGTATACATTACACTTGTCATGTTAACCTTTCATTGTCATTATCATTACACTTGTCATGTTAACCTTTCATTGTCGTATACATTACACTTGTCATGTTAACCCTTCATTGTCGTATACATTACACTTGTCATGTTAATCTTTCATTGTCATTATCATTACACTTGTCATGTTAACCTTTCATTGTCGTACACATTACACTTGTAATGTTAACCTTTCATTGTCGTATACATTACACTTGTCATGTTAACCCTTCATTGTCGTATACATCATATTTGTTGTGTTTACTTTTCATTGTCCTATTCTTTACACATGTTGTGTTCATCTTTCATTACTGTAATGATCACAGACAAGTCAACATTCATACATATAATCCCAGTTTTACAGATAAAAATGGAGATTACACAGATACAGTAATACCACTATTTAACATGTTGACATGCCTCACCATGACATCAACCAACATAAATATACCAAGTCAAGCTGAACACAACCATTCTGATCTAACTCATACAATATATGTGGTATATATGATTTCTCAAATTTTACTTTCATCAATCTAGTCAAAATGATTTTAATCATAGTGCTTTACAAATTTTGGGTTCTATAAATCTTAAAGACTTGTATTTATATAATTACCAGCATTAAGTCACATGTCTGTCATGTGACATTGTCCATATCAGATCAATGATACATTACAGACTGTGTAGGAATCAACGGAAAATAGTCTGGCATATCATATCAACAAACTAATACAGAAAAAAAGAATGTGCTGTTGATAATGATATATTTTTATATACAAATTTATTATATTTTATAATTGGGTATGTTGATGAATTGTCTCACACTATCTTAACAACAATTCTTAAACATTCCATGCATCTATGTTTAAATACCAGCCTATCTTAGATAATACATTGTATTTCATTGAATTTGTAGATTTTCTTTTCTTTTTTGTGAATTCCTTATATCTGAGAAATCAGTTTAACAGAGAGTAATATTCAAACCAAATAAAATGCAAAGTAGAATCTGTAGATTCATGGATCTGTTTATACATAATTAATTAATACTTTATAAGGTCAATTTATTTAGAATATTATTTATTATTTATTTATAAAGAAAAATGAGGTTTTTACAATATTGATAACTTTGTGTCACTGAATCATCTTTCAAGTGGCAGATTTGATTTTCTGAAGAAAAAGAGAACTGAGTTCAAATATATTAAGTTTTGGAATTATGTATTTTCTTATTGTACATATAAAATTTTGCAACAATAAGTCAAGTGGTACATTAATATCCATTTAAAGAAATTGTGTATTTAAATTGGTATTAAGGTTTTGATATGTGTGTATAATGATGAAATACAATTGTTTATCTAGACCTCTACAGGTCCTTAAGTACGGTATTTTGTAATGGTAATTTATGTCAAATTTATCATAATCTAAAGTTAAGATATAATGTCTGACAATGAAAAAACACCTTATACTGTATCATAATTATACCATTATGAAAACAAACATATAGTTGAGGTATGATACTGTACCTAAGATTAATGAACATAACTTACTCCAATAACCACATATTGTAAAGGAATGAAGTGCTGACAGTAATCATATCAGTGGAATACTGAGCATGTTATTGTTGGTTATTTTATGTGTTCAGTATTTAATGTCACAGGCAGGTTTTTGAGTCGACGGCGATGTCCTAATTCCTCAGTCAAAATGTTTATTGTTGTTGTAGTTATATTATTAGTTCCTTGTTGACTACTATACAGATGTTATTACATATGTACCCTCACAAATGCTTATTGTTATTTGTACCTGTATAGGAGCTTAAATTAGTTTTATTCCATACAAGATTTTGTGAAACAAGTCGTAAACATTTTTACTTTAGTGAGTCTTGGCAAGCAAAAATTAATGTCCAAGATGAGTTTTATAAAAAAATCTTATAAGAAATAAGCTTGAAATTCATTTTAATCACATAACTCAGAAAAGTTACATTTTGACAGACTTTAAAGTAAAAATGTAGAGGCTGTCATTTTGAGTTCATAATGTAACGTCATTGTCAATATTTTGACATCACAATCGATTTCTGTCTTGGGGAAAAAAATTCTCCTACGTACATGTATATAACACTAGTGATATATGTAAAATGGAAAATACATTACATTGTAATTGGACTAATTTTCTGTATAAGGCCAAAATAAGTTGGTTTCGTGTAACATGCCAAATCCAGAAAAATTTTGCCAACTCAAAAATATTTGATTGCAAAATAAAAATACATATTATTTTTATTTGAAATATAGAATATCAGCTGGTTAAGTTTTCACTGTGGAAGTTGTTTGCAGATTTGAAAATGTATCTCTCAAATGCTTGAATGGCAGTCCCTATAAATAGTGAATGATTGAAGGGCCTTTATAAGTTACAATGATTTGACTGTTTTATAAAATAGACTAATAATTGTAAGAGCTGCTCGATTTTTTTTCTAGTCAGATACATGCCGCGTATAGAACCCATTATTTGTGTTTTGCTTATATAGAGCGGGCTCATACTTAATTAATAAATTCTGCTTTTGATACACTTAATAATTTAGTTTGACACATGTTCGAATTATAGAAACATTTATTCAAGAATTCATTTGGAAAATGAAAAAAAAAACCCCAAAAAACCAAGGACTCTTCCTACCTTCCCAGATTGAACAAGCTTGGTTGCTTTATAGCAAACCAAGATAATTTGGGTTGTGGTCTAAAAGGCAGAGTATGTGATAAAAATGCATAAACAATATGTAGCTTACCTAGCATGTTGATGAAACAAATGTTTTATTAGTTGTTATTGTTATATGTCATGTTGTACCAGAAATAGATAGTGTTGCCTTGCATTTGGTTGGTTTTTTGTTAATTTTGTCAATCAAATGTCATAATAGACCAAGGATTCTTCTACTGATACATCTTCCAACTAGTAACACTCACAGGATGTTGGGACTCCTCCACCTCTTTTTATTTTCCCACTTTGTCATAATAGATATACAGTAACTTTCAATTCTGCCTTAATATATTTATATCAATCAGTATGACACATTAATACAATATTTTTCTATTTCATCAAAGACTTGAAAGTTATACAAAAATCATGTTGACATTCACAATTCAAAGACAGAGAATAAACAAACACCTCCTTTGATAAAAAAAAGTCAAATGAATCCATGGACGACAGAGAATAGACAATCACACCTCTGTTAGTCAAAGACCTGAACAAACAATTGGACTGAGAGAGCCATCTGCATGGTCAGCTATAAATAATATAACATCTTCATAAATATGAAATCACTTTAATATATTATTTGTCATGTACATTTCCATATGACATTTAAAACAATTTCTCTTTTTGTTTGTCTAATTGTTTCCTTTCATACATCTTATATGTACAGTTTAACCTGTTGTCAAACCCACATTGTACTGAATGATTGGGCTGTTGATGCAAGTGTTCAGTTTAATTTGGTGGGTCAATCTTAGCACTTGAATGATATACATGTACTTTATCAATTCAATTATTAAAACCACTTCCTTTTTTTGCATTATTTTTTGAAGAAAGATGATCATACACTGTTGTACTGAAAATATGACGAATCTGATCATGCAAAAAAATTGTAATTTAAGAAAATAAGAATACCAGTATAAAAACATGTTCAGGGTAAGTAAAAAAAACATGCCTTTCAGTATTATAACTGGTCATGTTAAGCTGTGACATTTAGTCATAGCTACATGTAAATCATTGTGCTAAAATAGCAGACAAGAGTCCTTATTAGGAAGGTTTTAACTAGAAGTACTGTGACTGAATATCATAACTTGTATACACATGTTAAACTGTACATCACAACAAACTGAACATTGTTTAAAAGCATCATACATAACATCAGTTTAATTTGAAGCCCCATCAACAAACAATTATACTATAAATAACAGTGATTTCATCTTAAGTCCTCTTTGACTTCCAACAAAAGCAATTCTTAAATACTATTGTTCAAATTATGCAAATAATCATTCAAGAATGCTTGTAGCAGCTCTTGTTATCACTATACAACAGCACATCAATAATACATACATTCAGTGTACCCTACAAATACAAGCCATTAGTTTAACCTACAGTCCTAGTCACATCATACTGCTATGATTGCTGGGTTTGATTCTATACAATTACGCTCTTATTTAAGTTTTTGGAGCTCTAGAAATACCTGTATGTTAAAGCATCTACATTTCTAAGTTGTGCGTTGTTTGCCTTTTTATTTTTACTGTAGCAGTAATGCAAGTATTGTTAACTTCAAAACAGTGATCACATGACCATATGGTAGCATCATAACAGTGATCACATGATCTCATGGTGTGATATCATAATAGTGATCACATGATCTAATGGTGATATCAAAATAGTGATCACATGATCATATGGTAGCATCATAACAGTGATCACATGATCTAATGGTGTGATATCACAAAAGTGATCACATGATCTAATGGTGTGATATCACAATTGTAATCACATGGCCAAATGCTGTGACATCACAACAGTGGTCGTATGACTTAATGTTCTCTAAGCATTGTGGTAGAAAGACAAAAACTCAATTATACATTAAACATGCAACTCATCTATGATTACAGATATTGATGTTACCACACCACACAATTATACATATCACAACCACACAATTATACACAACACAACCACACAATGATACACTACACGTCCACACAATGACACACAACACAACCACACAATGATACACTACACGTCCACACAATGACACACAACACAACCACACAATTATACATATCACAACCACACAACTGTACACAACACATCCACACAATTATACACAACACATCCACACAACTATACACATCACAACCACACAATTATACACATCACAACCACACAATTATACACAACACATCCACACAATTATACACAACACAACCACACAATTATACACAACACAACCACACAATTATACACAACACAACCACACAATTATACATATCACTACCATACAACACACAATTATACACAACACAATTATACATATGGCAACCACACAATTATACATATCGCAACCATAGAAATACATGGAACAATTATGAACATATGACAATCGTATATTAAGACATATCACAATCATACACACAGTCATGGCAATCATGATTATACACATGGTAAATATTTTATAAAAAAAGTTTACTTATATTTACAAACTCTCTTTAAGGATTTATTACAAGCATTTCCTTGTTTAACTGAAACTATAGTTAAGGTTTCCCATGTTACAATGAGGAATTGCTGTAAAGAAAATAGCTAAAACTGAGATGTTTTATTTCCTACAGGAATAACTTGATCAATACTATTTAAAGATAAGATGAGTTATCTCCCTCTGATACTTGTCATATAGAGGTCCTTATAAAACTGAGACCAGGATATGTGTTCAGTTTAGGGTATAGTCTATTGGATCTATATATCAATATGTAAGTATTATACACTGATGTAAACATAATACTGCCTGAATATTATTGACCAACACAGCTGAAATCAACTTATAGCTATTTCTAATACCGGTATCTGACCAAAGAAATCAAGTGGCTTGTGCACTAACAATGAATTTGTAAATACATTTCTATAAATAGTAATGATGACATTGACCTTCTAAAATTGATCCTTGAACCTAACTGAGGTACATTGTATTTTCAAGCATTTTTCTCCTTAATCTGGTATAACCTTTGACCCAATGACTTAATAAAGGAATCCTTCTGTGATGACATTGATGTTGGATATATTAGACTGGACAGGATGGACATGAATAGATTAGACTGGACAGGATGGAGATAAATTAAGGACAGTCTAATTTGACAAAAGATCCTATTTCAAAGTTGGCAAAAAATTTCAGAGTAGACAGGTTCTGAAATACATGGTGCCTATTGGACAGTACACCTGCTTTATGTGATATAAGGTCATATGACTTGGGGTCAATGACTACCAGTAAAAGTTATAATTTGAGCAAATATCACTGTGTTGAAGTTGTATCTATGTAAGAACTATATAACTTGTAATTAAATAAAAATGTCAAACACACGATGTCATTATCAAATATCTTCAAAATTCTAGATATCTTACTAATACCATTACAAATGTTGAATGCGTTTTAATTACTGGCATATAAGTGTTAATTAAATGAAGATTCATGATTATTGAATTATTTTGTATTAACCAGGGTAAAATTCTTAACAGTATAGCATTCTGATCGAAGTGATGTAAATGTTAGAACAACATTCAGCACCGATGGAACTTAAAACATCCTGATTTTAACACAGAGAAAGTCCAAATACAGAAGTTTGCACCTTAATCCCATTATAACAGCACAGTCCATCATCTTACATCATAGCTTTTCTTTAACTTAGTCAGATCGGATTGATCATACACCTCAGATTTGTGATTCTGTAGCCTTGTCACAATACGCTCAACAACTGAAAAAGGAAAAAAAAATAGAACATATTATTATATGTATTCCAATATGAAGATTCACTGGCATCGCCTAGTTTTAGGTCATGTGCTATAAAAACCCACATAATGCACAGTTTTTTTGTTTTTTGTTTTGAGAAAATAAATGCCCAAAGTGGGGGTAGGGGATGGGAAAGGTTGCACAAACTATGTAGCTCTAGGATTTTTTTTTTTTTTGGACTGTTATGAATTTCGGAACAGTCATTTTGTTGAGGCATATCTTGTGCACCTGCGTGACCTCGCACACTGATAATTTTGGTTGCTGTAACATGTCACACTTTCAGAAAAATGATGACTTAAACCAAGGATATAAGTACACCAGTACGAGACATTGCTTTTTTACAAGTACCTGTCCATCACGTGTGTGACTGAAACAGATTTTCTAGAACCATCATTTGCAATGGTATACAGGATGCCATAGCGGAAGTTACAATTGTCTGTTGCATCCTGGGATCTATAGGTCATTGGGTCAAAATATATAATGACCGCCATGCTTGTTTACGATATGCATGGCTTTGTGTAATTTACACGAAGAAATAATTTTGGACAATCAGAATTTTTTCAGCATGCAAGGACTTCGCTAATATTTAACAGTACAGACATCAATGAAGATATTGTTATGTAAACCAGACATAATGTCAGGCCCTACATCTGTGCATAGACAATCTTTGAAGATTCCCAAGCCAATGAGTTCTGTAATAGCGATTTTACTTTTTTGAAACATGTCAATACAATGAAGGATTATCTGTGTATAATTCATTTGCAATATTACATTAAATGTTTCACTGATGATCTGAATAAATTGCCTTCCATTGTCTCTTATATCAACATATCAACAAACTCTGGTCAACATAATGGTTACCACATCGTAAGGATGCAGCTTATATGTGGATCAAATTGCAAAAACATCTCTGAAAACCAGCCCTGCAGCTTATACTCAGGTGCTGTTTATAGCCCAGAAAATATGGTAATTAAAAGTCAGTCAATAAGAGAAAAACAAATTTTGAGGAGAATACTTTCAAGTTTTGCACTTATATTAGCGGTACAACATGTTAGCTGAACATTCTGAGATTGATTTCTTAGTTCCTAGAGATTGATTTTGGTTGAATTTTTGGGTGCGTACATTATGCAAGAAGAAACATTTTTTACTACTCTCAGCCCCAAAAAGTGGGCACATTACATAGGCTTTTACAGTATGTGTTAAACAAACTCTAAATATTTTGATGGGTATATAATGAAAATATCAATCCATGCAATGCAGTAAAAAACAACAACAGTATACTGTGGACATTAAAAACTTGTAACTCTGTTTACCTGATTTTTCTGACTTTGACATAAACATTGATATGGTCTTGAATCTCTGCACTTTTGACAAATTTGTCAATATCTCATATGTTGTTTCTAGCTCTCCTGAAACAAACAAAAAACCCAAATGATAGCATTAATAATCATCACTGATTATAAGACTATTTTGTCTAAATAAATGTCCTGTATCTGATAGACATATAGATAACTTAACAATATTTCATCAAGACAAATCTAACACTATTAGGCAGACTAAGAGAGCTTTCTATTAATGGTACTTTTACAACAACATAATTTGTAATGACAATGACAAAATAAGGAGTCCATAATCAAAGTCTATTGTCATCAATGATACAGCAAAGATGTTTTAATCACAATAATCTTCTGCTCACAGTACATATAATTTATCCCCTATAAATTCTTACCTGTGAACTTTGACTCTAAACACTGTACAATGGTTGTGAGCATCGGACCGTCTAGTTTGTTACTGATCACTGTAAAAAGTACAAACATTCTCATCTCGTTATAAAATATTTGTTACATGGTTTCATCTAGAATTGTTATTTTCATTAAGCCAAAACATACACAATGATTTAAAATCCATTTGTGTGCTTGTGCCAGGCCTTAAGAGTATAACAAGAGACCCATGGGCCTTAACAGTCATCTGACTATAAAGACCTATATATGAAAGAGGCAAAATACCGGTAAGCCAAAAATAAACTGCTCAATTAATCTACAGCTTACATTGAAGACATTGTTGTTTCATCAAGACATTTTCTGCAATCATTTGATTTCTGATTCTGAGGTCATTTTTGTCATACATGCACTACACAATTGCAATTACTTGGGATGTATTGCTTGTTGAAAAATCAAGCTACAGTCCCAATATCAAGACCCTTGGCCTTTCGGTTATTGAGAAGAAGTAGCTTCAGCATTTCAACACATTTGACCCCTGTGATCTTGAAAGTTGGTCCAATATCAGCACCCTGGTCCTTTTAGTTATTGAGAAAAAAATCATCATTTAAACATTTAACACATTTGATACCTTTGACCTTGAGTGTGGGTCAATGTTATACATATTAACAAAGTTGGTAGCCCTTCATCCTAGCAAGCTACAGGCCTTATATCATCATCCTTGACTTTTTGGGTATTGAAAAGAAGTCATTTAAAGATTTTAACATACAGTCAAACTTCTATGAATCAAACTTTGATGATTCAAATTTCTCAATGTATCTTAGTTTTTTTTCCAGCCCTGAATTTAATTCCTATATATTACTACTAATTTCCTGTTTATGAATTGAAGTTTAATAATTGAATTTTTTTAATGTATTGAAGGTTTTTTCAGTGATTGTAGCAAAATTTTCCACATTGCTACCTGACAATAGGATTATGATAGTGTGCTATTATCAACTCTTGCGTTAAAAGGTTAATTAATAACTGATCACATATTAAGATTTAATTGCTTACTGTTGATATTTAATAAAAAAAAATGATGGGATGTCGTATGATTTTCTCTGCTGCCATTGCAGTAATAGCATATAGTTAGGTCTAATTTACCGAATCGTGAAAAAATTGAAAGAAATCCTACCACTTGTATGATGATTTAACTAATTCCTAAAGTGTCACTTTTCAGTTTTATGCATAAAAGCATGAGAAACACAAGTGATTTATCAGTCAATTATGCTTTCTATTGATTCAGACTGGCCAATGTCAGAATATCGTCACTCTTGTTATTTCTACGACCAAGAATGTGTGATGTTAGTGCTGTCGTTTCTGGAAAGAATACATTATAATTTGAATTTGCTTTCTTTAAAATTTATAAGTACCTATAATGTTTATGTATCAGTCTTACAATAGTTACTTTTACATGTAAAGACTACTTTAATGCTGCGCTTTGATTCATTTAAAATTGATCGATAAATATATATATACTATGTGACATGAAGGCAAGAATGTAAGTGACATCACACATTGTCTATTTCTTGTTGATTTCTATTTAAAGTTACTTTTTCATGAATGAAAATGTTTTGTTTTAGGATAGAAATATATCTTTTCATTTAAATTTGTGCTTTGGTACTTGTTGTGTTTGTTAAAGTAGTTAGATTGTGTCATCAACTAAAGACATTGATATGAAAATGTAGATATAACCCACCACGGATGATTCAAAGCCTCAAAGTATCAGAAATTTTTCGGTAGTCCCTTAAACTCTGAAACATCAGAGTTTGACTGTATTTGATCCTGTGACCTTTCTTGAGGATAAAGGTCATTCCTTTTAACTACATGTCAAATCAACTTTTTGACCTTAAGAAATGATTCCCTACTGTCCATAATGTTTTAGACTAAATTTGGTTGAAATCCATTCAAGCATCAAAAAGGAGTAGTGCTTTGAAGTAAAATATTGTCTAATTTCCCTTTTGGGGACCTGCCCCCTTGTCCCTAGGGGACAAATCAACTTTCTGAAGGTCATAAATGATTCTCTCCTCTCAATGATGCTTCAGACCAAATATGATTGAATCCATTCAAGTATTCAGAAAGAGTAGCATTTTGAAGCAAATTATTGACAAACTATTCCATTTGGGGCCCTTCCAACCCCTAGGTCTCTTGGGGTCAAATCAAGTTTCTGAATTTAAAAATGATTCTCCATTCTCGATAATGTTTCAGACCAAATATGGTTGAAATCTATATAAGCATTAAGAATAAGTAGCATTTTGAATCAAATCACTTCCACTTTTGGGGCCCTGCCCCAAAGTCCCTAGGGATTGAACCAATTTTCTGAATTAAAGAAATAATTCCCTAGTATCAATGCTGTTTCTGACCAAATGTGGTTGAAATCCATACAAGCATTAAAAAGGAGTAGCTTTCTGAAGCAAAATAATGTCTTATTTTCTCTTTTTGGGTGCTGCCAACAAGTCCCTAGGTGTCAAATCAAATTTCTGAATTGAAGAAATAATTGCCTACCCTAATTAATGAATCAGGCCAAAGCTTGTTGAAATCCATGCAAGCAGAAAGGAGGAGTAGGGTTTTAAATCTAATTTCAGCACTTCCCCTTTGGGCCCCATCCCTTGACCCTTAGGTGTCAAATCAAAAATCTGAATTTAAGAAATGATCACCCTCACCCAATGATGCATCAAATCAAAATTGTTAGAAATTTTGGCTGGAGAATCTACTTATGTGTGACCTCTAGACTCGTCTGGAGAGATCTACTTTACATATTGTATATATCTGACCTTTAGGTAACTCAGCTGGAGAATCTACTTTATGTGTGACCTCTAGACTCGTCTGGAGAAATCTCCTTTACATATTGTCTATATCTGACCTTTAGGTAACTCGGCTGGTGAGATCTGCTTTAGTAAATCTGCATAGGGCTGATGATCCTCTGCCTTCTTCAGAGAATTCCATGCCTGGATGAATTCATATGGAGTGGCCTTGTCAAGTTTTGGAGCACTAGGTGGCACCACTGGTAGTCCTGTACTGGTTGACTTGATAGTTTTACTTTGGTTAGGTCTCTTCTCAGATTTCTGGGATGACTTTGCTTTTTCTGGAGCTAAAATCAAAATGCTTGGTAAATAGATTCTGGAGCTAAAATCAAAATGCTTGGTAAATAGATAATGTATGAACTTGAAGTTACCAATTCACAGAATGTGAAATGGAAGACAATTTGAAGAGAAAATATCAGTTTAGAGTCCTCTCTTTTCTTCAACATCTATTATAAAATTGCTAATGATGTTAAAACAATGCCATTACAAAGTAACAGTGATGACATGTGTTAATATATTGAATGAAGACCACACCACACCATACAAAAGATCAGTAACCAAGAATACACCTGTACTTAATTGTAAACGGTACCTTTCTGTTGGTCTGAACCTTTAACAGATGACTGTATCTCCTCTATAACCATCTTCTTTCCTTTCTTTTCTGTTTTTGTTTCTGATTTCTTTGCTGAAGCTGTCTGGGGAGTCTTGCTGGCAGCTTTTTCTTTGGGACCAGACTTAACATTGGAAAATTTGACCTTTGAACTGTCCTCCTCCTCTTCATCTGATTCCGTCTCTTGTATCACCATCCGTTTCCTCTGTTTACCATCACCAGCTATTTTGGATGTTCCAGTCTTTGGTGATGAACCCAAACTGTCCTTCATCTTTTGAAGTTCCTGATTATCAAAATATGTTCAGTAACTAAATTCTGTGACAGAGATATAAATTTCAGAACATAAACTAATATAAAGGAAGATCAACTGTGTTTCAATAACATATGACTGTATTATCTATTAAGCTATAATTAAAAACAGGCTTAAATCTTTCTATAGGAAGCTAGTTTTGGTCCAAATTGTGAAAATAATATATTCAACATCAGACATATATCAATCGCTTTTAAATGGCTAAACCTTCCCCTACCACAATTAATGGTTATATTCAATTCAAGCACTGTTGAAAATAATGATTCTATATCTCTGGATCCTGAAGTCTTGTGTAAAATGAATTTCCTCAGTGTGAATAAAAATAAAGATCTATACAGCAGTATATCCAGAATATAACACTTCCTACCTCTCTGTAGTAGTTCTTCACCAGAGTCATCTCCTTCTTTGCTGCTGCATTTTTGGGGTCAATTTTGAGTAGATGCGTTAAATCCTCCAGACTGTCAATATACTTCTTCATCATCTTTCGAGCCTGACTGCGTCGGAATAGTGCCTTGATGTTGTCAGCTTCCATCTCCAGTGCTTTATTGCAGTCCTCTTCTGCACTTGAAGGCTAAAGACAACCACAAATTATCAATAAAGAGCCAACATAAGCTCTTAATACTCACGAATAAAAAGGAAGTTGATGAAAGTTTAAATATTACATGAACACACATATAAATTTGATTAGCTGTGTACTTCACATGTACTGTCACAATAAAATTCTATTTAGAGAAGAAAACCATTCTGTTTTTTTTTGTTTTTTTTTTATTTCTTAAAACCTTGCCCTTGTATGAACAAGTATGTACAGATTATGAACTAAGAATACTGACTAAACAAACAGAAAATTTAGGTTTTTTGTAATATGCCTTTGTTCTTATTTTTTTCTGCAAGAATTACGACATTTAAAATTGAAATTTAAAGAGCACAAACTGATATACAAATTTTCCTGTTTACTCTGTCTCCTTTCTTTTGAAATTGACTTAAGAATGAGAAATTTAATTTTTTTTTTAAATAAGTAAAGGCTGCTATAATAAAATTATCTCAAAATCATTGATTTAGAGGTCAAGAGAGAGACATGATTATACTAGATTACAGTGACTGAGAGGATGTGGATATATCAATACTAATGATAGAACACTTATGAATCATCGCACCTGATTACGCCGTAGGTAACATAGGGCTCTGTTGGTATAACCCACTGCCCTGTCAGACATCAAAGTTATACAGTCTGTATACCAGTCAATAGCCTTCAAAAAATCTCCCTGTAAAATAAACGTTATCACAGTTAATCAGTGTATATACCAGTGTATGTCCTTCACAAAATATCCCTGTACAATTATAGTTACCACAGTTGTACATTCTGTATACCAGTTTATACCCTTCACAAAATATCCCTGTACAATTATAGTTATCAAGTTGTACATTCTATATACCAGTTTATACCCTTCACAAAATATCCCTGTACAATTATAGTTATCAAGTTGTACATTCTATATACCAGTTTATACCCTTCACAAAATATCCCTGTACAATTATAGTTATCAAGTTGTACAATCTGTATACCAGTTTATACCCTTCACAAAATCACCCTGTACAATTATAGTTATCACAGTTGTACATTCTGTATACCAGTTTATATCCTTCACAAAATCACCCTGTACAATTATAGTTATCAAGTTGTACATTCTGTATACCAGTTTATACCCTTCACAAAATATCCCTGTACAATTATAGTTATCAAGTTGTACAATCTGTAGACCAGCCTATTTCATTCTCAAAATCACCCTGTACAATTATAGTTATCAAGTTGTGCATTCTGTATACCAGTTTATATCCTTCACCAAAATCACCCTGTACAATTATAGTTATCAAGTTGTACATTCTGTATACCAGTTTATACCCTTCACAAAATACCTGGTATCAAGTTGTACAAGTTTGCTATTTCATTCTCAAAATTGATTAGTTTGCTGAAATTGATTAATCTAAACTCAAGAAAAAGTATTTAAAAAATCTGTATCTCTTTCCCCTAGTAAGCTATACCCCTCTTCATGATGATTTGTTCTTACCTTCTGAACACACTTATTTCCTTCTGTTTTTGCATTCTCAAATTTCTCTTCAGTTGTAAGTTCTGTCTTTGGTGATGTTGCTGATGAAGATGGTGCTGAGGAAGTTGATGCTACATCCTGAGGTGTTTTACTTTCGTTGACTGTAGGACCTCTAGGAGCAGTAGGTGTAGTCACAGATCTGGAGACAGGGTTCCCTGAGGTATCAACTACCAAAGGAATCTCCCAAGTAGAGAAAGACTTTAAGGGAGGTAACTTTTCCCGCCATCTTATGCCATCTGCATTCCTCAAAGCGTCCTGACATCTGAAATAATGATCAACCTTTTTCATTAATTTTTAGACACAAATTTCATTGTTTTATTGCATTAATAGACTAGGAGTGAAATTCAAATACTGACTTAAATGTCCATTAAATGATTTTAATTCAGGGAAGTGTTTCCTATGATATTATAATGTTAAAATATTGAGTTAAAAACATTGAATATGATAATCACATTACTTCTAGAAGGTCACTTAGTATTTTGAACAAAAGAACATACATTTCAGTAAACTTTATCAGAATCGCCAGGTTCTGATATTTCACAGTGTCGCCACAAAACAACTAGAATGGAAGTCTCTAAAGCAGACAGGCAAAGTCACAAATGTTTCATAATTCAACTAGAAAATGTCTGTAAGACATGAATGTCCCCCCCCCCCATGTCATGAGGCCTTTCCATACTTGATATTTGTATGAAGTTTCATGAAAATTGTCTTCTGAATGAAGTTGTTAGGTGGTATATACTGATTTGGGACGCGACACGACGGGACGCTACCGGACGGGACGGACGGACATGGGCAACGCTATATGCCCCTGGCCATAAATGGCGGGGGCATAAAAAGAATTTCATTTCAGAATTAAAATAATTGAGATAAAACAATTTGGCTAAAACTGTATTTTACCTTGTTGATCCAGCAAAAGCTGATTCCACTGATGGGTCCACTGTCAGCACATGTTTATAATCCACATATGCCTCGCGGTATCTAAGGCATAGATAAAGTATAACTGTCAGAACTACAAGCCATAGTTAAAACAATATCATAGAGACCAACAAATAAAGGTGTATTTCTTCACTGTGACAATGAACTTAAGTATGTTAACAAGGTGAACCAAACAAACAAAATATACCTTACAGTCACATTTATTTTTATAACAGTGACCTAGATTTTAAAATATCTTCTTAAAACTATTGAACATCTACAAGGAACAGAACAAATTTCAGACTTCAGGATTCTTGAACCTTAGAAACAAAGTCGGGGGAGGCAGAATCTGGTCAACATTAATTACTACAAGTCTTCTCTTTTGATGGAAACAGACTATAACACAGATTACAACAAAAGAAATGGAGACTAAGACAAAGTCTATTCTAGGTAAGAGAAGTAGACAGTACAGGTCACAACGACCTACATTTGATGTATTTGTGTTTATCTCTGATACAAAGTTTGTTGGGTGTTACCTTTACTTTTATGTCTTCTTTAGTTCATTTAACTGATCATTGAATTGAATTATCCATTGAACAACACAAGAGATTATAACTTATTATACTTGACAGGCATACATTTAACATTTACCTTTCCTTTATTTCATAGGCACTGCCACGGCGAAGGAGTGGTTTGATGGAATGAGGGACAAGTGTTAATGCCTTCTCACAGTCCTGTATACAAGCTGAACAGTTACCGACTTTCAGCTCACACGCAGCACGGTTACTGTACAGTAAGGACAAGTTCACAGCTTGGTCCGATTTCACTGTCAAATACAGATAAAAATTAGGGATAAAAATAAAGAAATAATAATTCTCCTTCTTTCAACTTGAGCTCCTGATATTTTAGTATCCTAAAGTATTGATTCCCAAAGTTGTAATGATATTGACATTTGTTCATCTTCGAAAAGTACTGATCTTTTAATATGTTTTATTATCATCCTTTTAGGGAATGTGACGAGTACTGTACCTTTTTCTAGTTTGTCTATGGCAGAGTTATATTTTGCCAGTGCATCACCATATTGTCCATTGCGAAACAGATTGTTTCCAGATTCACGCAACTGAGCCACATTTGAGGGTAGCTCTGTCTGTACAAGAACTTGTCTCTCAGGAACTTTTTCTGTCATTTTTTCATCTCCAACATCTGTAGTTTTAACTGCTTCTTCACTTGCTGTTGTTTTGTCCTTTTCAGCCAGAGGTGAGAATTCTATGCCTGAATGTTTAGCTTGTGTGATGTCATTTTTGTTTTCAGGACTAGTTCTTTCATCATGATGTTGATTTAACTCTGCTTCTGTAAGTTTTTCACTTGCTTTCTGATTGGATGTGTTTGTCAACTTGTCACTACTTTCTGACTCCTCTACCTCTGACACAATGGGTGACATTAGTCTGTCACACTCTGTATTCACATCACCCTTTTCCTCCACCATAGAATCAGTCTCTTCACTAATACCATCATTCAACATTTGATCACCTCCAATCCTTAATTCTACTTTCTCTTTACCATTATTAAACTCCTCGGTAGAGTGATGTCCATTAATTTGCTCATTAGGCAGATCTTGTGATTTATTTTCAGAGTCAGCTCCACTGTCTTCTTCCTCTCCTTCAACTTCCTCAATTACCATTCTCCGTCCCTTTTCTTTCCGTTTTCTCTTCTCTTCTTCCTTTTCTTTATCTATAGTCTCAAGTTCTTCCAACAATTCCTATCAAACAATAACATTATTCAATCTGACTACTGTTTTACAAAGAATGAAATACTAAAATCATCTCCATCTTTCTTCTACTATTTGGCTTACTGGCAATTGAAATCTTACTGCGGAAATAAATGTATAATCATAAATATATATAAATATGGCACCATTTAGAAATTTTGTACAAATTTACTTACCTCTGCACGTTTGTTAGCAGGCTCCAACTCCAGGGCTCGCTGAAAGTCAGCTCGGGCCTTTCCATACTCCTTCTTCCCTTTGAAGGCAGATCCTCTTCTGAGCAAAGCTTAAACAGGATATAATGACACATGCTACAAAATGTAAATCCTTTTATCTTCACCTTTGTAGGATTTGTTTCTTGTCTGTTTTACATCCAAATATTCATTACAGTAAATTACAGACCATAAATAAGTGATGTACACTGTATTTTACTAAAAAGTTCCTCACATCTTGAGACTAAATAAGTGACACATTGAACACAAATTAGATAAATAACCATCTTTTTGTGATCATTGACCTATCATGTTGGCAGAGCAAAGAAATCTGAACGAGTTTCTTGAAAGTGTAAGCCTAAACCTTTGACAAGCTCAAATACTTATGAATAACAAGAACATTAGATAAGTTTCAAAGAGGTAAGGCATCTAAAGACAATAGTGATAAAGAACACTCATTTTATGTTAAGAACTAAGCATACCCAAAAAATGATGTCATTTTGTGATTTTAAACATGGTAAATGTCTTTAACATAAAAGATGGATGACTTTTGAACACTTTACAGATCATTGAGACAAGGATGAGTTTCTAACATGTTATAAGATATTATGACTATCAGTGATTTCCAAACCTTTGATGTTATTAGGCTCCATATCCAGCACCACACGACAGTCAAACAGGGCTTTATCCCATTTCTGTATCTTCAGATCTGTAAAATATAACATCCACTTTTATCCACTAATCCATACAACTTTGTATTGGGTTACAGCTTCTTGAAATAGCATTCTCAAATGATTATACAATTATCATATTTCTCACATACTAAATAAGGAGATCCCATGTTTGCAAGGGGTAGAATTAATAGAATCTTTCACCCTTTTATTAATAAGTTGTGGATTAAGATGAGGTCCAGTCTTTATGATAACACAAGCATTTTCAATCTTGAGGATAACACACGATTTCAGTAGCAGAAGAAGCATTGTAAGTGTGTGATCTCATAAAAGTAGTTCATTTCTGGGTCACATCAGTGATGTCACTGAGATTGTTTTAATAATGTGCAAATGTGCAAATGTGCAAGCATGTGTAGCTTATCTCAATCCTTGGGTGAGAAAAGGACATCTCACATGTGGATTTACCTGTCCAAGGTAAGAAAAAATTCTATCACACATGGCATAGAGAAAGACAACTGGCTAAGCTGGGATACTACTCAAACTCTTACATGAGGGTTGTGATACCCATGTCCATGGAACAGGCCTATGTTAGATGCTATTAGTTTTCTATTCTTAAATGTCACTTGAAGTGGTCAAATACAAATTTCTTATCAAGGCACTGTATGTTGTTATTCATATTTAGATAAATTTAACCAAGAATTGTTGGGTTTGTAACCTGAAAGTCCCAGAAAGAAAACCTTAAAATCAATACGTAAGAATCTATGGGAATCATATCCATATTTAGTGTATAAAAGAATTATTTACCAGTGAAGGAGAGCTAACTCAATCATATCCATCTTATTTAGAGTACAAAAGAATTATTTACTAGTGAAGTAGAATTAACTGAATCAGTCGCCAGTGACTGGGTAGCCCAGTTACCTAGAACGTCCATCTTTGAGATTCTAGATTTTAGTACTGGTCTAGTTATTGTCTTGATTCTTTACTGTTACATATTCAACAGAGCCGAGTCTGCATACACCTAAAAACCCTACAACTTACAGGCTAAAGCCCTGTTGTTGATGGATGCTGCTATTTGCATCAGTGAAATACTGCGTGAGTAGTACAAGATGGCTTCCTCATAATCCCCTGCTCGATATGCCTACAAAATTAAATAAAAACAGATTCTTCAGATTTTCTTTTGTATGTGTGTGTGTTTTGTTTTTTTTCTTAAAATTACAAAGAGATCCATTCAGTCTTTTAAACAGCAAATATGTATATGTAAACATTTAAAATCAGCTTACAAGATAAAAGGCATTATACTATATGTGTAAAATGTTGTGTTATAGAGATTGAATATTTACTGGATGGTAACATTTACCTCATTGCCCTTGTCTTTTTCTCTGGTGGCCTTCATCAACTTTTCCTCCTCAGACATGCCTAGAACGTTAGAGAATTATATATATCCATGATAATACGTCAACAGCCTCATCAATCTTGTTTGATATTTCTGTATAGTAATCCTTCATATTAAGTCAAAGCCCTTTTTCAAGTTACCATAAATTATAGTATCTTAATAATGAACATCATTTCTTTATTTGATAATAACAAACACACTACTTATTTGTTTTATGGTTAGATTTAATAGAAATCATGAATACAATGATTTCAAATGGATAATACATCAACCCTATACTAACCTGCTGAGCTAAGCTGACTCTCAATATCAGGAACAGCTTTTGTAACAGGTTGCTTCTTTTCCTGCTCTTCCTCAACCTTTTCTAATTCTTTGTCTACGTCAAATCTGTAAAGACACATCTTATGAAGTGAATAATGAACATGGGACAACATTAACACTTAAAAAAACAACTGACAAACATAGGACAACATCATCATTTAGGAAACAACTGACAAATTTGAACATTTTCAATTCAATTTAATTTAAACAAAATTGGTGTCATAAAAGCTTTTCAGCAGGCAGATCAATAAAGAAAACTGAATGAAAAAATATGTCCCAATGGGAGAGAAAATGAAGAGATGACTAGAAGGAATTGGACTTTATTACCTTGAATAAAAGGTTGATAAAGGAAGAGAAGGACGACTTACTTATCCCATTCCTTATAGTCTCTTGGCTTTACTCTCTTATTACTCTTTCTTGTCTGTTCTGTCTGTTAAATTAAATAAAAAGGCACTATTTAACAACATTACAAGTACCGTTTATTTTCTACTTTAATAGAATCTAAAACAAAAGTTAACATTATAATATTGAATGATAAATAAAAAAACACAAAACAAAATTAATTTAGTTTTCATCTTTATCACTTGAATGAAGATTTATTTTAATTATAAAAAAAAATCTCTTATCTGATTGGCTGTTTCATTGACAATTATGGCCTGAATGGCTGTCCATTAACAGAAGTGTTACATTGGATCTGATTGGTGGAAGATTACTGTTGTCTCTTTTACCTCATTGGATGTGCCATTGACAGCAGACCCATTAATTGATGTTACACTGGATCTGATTGGTGGAAGGTCACTGTCATCAAACTCCTCTCCCTTAGGTTTTGTGGGGACAGACTTTTTCGAGCTGATGGAATCATCCATGTATTTCATACTTGATGTCCAGTTCTATACAACAGAAACCAAAGTTTACATCATTGACAACTATATTTACCCTGTTATGTGGAGTTGGTTTTATAGCAACATGTGCCTATATGATTTTGGAAAATATAGTTAATTTCTCTTTAAATTTTATAGATATCCACACACTTTTTCTCCTTTTTGAGAAAATAACACACTTTTTAACTGGAGAAAACAGCTTGGCTGTAAAATAAGGCAAAATATCAATCCTGCTAAGCTTTAAAACCAAAATTAAACAACCTAGTTATCTAATGCCTTATACCAGTGACATAAGTCAATAAATCAGTTTGACAAGGGTTGTTCATTATGAAATAAGGAAATTCCTACTAACTTATTTCACTTTCTAATGAGCCCTGTCATTACCTCCAGCCCTCGGCCAATTTCATCCCATTCATCCTTCTCTAGATCTGAGGGTTTCAGTAAAGGGTCTGCTTTTCTCAGTACACGACTGCAGAATGAAAAATTAAATATTCATTTCCTTGATTTTTATGATTTTGGTTTCTTTCAAAATCAAAATATGATCTCATCCTTATATAAGATGTGCATAATCACAAAAATAAAAAAAAAGTACTAAACAATATAAAAATGCTGAAATTGACTAAACTTTATTTAGGGAAAAACACACATAATTTGTCTCCTAACTCTCTCGATATAATTGATCTGTACCTCTTTGGGTTCAAGCTTGTCAGTCGATTTTCACAAGTTTTCTCTAAATCAGGATAGACGCCTTCTTCTCCACTCCTGTAGAAGAGAAAAATGTAAACAGTGGACTATTTAACCCAACACTTGTAACCTTGGTAACCTAACTGAGGATTATTACAAACCAATAACATTAACATTTGTAACGTAGGTACCCTAACAATGGATTAGGACAAACCTGTAGTATTAACATTTGAAACCAAGGTACCCTAACAGTGAATTAGGACAAACCAATAGCATTAACATTTGTAACCAAGGTACCATCAACTGTTAATAAACATCATTATCTAACATTCAAAATATTGATTTTCCTAAAATACAACAGGCATCCATCAGACTGTGTTTCTTTTTAAACATTTCATTAATTGCAGTACATGTACACTCAAATGACTGAGGAAGAAAAGAACATTCAAGATGACGGTCATTGGTGATTATCTAAAAATCAAGAGTTACCGACAAAAATAACATAAAACATAATTATACAACACCTCCCAGAAGTTACCCCTTTCTATGTTATGTCTCTGTAAAATAATCTAGTCAATTTTACACATTTTCCAGATTATAAGTTGTGACTTTTATCCTTGGCGGCCGGGCCTGCAGCTAATATACCAATGCAACTTATATGTGGACGAAAAAAAATCAGCAGAATGAAGAAAAAACAAGAGATCCCAGAGGAATCTTGGTGCCTACCATTGTTTGATCTTTATATGCTCTAGAAAAGTTGGATCTTTTCCCTTCTTTGATAAGACATTTCAACATTCCTTTGCAGAAATAATTCATCTTTTGTTTCTTCTGATCAGTACCAAAAACAAACAAACACAAGGAGAGATCAAAAGGAACATGGATATGAAATTTGAGAGATATCCATTTAGTACTTCAGCAAAAATAGCAACAACAATCTTAACTAGGCAAAATTGAAGATGGCTGGCTGTTAGCCATTTTGTTTTTCTGATCAGTCCCTAAATCAACCTGGCAAAACAAGGGACCAAGAGGAACCTACATATAAAATTTAAGAAAGATCCATTATGTAGAAAAAGCAATAACAATCTTTCAAAAAGAAAATCCGAGTTGGCAACCTTTTGGCCATTTTGTTTTACTGATCAGTCCCAAAATTAAATGGGCACAATTAGAGAAATTTGAGAGAGATCCATCCCTTACTTTTCAAGATAGAGCAATAACAAACTTCATTGAAAACATCAAAGATGGCTGTCTGTCGGCCATTTTGTTTTTGTTAATCAGTCCCAAAATCAAACGGGTACAACTATGGACCAAAGGGAGCCTACATATGCAATTTGAGAAGGATACATCCAGCACTTCTTAAAAAATAGCGATAACAAAAATTGTTTACAGACAGACCACCGACGCAGAGCGATCTGAACAGCGCACCATCTGATGATGGAAGACTAAAAATAAAAATGAAGCCTACCAGTACATGAGTACAAAACAGTATTAAGTTTTTCTTATGATTACCTGTCCATCACATGTTTGTGACTGAAACAGACTGTCTTGAACCACCATTTGCAATCATATACAGAATGATTTCGCGATTGAAATAAAAATAAACATTCTCATGGATTTAATTACTCACACTTTTTAATATCTTCTGGACTTATGCAGAAGTTTACAATAGCTTTTTGCATCCAGTATCAACAGGTCATAGGTTATAGGTCAAATTCTAGAATGACTGCCATGCTTGTTTACAATATGAATGGCTTATTGTAATTTACAAGAAGAAATAATATGGGACTATGAGAAATTGTCACCATGCAAGGACCTTTGGTGACATTTAACAGTTCAGACACAGATGGAGATATCGTTCAATAAACCATACGTAACATCAGGCCCTTGATACAGACAGTATTTTAATGCAAAATTGATTACCTAAGAATTATCAGGATCTTCTCTAGTTCCTTCACATCACGACATGTCTCAATGTAACCATAATCTAGATGGCCAAGAGGAATGTCATATCTCTTTGTCCTGTCGGCTACCAGCAGGTTGTTCTCCGACATTGCAAGCTTCTCCAGCTCTTAAATAATAGAAATACAAAGATATTCTTGGAAAACCAATATATCTGAATTTAATGTTACACAGATACAAAGTTTGTTTATACATGATATATATTTGTTTTTTGAAAACTTGTAAATTATTGAAGTGCTTACTCTGTGTGATTTGTTGCCTTAAGTCAGTCCTGACAATGGCATACACATTTCAAACAAAATCAGAAGGCAATGTGTGAGTCAAATTCTGATTCTCTGAAAAAATTTGTAAGCCAACCTCGATCCTTTGTAATATCACATGCAATAACCAAGGGGTGCAACTCAATATTGCATGACTAAATATGTTGTTGCTACAAATAACACAAACCAAAAGGTGGTAATTAACGAACTGAGGTTAGTAAACATTCCATAATGAAAGTAACATTCTGTTATTGTACATTCACATTGTATTTGTGAATGTTTCTGCTACCAGAGCCATAGGTAACACATAATGTATATATGTGTGGCAAACTAAAACTTCAATAGGTAAAAAAGTACAGCTCCCAGACCCACAGTAGGCCTACTCTACATCATGATAGTTAGATAAGTCTTTTGTTTCACTAATCCTCAACATCTGTCCATACAGAGTTAAGGTGGTGTCAGTAAATAGGTAAAAAGTTGGGTGTTGAGCCAGACTCTGCCTGTGTTTCAAACACCCGTGAATGGTAGCTGAGATTGAATATTGAACCTACACAGTGTGGGTACAGCACTTGACGCCTACTGCAGAAAATACACAAAAAAAATGAAATAAAAAAAAAACAGTTCGCCATTTTGTCGCTATTAACAAACACTTAAATTGTCCATAACCAGTACAGAACTTTCTAGAAACCTTTGTTCCTTTAGTAAAAAAAATATAAATTAACTATGAAGTGTCAAGTGGACCTCTGACGGTTCAACAAAGTTTGGAACTTTGAATCACAAATATGTTCTGTTTAAAATTAGATAAAGAGGACTTAATCTCACAATGAATAAAAAGAACACGATGTTACTTACAATCTGACAAATATCATCATATATGATCACTCAAGTGCAAGGAAAAATCTTTCTATGAATTTTTGGAAAGCAAAAGAGAAAGAAGACGAAGCTCTGATTCGATGGACTATAAGAGTCGGACCATGATATTGAATTACCTTGAACTGTGTCAAATTATTAATGAATATATACCTCACCTCTCCCAATGACAGAAACAAGGTTATGAACAATCAAAATGTAGGAATGCTATGAGCAAGACCGTTCGTATCCAAGTCGTGTGGGAAGCGGTGCTGTCTAAACTAATTGCGGTTGATAAAAATTACGAACTTTTTTCCATATTACGAAATTATGATATCGGGAATTTTAGTTCAGCTCTCGGTAAACTTTCTAATAATTGTCATAAAAATGCAGTATTTTTAGAAGGAAAATGGACATCACTTAACATTGAAGTAATTATGTTCGTGCCTCCGTGCGTATATATTTCATTTCGTAAAATTTCTCTCCAAATTCTCGTAGTCATCTCGTTACAGAGTTGCAAAAACGTGAGAGCATGGCGACCTCCTGTGTACTTGCACTTCAAGGAATAATTTCTTAATTTGTCGAAGACTGCGCTATCAAAATCCACCCAGGTATACGTTCTTAGATGGCAAGCATGACCATATTGCCAGTAATAGATCCATCAACGATTGATTTTGAACGTGAATTCTAGTTTTGATATTTTCGGTTGAAATGAAAGTTCGGACCATTTCAGGAAGTCTGATCATAAACAACAAACGTTATGTCAGAACTAAAAATAAAATTAGCTCTATATTTATCTATTGTTCTGCAACAGCCAATAAAGTAGTAATTAACAAGTTAAGATTTTTGGAAGTAAGTTAAATATGTAATTATTGCACAATAATTGTGACGATGTATAATCAAAGATATCATCTTAAAACTCTCTCGACATCGGTTCCGATCCGGTATATTTAGGTGTGGCCATTTCGTTGAAAAGTAGTATATGAAATATCGACCTAGAACCAGGGTGATTTTGATTACTGTAACATGTGGCACTTCCAGAAGGAATCCATTCATCATAAAATATGAGTATTCATTTCATTACTTCCTGATTTCAATTAGCAAGTGAGTTGTTGATGGTCACTTTAAAAAAATAAAACATTATTTGAAAAGTTTGTGGTATGAAAAAATGTTTAGTAAGTTTGTGTCTCATTTGAGAAATAAAGATAAAACAATAGAAAACTTTTAGAACTTTAGAAAAGATGCACACATAGACACAATCACTATTTTTTAACATGAGATGATTTTTTTTCATCATACATGCCAACTAATTCAGTTGGGAGTTTCTCGGATTTTCACTCCCTGTCCCTGCCACCCAATTGTATGGATCCAATCGGGGTAAACTCCGGATTTCAGAGTTCCTGCTTTACGATATTGCACTAAAATGACATCAAAAATGTTTCGAGATAATCAATATTATTTGTTTCTAATTTCAATCAAATAAATTATTTAAAAGCATCATGTTTGGAAATACATATCATTACCAACAGGGCAACAACCAAACAGATAATTATTTATCTAAATATCTCTTATAGTCTGGGCATTTACATTACCTATAAATTCCAACTTGATCCTGACTTGCTTAAAAAAACCCACATGTATATAGTACAGTAGAGCAGGCACATTATCAACTTAAATTTATTTTAGAAGTTTTGGATAAATATATATTGATTAAATTTTCCTTTGTGACAAATGTTGCGATGTAAGGTATAGTGGTGAGTTGCTCCCATTCTAAATGGTGATTTTACAGTTTCATGTTGAATGTGTGCATGTCTGGGCAACTGTACATGTTAGACTAATTCAGTCATCTCTCTGATTCAGTAATTTTACCAGAACAAAAGGGTAGGAAGGGTCCAAAACTAATGCCCCAAGGATACATTATGTTGGCCTCTATCAGGCCAGACAAAATTTTCAAGGCAAGTCAGAATACCAATTCCAAAATTTTGAACAGATCCAATACTAAGAAATACAGTGAGTTCTCAAAATAACAGTGTGTCAAAGACTCAAAATCTGAATCCCCAAAATCACTGTTTATGTTTAATGATAATTAAAAGTCAAACAAATTCAGAAAAGCGAAAATGTTGTCATGGTATTTTTTAATAACAGTTAAGTTAGCGTTACAGTTAAAGTGCAGAGCACCTGTGATCCATGCATTTTACTTCCAGATGCTGCATGTCATTCACTTCTGAAGAAATTTTCTCGAACTGATCAAGTCCTGGACATGAACAAAACCTATTCCTTAAAATATTACCATATATATATGCTATATATAGCTATGCTTAACTGACAAAAAAAATATTGACAACATCCAAACATACTGCAATTAATTTTGATTCAAAGCAACAGAGGATTTATTTGATTAATTCACTCAATTAATTGTAGCCATTTTGGACTTTGGTAGTTATAAAGTCTGACAATGCTATTTCTTGAACATACATGTACTTCAACCACAGTTAACTCTGTGTGTATGTAGTGCCTTTCCAATTTTGACCATGTCTAGCATGATATGTGATCAGTTTAATTACTATACCTAACCAAGGCCTTTAGTATGAAAAAAAGATATTTACAAATCCCTCTTATTCATATTCCTGATGAAGCATGCATTGGTCTTTAACAGACTTCTGCATGATGATTTGTCCTTATCAGAATATTCCAGATTTTTCTAATTGAATGTTCTAAGAGTTTTTCATGAACCAGTTAAGCAACTCCCAGCTCATACTTGTAGCTGTCATCACAAATACATTTCTTTATTAGTTTATTTAACATTTTAATGTATTTTCTTTATTTTCAGATTTAATTGTTGATAATGTCCCTGCGACCACGGCGTGTTGATTTTGACACCACATGGGACAACTTGTTGGAAACTGTTAAGGGAGTAATTACATGTGCCCAAGTGCCGCGAGCTACCTGGAATGATAGATTCTCATATCCTTTTGTCAAACCAAATTGTTACTAGTTTTCGTCTAAGACTGGTGGTGTTGTTCTGATTAAGTAGCTTTAATAAATATTTACAGATCTGTATTTACTAATTGGTGACTAATTAGCTTAGACAATGATTGATCATCTGGTGACTTTGTTTTATTGATCATTCACAAAACTGAACTCCCAAGATCAATTTGCAGATGAAAGCTTGTAGCTTTTTGAGGAAAACTTTCTTAAAAAATCTTGTATCCTAAAAATGTTAAAATGTAACAAAATCAGACAAACTATACCACTTTTAGGTCACCATGATCTAAAGGGTCTAGCATCATGATGAACTACATGGTCATTCTGCTTTGTCATTCATTAAGACTGACCAAACATCACATACCAATAAGGGACCATAATATCTAAGACAAGTGTGAGTTTCAAGAATGATATTAACAGAAAAGCCTTTCTGGCACTACAACAGCATTTTCATGAGGGATTTTAATAAAATTTACCCTGGTAGATAAAAGATTTCAGATTAGTTTCAGGAGTTGTTTAGTCAAAGTCAGTTGTAATATTGTAGCTTCATATATATATGTATATATATTTGTGTGTATAGCAGTTTCATTCCATGAGGGATTTCAATTAAACTTTTATACATGACCATTTTTATTGTGCATCAGTCATAGTTGATTGTTAATAGATTTGTAGTCTGACATAATTTCCATATTATTCTTGTGTGCAGTACAATCATATCATATTCTTACTGAGTGATGAATTATATCCCTTTACAATTTACGTTTTCTCGATTTTTCTGTGGGATATTTTTGTATAACATTTTTTAACATAATTTACTAAATGTCAATTTCTCATGTATAATTTTCTATTCAATGACATGTATATTCATAGAGACGTTACACTTGCCCTTAACACTGACCACAGATGTATATGCCCTTTGTGTAGCCTGCCCTGAGCCCCTAGGGGACCGGTTGTACCAGGAGACTAAGAACTTCCTGGAGGCCCATGTTGAAACTCTACACAAGGTAAATGGAATGTGGGATAGACGATGCAAAATCCTTCATGTGAAGTGAGGTCAGGGAATAATTACCAGGCCAGAGTTGTGGATTGTCTTACTGTATGATGACCCATGGTACCACAAGGAAATATACTAAAAACTCAAAATATTGTTTGTTTTGAGTTTCTAATTATCAAATAAAATGTTCATACTTGTACCTATCTGCTCAAACCATAACAAATTTCCTTCATTTCCAGAATGTTGTGGATGGTGGAGAAAAGAATTACCTGTCATTGTACCACACTCACTGGGTACAATACAGCAAAGGTTCCAGCTTCCTCAACCAGCTGTATGGGTAAGGTTTTTAAACAAGCTGTATTGATTGGTTGTTTCAACCAGCTATACAGTTAGGCTGTTTAAATCAGCTGTATGGGTAGGCTGTTTGAACTAGCTGTACACGTCGATTGTTTGAACTAACTGTATGGGTAGGTTGTTTGAACTAGCTGTACGGGTAGGCTGTTTGAACTAGCTGTACGGGTAGGCTGTTTGATCTAGCTATATGGGTAGGCTGTTTGAACTAGCTGTAGGGGTAGGCTGTTTGAACTAGCTGTACAGGTAGGTTGTTTGAACTAGCTGTATGGGTAGGTTGTTTGAAATAGCTGTACAGGTAGGTTGTTTGAACTAGCTGTATGGGTAGGCTGTTTGAGCCATCTGTATGGGTAGGTTGATAATAACAGCTATACAGGTGGGTTGTTAGGGCAGTTGTATAGTTAGGTTGGTTTAACCAACTGTACAGATTGGTTGATAACTTGAATATGACCTATACATGACTATACTTTTAGGTATTTGAACACAAACTTTACCAGGTATATAAAAACAAAATTGATGGTGATGTTTATTATTCTAGGTATTTGAACACAACCTATATAAAGAAACAGAAGTACAGTGATGCTGACCTAAGCTATGGTGGCTTTTCTATTGAATCATCTGACCAGATGCTGGAGATTGGGGAGGTAATAAGAATAGCTAAATCCTGCTGTAGTTCAACCATAAAATGTTTAAGTGTTAACAATTAAGTTATATATGATTTTGTGGAATCTGATAGATAGTTTGTAAGATCTGTCGAATATCAACTGTTTTCTCTGTTACCAGGGGTATGGATATGATTCTGAATGATCCCAGTAAGATTGGAGGTTTTTGTTTCTATGATTTGCAAATGTATCTTTCAATAAATCTTGTATTCTAAAAGCTTGCCTTGGACACATGGAAACGTTTGATGGTAGAACCCCTTAAGGATGCACTGGTACGTCTGATTTTGATTGATGTATGGCAAGACCGGTGTAATGGCACAGTAAATCAGACAATTCTCCACGGTGTGATCAATTCATTTGTGAATGTTGAGGATTACAAAAAGAAGCACCCACTTCAACTGTATGAGGATATATTTGAGAAACCGTTCAGGAAAGAGACTGGCGATTACTACAGACAGGAAGCTGCTAAATTGAAGGATGAGTGTAATTGTTCCGAATATATGGAAAAGGTGAGCATTATAAACTCAGCCAATGAAATCTCTCTCGTCATGAAACTGTCCAAATTCTAGACCTGTACTGGGATGACTGGAAAAGTGTTGTGAAAATTATTATTCTCCACAGTTCTATTTTTATGTCATCTGGCCCATAGGTTTATGATGACATATTGCTATCATGCATTGTCAGTCCTCTTGAGCTGTCCACCATCCGTAAACTTTTCCTTTAAAACAAAACACCTGCTTAACGCCTTGGTGAATTTCAGCCAAATTTGGTCTGAAACATCATAGGGAGGTGGGAATCATTTCCTCAATTCAGAAAGTTGGTTTGTCCCTTTGGGGGTGGGGGTTGGGGCCCCTAATGGGAAAGTCCATCAATATTTGCTTCAAAATGCTAATCTTCCTTAATGCTTGGATGGATTTCAACCAGATTTGGTTTGAAATATCATTTCCTCAATTTAGAAAGTTGATTTAACCCTAGGGACTTAGGAACGTGATTCCAAAATGGTAAATTAGTCATTATTTTGCTCCAAAACCCTACTCCATATAATGCCTGGTTAGATTTCAACCATATTTAGTCTGAAACATTACTAGGGGGTGGCAATGATATCAAACATGCATGAAGTGATCCTGAAATTGTCCTGACCAAATCTTGTTTTTTCACTTTCAGCCTTATCAAAACTTAAACAACAGTAGCCATTTTGTAACATGATTTCTGTTTCTCATGAACAGAACTTACCATTTATGAGTTTCCAATACTTTTAAGGAATGTTCAAAATTTGAATTCATCAGATTTGTCAGACAACTATCTGCAAATTCTGTGGTTTGTCCATCCATTCATCGATTGTCAGGTGACTGTTAGGGATTATGGCCCTTTTGTTTGCTATTTAGGAGCATGAAACCACAACAAATAAATACATTTAAAGTGAAATTATCTGAGAAATCTATAGTCTAGTCTGTTACATGACTTCCACAACAAATATATCTTCTTTGTCATAAGATACTTATAAAAAGTACAACAATTTGATCCATGGAGAGACCTTTATAGCTTGATTGAACCAATTTGATGTTATTCAGCCCTAATTTACAGTTTGATATGATTTTGATGGTGTCTAGTTTAACCAATACATAGTAGAATTTCTGTTCACTTAATTAACTGTGATATTGTTAACCACCTGTGGTGGCAGGTACACGCTATGAATGTACAAGTTCCTTTGTTTCTAATAAATGATGTTCAGGCTATGATAAAGTGTAGACTTATTTTGAAGGTATCTGGTAAATACAGAGTAAAGGAGTGACGGAATCATGTATTATACTTTTAATAAGTCAGTATTTCTATGTGTTGTCTTTAAGGAGTTAAATACTCTGGTCTATTTTGAATATGATTGTAATCAGCTTTAGATAACGAGCTAAATTGCCTCTCCTCTATTCGTTTTAGGTGATATTTAGATTGGACAATGAAGATTTTCGTAGTCGAAAGTTTCTTCATCCCAGCTCATACAACAAAATCACGTTTGAGTGCCAACAACGTATGGTTGCCGATCACTTACAGTTCCTACATGGTGAATGTAAGGAGATGGTCAAATTGAAACACACAAAAGGTATTAAAAGATCATAGCTTACTATTTCTATTTTTGGCTCCATTGCATCTTTTTAATACACACTGCTTTATTGTTTTTCATGTTCATTTATGTATGCTACAATCTGATAATGTTTTGATTTTCTTCTTGTAACACTTGTATGATATACAAACTTTCATTATTTAATAACTGTTGTAGGATTTCTAATTTGTTGTACTGTGATATTGGTTAGTGTTTAATTGTAAATTAAATTTTGTTTCACATCTTAACCAAAAAATAGGTCAATGCTGTAAATTCAATTCAAATGTTAAAAGTGATGTGATGTAACAGTATTTGGATTTTTTGACATTTTGTATTTTCTGAAGGTTATGTAAATGTCTGTGTATTCAAATTGGTACGTACTGCTTGAAGTATATAAATGTTTGGTTTTTCAGACTTGTCTAATATGTATAGGCTATTGAAGCCAATTAATGGTGGACTTGGAGTCTTGATCCTGGAAGTTGAGTCACATATCCGGCGGACGGGACTGGAGGCAGTCAAAAACCTCAAGGGTGAAAATGTGAGATGGTCTACAAGAAATATATGTAAATTGTATCACCAACTCCTAATTTGTAGATAAACATGTTTTTCCTTTCTATTGACAAAAAATTGTAATGAACGTGCCACATGTAGGAGAACAGAAGCAACCCATTTAATTACTTCTTTATCAACAAAACTGAAAAGTCTTGTAGATATTGAGATAATCAGTCAGGAGAGTAGATGAAGCCTAAATAGGTGTCAATTTTGTTGATATTACATTTTACAAAAACGAATTTAGTTCTTCAAACAATTATCCTGTTTTCAAAAGAGTGGAATATAAAGACCAATTTAAATTTACAAAAACTGTTAAAATGGATTTGATTTATCTGATTTGTGTTTTTTTTAATACAAAATAATTTTTCAACGTTTATCATGGAAATTTGATTGAACTTGTCTTGCTTTTGAAAAGATCCTAGTAACATACATATCAGTATAATGCTGATTTTTGACTGTTTTGTTTATTCTTTCCTCAGATCCCAGCCCAGTTTGTAGAGTCTATGTTGGAAGTACACAAGCACTATACAGAGCTGATACAGCAGACGTTCCAGACAGATCAACAGTTTGTTGGAGCCCTTGATAAGGTATTAGAAAACACCAATCTTACCCATCTGGTGTAATTTCCTTGGCCTGAGAACCAGTACTCATAAGTTGTGCAATCAACTCTTATGTAGTTTTCTCTATCCGTAACCCACGCTAGTGGTAAGTATGAAAAAAACCTCCAGTGTAATTTCCTCAATCCATAACCCATACTCCTCTATTCAAAACAAACACTACATGAATGGTATACTAAATTAATTATACTGGTATGAGGTATGATTCCTGTTATTCCAAACCCAGGGTATTTAGGGATAGCAAATACCTGGTACTATTTTTTTTTCAACGTCTTTGACATTTGGTTACCATGGTACCAAAAAAAACCTGTAACTGATAAATCTTGACCGGACAATTTATGAACAAATTCGGTGAAATTACACATGAATATCTAAGATATGGAAATGTGCATGCATCATCTTGTGGAAATTTTAGTTGCCATGGTAACTTGGTCACTATATACAAGGCCATATCATCTGCACTTCAATCAGTCCTATTCAAACTTGGTGAAATGATGCAATTTATCGAAGCCTGTAATTTGAAAAAATAGTTATTTTCAAAACCATAACAAAGGAAACCCAATGGAGGTTTCTTGTTTGTTGAAATTGAAATGTTGTCCCATTATGCTGAAAAATGTTTCAGAAAGGTTTTATTGTGGTGGTACCATTTTCAAATATTTTGATTGCCTTTATACTTGTTCGAACAACTCTGCCTAAACTTTTCAACAAATTTCAGTTTAAACTGGACAATGATATATAGGACTATTTATAAATGTGAATGAAATTTGATTTTAGAAAAGTTTTGTTGCCATGGTAACTTTATCATTTTATACTGGTTTTCATATAAAGGGTCATAACTCCTCGGCCCCTTTTATTGATTTTTTCTGTTGCCTTGGTAATCAAAATAGGGCATTGCTTTAGAGGAATCTTGTCCTAACAACTGCCGTTCAACAACTCACAATTAAAACTGTTTAGAGGTATGAAGGACCATATATACTAGTGCTTGTTACTTTTCTTTCCAAAATAGTGGTTGCCATGGTAACCATAGATGTTAGTTGATTGATGTTGATGAGGAGGTTATAAGGTATTAGTTACTGATCCTGGTAATCGTTTTAGTTTCCACTTTTCCACACTTATACATAGTGTTTTAATTTCCCATATTTTACAATTCTGTTCATATATTGAATAAAGTAAGAATTCCCCCAGTATGATTTCTAGATTCTACACATATAAGTAATGGATTGTTATTTTATCTAATCCAGACCCAAACTCACATAAATGTATTAGAAACTCCAATGTTATTTCCACTACTCCACACAGTGATGGCACATGAATTTAGTAAGAAACTACCCAAAGATGACTTTCTCCATTTAACACACATGAATGGTTGAGGAAACTTCAAAATTATTTATTCAATGTTAGTCCAAAACTTATAATTTGTCTACTCCTTAACCTGTCCTCACTTATGTGACTGACAATAGAAACCCTCTGTCAAATGTTCTGTTTCTCTCATGATAGAAGTGAAGTCCACAGGTCTAACCCTTTCTTTCACCACATACATTTTATAAAAGAGGCCATATTTTGATAAGATGAGATAAACTGTACATTTTGATGGATGTCATATACAGAAGAAGCATGACGATAAATCATTGTTTATTTTACAGGCATGTGCTGCTGCGATTAACTACCGACACAATCCAAAGCATCCATGTAAATCAGCGGAGCTGGTAAGTAAGGAATAACTGTGGCGAAATCATCCCAATTAACAGGGAGGAGATATCTTTATATTGATATGAGAATGTCCTTGGTCCATGTCCATTGTCTGGCGTGTCAGATCAAAAGATGACTTATAATCGCTTGTTCTTTAGAAGTGGTAGATTGATCTTTCTTAGAATTTATGTAAAGTTTCCCCTTGCTCCCTAGTTGTTAAACATTAGGCCATCTTTGATTTTTACATTAAAATGCTGTCATTATTATTTCTGAGGATGGTCCAAAATATTTTTTTCTAAAATTTGGTAAATAAGTTCCCATTGGTCATCAGTTGTGTCTGTTCAATTTTGAGAATAATCAAGAAATCGAAATAGTGGAGAGGTGTCCCTCTTGGATTCTAAAATGTTTTTATCTTTCTTTTTCTCTGTATCTATATATGTACAGGTCAGATCATTCTTGGATTTCATAGCTTGGTTATCCTTGTTTAGGTGTCTTACCAAATGATTTGTTAACCTGTCAATACAGGAACTGATTTAAAAAGTCAACAAAACACAACTGTTTAAGATCTTATCTTCATGAGGGAAGGGATCTCTGGTAATGTAACCATATACAGTTTGTTTTATTGTGATTCGCAACAAATTTATGCATGAATTTATATAAATATTTATGGATGTTCTTGGATTTAAAGCAAAGACCTCTTTACACAAACAGATTTTTATGAATAAAGATGAAAAAATTGTGTTGTTCTTCTTTTTCAGCTGGCTAAATACTGTGATAACTTACTAAAGAAAAGTTCAAAGGGAATCTCTGAGATGGAGTTGGATGATAAGTTGTCTAGTTGTATCACCGTCTTTAAATATCTGGATGATAAAGATGTTTTTCAACGGGTAAGTGAAATTACTGTGACATCTCTGGTTACTAGCATTGGTACAAAAGTGATTGGTATGTCGGTCAGTGTTATGTCAGTCATTGGTACAAAAGTGATTGGTACGTCGGTCAATGTTATGTCAGTCAGTAGTACGTCAGTCATTGGTACGTTGGGTCAGTGGTACGTTAATCATTGGTACATTTGTCATCATCTTACAGTTAAGAATGTTGAGATAATAAATGGACTTTATTTAGTGCAGTCAGTTGTTAGCATATAACCATGTTTTGGCAAATTAGTGCAACGATGAATTTGTGCATCCAAAATTATTGCTTACCTACAGAAATGGCAATTATTACAATAGTGATTTAGCACTAAACTTTCAGTGTGGAAAGTAGCTACATTTACAGTGTACATGTATCATTACTTGATTTCATATATTAATTGTGGTGTATTTTGTAGAGAAATTACCTTGCCATAACAGTTCTATTACTGTTGCAGAGAAAATAGTTGTAAATACAAAAACAAAGTGGTTTACAGTATGTAACAATGTATGTCCAAATCTAGGAATTCTATAGAGAAATATTCAATGTGTTTTATACCGTGAGAAATCTATTATGATATTTGTTTGGGAAAGTTGTACTTGCAGATGTTACTAATTATTGCCTGGTTCTTACATTTTACAGTTTTACTCTCGGATGTTGGCCAAGAGATTAATATTTTCACAGTCTGCCTCCATGGATGCTGAGGAGTCAATGATCAATAAACTTAAGGTAAGCTTTAAAATATTTCTGAATAAGGATTTGGGTAAATCTTAGAATATTTCTGAATTAGGATTCGGGTAAGTTTTAGAATATTTATGAATTAGGATTAGCCTAATCTGTAAGTATATGTATATTGGGATTGTAGGGCATAGAGGGACTGATAACAGCTAGATGTGGGGATGGAGGTCTATGAAAACCAGGGAATTAAATGGTGATGGGAATTACTAAAAAGTGCTATCCTGCCACTCCTCTATACATTTATTCCTGGAATAGCCATATCACCTAACTGGCCTGAACAGCTGCAGTTTCATTTTTACATTTTAGCAGAAATTGTGTGTGGTTATTTTGTGAACTGCAAAGGATGTCATTTCAGTGAATGGGGACGTTTTGATGTTTCTGCACTTAATCATGTACACGGCTGAACACAACTAAGAGCAAAATACTGATAGTTTGCAAACTGATTTATTGAGATTGTTAAATTTTGGCTGTTATTGAAAATCTATGGAAGTGATATAATTAACAAATTCTTTCAGGTTTCTTCTTCGTTTAAGACTTTAACAAGCTTAAGATATTCATTCATGGTAACCACATCAATAACCAACTTCATGAGTCGAGACAGAATAGACCTAAATTATTGTTGTACTCTCTGTGTACCCTAGAACATTGAATTGTTATGATAATGTTGTACCCTGTGTACCTTAGAACATTGAATTGTTATGATAATGTTGTACTCTCTGTGTACCTTAGAACATTGAATTGTTATGATAATGTTGTACACTCTGTGTACCTTAGAACATTGAATTGTTATGATAATGTTGTACTCTCTGTGTACCTTAGAACATTGAATTGTTATGATAATGTTGTACACTCTGTGTACCTTAGAACATTGAATTGTTATGATAATGTTGTACACTCTGTGTACCTTAGAACATTGAATTGTTATGATAATGTTGTACTCTCTGTGTACCTTAGAACATTGAATTGTTATGATAATGTTGTACTCTCTGTGTACCTTAGAACATTGAATTGTTATGATAATGTTGTACTCTCTGTGTACCTTAGAACATTGAATTGTTATGATAATGTTGTACTCTGTGTACCTTAGAACATTAAATTGTTATGATAATGTTGTACTCTCTGTGTACCTTAGAACATTGAATTGTTATGATAATGTTGTACTCTGTGTACCTTAGAACATTGAATTGTTATGATAATGTTGTACTCTCTGTGTACCTTAGAACATTTAATTGTTATGATAATGTTGTACTCTCTGTGTACCTTAGAACATTGAATTAAAGATTTTGTTTTCTAATTCACAGCAAGCATGTGGGTACGAGTTCACCAATAAGTTGCACAGGATGTTTACTGATATGAGTATAAGTATGGGACTGAACAACGACTTCAGCGAGTTTATCAGAAACAAGGACAACAAAGACCTTGGTGTCAACTTCACTATCATGGTCTTACAGGTATTCACTGTGATCTTAGAGCTAAAACTACCTAGCTTTGTATCTATACATTTATATCATATATATAAAACTGCACAAGGTTTTGATGATTCAAATTATGATTAAGTCTTCTTGACAACTTAGAAAAGGAACGAAATCTTGTTGATGCAAATTATTAAATAAGCTATTTGAGGTTCTGAACAACTTCAAACATAAATATTAAGTGGCTTTTTATGTTATCAATGGGTATGTTATTTAAACAATAATTGATGCAGAAGTCATTGTTCAAGGTTATGTTGGAACTTATTTAATGTTATTATGTTGAAATATTGTAAAATTTTATTGAAATATTGTCAATAAAACCAGTGTTAGTGGTCGCCTACTCATGATCATAATTTGAGTCAAACCAGTGTTAATGGTTGCCTACTGTAGATCAGAATTGAGTTGAACTAGTGTTAATGGTTGCCTACTGTAGATCAGAATTGAGTTGAACTAGTGTTAATGGTTGCCTACTGTAGATCAGAATTGAGTTGAACTAGTGTTAATGGTTGCCTACTGTAGATCAGAATTGAGTTGAACTAGTGTTAATGGTTGCCTACTGTAGATCAGAATTGAGTTGAACTAGTGTTAATGGTTGCCTACTGTAGATCAGGATTGAGTTGAACTAGTGTTAATGGTTGCCTACTGTAGATCAGGATTGAGTTGAACTAGTGTTAATGGTTGCCTACTGTAGATCAGAATTGAGTTGAACTAGTGTTAATGGTTGCCTACTGTAGATCAGGATTGAGTTGAACTAGTGTTAATGGTTGCCTACTGTAGATCAGAATTGAGTTGAACTAGTGTTAATGGTTGCCTACTGTAGATCAGAATTGAGTTGAACTAGTGTTAATGGTTGCCTACTGTAGATCAGAATTGAGTTGAACTAGTGTTAATGGTTGCCTACTGTAGATCAGAATTGAGTTGAACTAGTGTTAATGGTTGCCTACTGTAGATCAGAATTGAGTTGAACTAGTGTTAATGGTTGCCTACTGTAGATCAGAATTGAGTTGAACTAGTGTTAATGGTTGCCTACTGTAGATCAGAATTGAGTTGAACTAGTGTTAATGGTTGCCTACTGTAGATCAGAATTGAGTTGAACTAGTGTTAATGGTTGCCTACTGTAGATCAGAATTGAGTTGAACTAGTGTTAATGGTTGCCTACTGTAGATCAGGATTGAGTTGAACTAGTGTTAATGGTTGCTTGCTGGAGATCACGATTTGAGCTGATTATCTGTATTTAAACTCAAATAAGCCCCCTCTCTTAGTGTAAAAGTTTGGCATTGAAGTGTAAAAGTTTGGTATTGAAGTGTAAAAGTTTGGTATTGAAGTGTAAAAGTTGTGGTATTGAAGTGTAAAAGTTTGGCATTGAAGTGTAAAAGTTTGGCATTGAAGTGTAAAAGTTTGGTATTGAAGTGTAAAAGTTTGGTATTGAAGTGTAAAAGTTGTGGTATTGAAGTGTAAAAGTTTGGTATTGAAGTGTAAAAGTTTGGTATTAAAGTTAGCCGAGGGCTTTAGGTAATTATTTCAAAGTTGATGATTCTGCAAAAAATGAAGAAATGAGCTTATGTTTGGGCAGGGACTTATTTGTGAATGAAGAGAGTAAGGTTCACGGTTAAAATTGAGACATCAATAGATATTTTTGAAAAGAGTTTCTTTTCAGATGACAAGGGATTAAAAATTGCTGTTTAGAAAGTGGCAGTTTGATTTGGTTTTATTGTATGAATATTTAGGGTTAATCCTGTTTTAGTATTTATAAAATATATAATTTCCAAAGTAGCTATAAAAGTAGGTTATATATCTAACAAATATTTTGTTTTGATGTAGTATAAATTATCTTTTCATACAATTTTGAAAAGAAATCAGAAAGCAAGGACAACTTTAACTTGTATTTATTTTCCAGTCTTTTAAACTATAACACCTGAATTTGTTTCAATTTTGATTTCAGGCTGGTGCTTGGCCCATAGGACAAAGTAACCTTCCACCATTTGCCATTCCCCAAGAGTTGGAACGCAGTGTCAGAATGGTAGGTGTGATGGTGTTGTAGAATGCAGAATAAGAATGGTAGCTGTCATGGTGTTGTAGAATGCAGTCTTAGGATGGAAGCTGTTATAATATTGTAGAATGCAGTGTTAGAATGGTAGGTGTGATAGTATTGTACAACACAGTGTTAGAATGGTAGGTGTGATAGTATTGTAGAATGCAGTATTAGAATGGTAGGTGTGATAGTATTGTAGAATACAGTGTTAGAATGGTAGGTGTGATAGTATTGTAGAATGCAGTGTTAGAATGGTAGGTGTGATAGTATTGTACAACACAGTATTAGAATGGTAGGTGTGATAGTATTGTACAACACAGTGCTAGAATGGTAGGTGTGAAAGTATTGTAGAATGCAGTATTAGAATGGTAGGTGTGATAGTATTGTAGAACACAGTGTTAGAATGGTAGGTGTGAAAGTATTGTAGAATGCAGTGTTAGAATGGTAGGTGTGATAGTATTGTACAACACAGTGCTAGAATGGTAGGTGTGAAAGTATTGTAGAATGCAGTATTAGAATGGTAGGTGTGATAGTATTGTACAACACAGTATTAGAATGGTAGGTGTGATAGTATTGTACAACACAGTGTTAGAATGGTAGGTGTGAAAGTATTGTAGAATGCAGTATTAGAATGGTAGGTGTGAAAGTATTGTAGAATGCAGTGTTAGAATGGTAGGTGTGAAAGTGTTGTAGAATGCAGTATTAGAATGGTAGGTGTGAAAGTATTGTAGAATGCAGTGTTAGAATGGTAGGTGTGAAAGTATTGTAGAATGCAGTGTTAGAATGGTAGGTGTGAAAGTGTTGTAGAATGCAGTATTAGAATGGTAGGTGTGAAAGTATTGTAGAATGCAGTATTAGAATGGTAGATGTGATAGTATTGTAGAATGCAGTATTAGAATGGTAGGTGTAATAGTATTGTACAACACAGTGTTAGAATGGTAGGTGTAATAGTATTGTAGAACACAGTGTTAGAATGGTAGGTGTGAAAGTATTGTAGAATACAGTGCTAGAATGGTAGGTGTGAAAGTGTTGTAGAATGCAGTATTAGAATGGTAGGTGTGAAAGTATTGTAGAATACAGTGCTAGAATGGTAGGTGTGATAGTATTGTAGAATGCAGTATTAGAATGGTAGGTGTGAAAGTATTGTAGAATGCAGTGTTAGAATGGTAGGTGTGAAAGTGTTGTAGAATGCAGTATTAGAATGGTAGGTGTGAAAGTATTGTAGAATGCAGTGTTAGAATGGTAGGTGTGATAGTATTGTAGAATACAGTGCTAGAATGGTAGGTATGATAGTATTGTAGAATGCAGTATTAGAATGGTAGGTGTGAAAGTATTGTAGAATGCAGTGTTAGAATGGTAGGTGTGAAAGTATTGTAGAATGCAGTGTTAGAATGGTAGGTGTGAAAGTATTGTAGAATGCTGTATTAGAATGATAGGTGTGAAAGTATTGTAGAATACAGTGCTAGAATGGTAGGTGTGATAGTATTGTAGAATGCAGTATTAGAATGGTAGGTGTGATAGTATTGTACAACACAGTGTTAGAATGGTAGGTGTGATGGTATTGTAGAACACAGTGTAGAATGGTAGGTGTGAAAGTATTGTAGAATGCAGTGTTAGAATGGTAGGTGTGATAGTATTGTAGAATGCAGTGTTAGAATGGTAGGTGTGATAGTATTGTACAACACAGTATTAGAATGGTAGGTGTGATAGTATTGTACAACACAGTGTTAGAATGGTAGGTGTGATAGTATTGTAGAATGCAGTGTTAGAATGGTAGGTGTGAAAGTATTGTAGAATGCAGTATTAGAATGGTAGGTGTGATAGTATTGTAGAATGCAGTATTAGAATGGTAGGTGTGAAAGTGTTGTAGAATTCAGTATTAGAATGGTAGGTGTGATAGTATTGTAAAAAACAATGAATTAGCTGTACAATTTACCTATTACATGGCTGGTATTGGATATCAATATGAAGATATCATCTCTGCTGTGTGATGCTTTTATTGGTCATTGATTCCTATGTCTTTATAGTGAAAAGTTTTGAGAATTGCCAAGACCTCTTATAACAATTTTCAGATTTAATTGAAATTTTGTAAACTCCTATAAACTACATTCAATTGGCTTTGGCTCATTTAGTCAGGTTCATAATCTTAGAATTTTTAATGTTCTCTTACTGAATAATTTTCCCTAATATGAGGAAGATTTGTTAAGATTAGTTTCTTAGACTAAAGCTATAGCATTTGACCATATTTGGTAGATGATTAGGTTTTAAAATGTTCATCTCTGATGCGGACAAAAGTAGGGATTTTTATTTACAATGGTACAGTTTAGGGTTGAAAATAATGGGGTTTTGATAATAAGCAAATATCTCTCATGTTCTTATTTTATAAACACCTTTGATGAACAATGTTATCTAAAACATAATCTAAACAGAGTATATCATAATTTGTTTTATGTATTTCTGTGTTTTAGAGACTAAGTTGATATGGATGTGTTAAAGCAGAGACACTTTATTCCACAGAATTCATGTTTATACTTGCATTTTTATTTCAGTTCGAGACATTCTATAATGGGAAATTTAGTGGTAGAAAATTGACATGGATGCATAATTTCTGTAGTGGTAAGTTAATATTTTAAAATTTCTCTGTTGATGATTTTCAAAAATTATGATTTCTAAATATAGATTTCACTCAATATGAAGATCAGAATGAATTACTAGTACTTTTTTATGGATAATATCTTGACTGTAAATGAATGTCACTATAATTGACTTGACAGATTACTGTATTATTTTACCCAGTTTTCTATGCATTGTGAGTCACAGGAAGGGGTAACTAGGCGTCGTTGACAGAGTAGATTTATAAATGTTTTGTTTTCTGTTACAGCGGAGTTAAAGTTTAACTACCTGAAGCGACCATTCATTGTGACAATGGGGACGTTCCATATGGCTATGTTACTTCTGTACAATACATGTGACAGGCTCACTTTCACAGAGCTTATGGAAAACACTAAGTTACCAGAGAAAGAGCTTGTCAAACAAGTTCAAGGGCTCGTCGACACCAAGCTCATAGTCGCTACGGTAACCATTAATTTATATTTTTAAATAAAAGAATTCAGAATTTCCTGTTATCTGTTCCATGTCATTTTAATCTGTTTTGAATGAATTCTGTTTTACATATAAACATTTAGTAGAAGAAAGTACAAATATGTACTAGTATTTCTTGGTTTCTTAAGCAATATGGTTCAAATCTGTCCAAAAAACCAAAGATTAACCAGTGGTACATGAAGATAAAAAATCCACCATAAATCAACATACATTTTACAATTCTAGTCTTAATACATTTCTGCAGATATGGCATTATATTTTTCAATTTATCAGTAGAATACAGAGTTTGATAATTATCTAAGGATTGACTTTAATGATATAATTTATGTTATTGAGGTATAACTAAATGAAGTGTACTCATGGCATAAACTGCTTTATGAACCTTATGCCAAGAGTACACTCCATTTTTTTACATTTATAATGGACTCCTTTCATCGATATTTCTTACCACATTTGCCAGTCAGTTATGTTGTTAAAAAATGACACAGGTTTTTGTTTTGCAGTGATAACATCAAAAAATTAATCAATGAAAAGGCTTAAATTATTTTCTAGGAAGAAATATATCATAGAAAATAAGCTGATGATGAAAGTTGAATATGAGAATATTTTATTAACAGGGAGACAAGGATGACCTATGTCGATGTTCCTTTAACCTTAATATGGAATACACAAACAAACGCACAAAATTCAAAATTGCCAGTTCAGGACAACGAGAGTCTCCACAGGTAAATCAGACTTTATTATTGAGCTCATAATGTGTGATACAGCCATTCAGACCTGAGTTAATCCATATCTATCATAAGGCCTCACAGTATAAAGAATGATATAAAGAAAATTCTTGCAAATAAAACATTTAAGATGTCAATACATTGTATCACGATTGCCTTGATGGAGATGTGAAGTTTTAAAACTAAAATCCTAATGATAATGTAATATAGTTAATAGTGGTAAGTCAGAGTTGATCAGAGAAAATGCTAAAAATAAACACATTTAATATTGATCAACCCAATATTATATAACAGTCAATATTACAAAGAAACTATTGTCTCCATCAACAGGAAGTAGAAAGTACACACAATGCTGTAGATGAGGACAGAAAGATGTATCTACAAGCAGCCATTGTCAGAATCATGAAGGCGAGAAAGATTCTAAAACACACCATGTTGATACAGGAGGTATGCATGTACCGTGATATGACTTATATAAAAACTAAATTTAAGTTGAACCTAAAACATCATTTCAAATATTGTAGTCCAGTTACTGAGAAGTATTGTGGGTTTTCTTATTGGAATATTAGTTACTTCCTTCTGCAAATTTCTGATGATCTGATGACAATTATATAGAAATCATGAAAGATTCTTAGAACTAATGAATTGTTGGTGTCTCTAATACTTACAATATTATTCACCTTACTTTGTATACTTTATATGACTCATAAAGTTAAGTGAGTTATTGACACAATCAATCATAATATGTTTATGTGGTGGAAATGGCAAGGCCGTGATAGGGTGTTTTTTCATCCAAGAACTTCCTTCATATGAAATTTTAATAAAAAGTTTCTATAAATGTTCTTATACTTGTTTTTCTGAACTGACTTCAGCTTAGGAATGTGACAAATTCTTTGGGAAGGTTATCGTTTCATTTACTTGATAATCAGTTTATATTCAAAGAGCATTTATAAATGTGCAGTTGTTTCTAGCTCACAGGCCCCAAAGGGCCGGTAAGATTTCATGTCATGGTGAGGCGTCTTTCATTCATCTGTCATCAGTCATCTGTCAATCTGGCATCAACCTTATCCCAAAAGGCCTAGAATCATGATATTTGGCTGGGAGGTTCCTGGGATGAATTCCATCAGAGTTTGCAAAGAGAAATAATCTTGAGTCATATTCAAAATCACAGGTCAAATTGATTTTTAGATTCATGATATTTATGTTAAAGGTTCCTGGAATGAAGTCTTTTTAAGTTTATCAAAGGAAATAAACTTTACCTACATTAAAGGTCACAGGGGTCATATTTATTAAAACGACTTTATTCATTATGAATGACTGTAGTGTTTAGTGTTAATGTATTGATGAAAAGCATTGAGAATTAGATTAGTGAGACAGGCCCAATCTGTTTTGTTATTTCTATATTTTTCCTACTTTTTTTCACATATATAAAATGATGATACACATTGTTTTACAAAATAATCATTTATTTGTTATCTTTCCACAGGTGATCAGCCAAGCCCGGGCACGGTTCACACCGAATATTCCTATGATAAAAAAGTGTATAGAAGCATTAATAGACAAACAGTATCTTGAACGGACTCCCAACTCGTCAGACGAGTATCGCTACGTAGCGTAGCATCACTTAGCAACATAGTGGGGAAAGGACAGTGGGTAGTACAATGTGATACTTGGAAAAGCTGTCTTCATGCTTTATAATCCTGTTTTCTGGAAATTAAGGACAGAATGCTGAAAGTAGTGATGTGATAATGTTTTAATGTGATTGGTGTCAAGTGTTGAAAGGTCTGGATGTAATCATGTTTCACAAATTTCCTCAGTCCATGTTGTGTAATACAAATAGGAGTTTACACCCATCTACTGGGGATTCAAAAAGCATTGAGAAAGAAGATCAAAATTTGTAACTTCTTATCACTAATTTCACTGATGAATTAACGAATAATGTGGAGAAAATCTTACACCATTTATCAGGTGATAGTTGATTTCTGCTCTGATTTGTTTGAAATGCTACTTGGATTCTAGAAAAGTCTCCAATGGATTTCTATTTGATATGCTGACAAATTTTGACAAAGGGTGTGTCATGCTTGTAACAAATAAACTGTATTTCTTGTATCTACTTTAACCTGCTTCAGAAAGAGGCAGTATTTGAAGTCCCCGTGATAACAGTATGATGACGTGACATAGTGGCGACCTGTTGTGGCTGTGACCTTGTGTAACATATACCCATATCAAGGTTGAGACCTTTAAACTGTTGCTGGAGTCATGACCTCTAACTTATATTAATTTTTGTACATGTATATGCATTTGAAATAAATGCCATTGTTACATTGACAATGACATCAAAAGATGGCTGTTGTTTGTGATCAGTTCACTGTATAATTCAGCCACTTGTTATCCTACAATAAGCAGATCAACTCATTGCTCAAATTACCATAAAATTCCTTTTAATCCGTCATAACTATAAGGTAATATGTTGGCTAGCTTGTGTTATAACAGAATAAACATGTTAAAACCAGTGTATTATTGAAATGGTTGGGGTGAGAGTCTTGATACTTAGGTTGATGACCAATGATATAGTAGTAACTTTCAATTTTGAGTTGAAAACTGTTTACCCTGTGGTAATGTAGAACAGTCTTATGCATTCACTGATGTGACAAGTTACATTAAACAACTGCAAAAGGAGCAGGTTTGGTGCGATTTGTGATGAGTGTTACATATGGTCTCTAGCACTTGGCTGTCAGAATGATGTGGCTTGTGCATAGAGTTAAATACTGGCTTATAACTTTGTACCTAATCCTGACACATTTTGTATATAAGATTAATTATTGATGCCCACATTGGGTTACTAGCCTTCGCATCTCACCAAAATTTCTCAATGAAGAATAACAATTGGAACTTTAAAACAAAAAAAATTCCAATAAAAGTGATGTTAAAAAATCCTACTTCTCTACTTTTGTTTGATTTTAATCTGTTGATCCCTGGACTAGTTGAAAGGATATATATGGTTCTATGCTCAATATACAATGTAATAATGGACACAAATTTACATCGCACAATTTAAAAAAAACAAATATGACTAATTACAAACTACTCTCAACATCTTGAATTAAATTCAAATTACTGTTTATACATTGAAACTCAACACAAATTTGTATACACATTGAAAACTCAACACAAATTTGTATACACATTGAAAACTCAAATAACTACACTTTGACCTTGACACAAATTCCTGTACACATTTAGTCAATAAATTGTTAATGAAACATGAGATACCTCAGAGGTGTCCCCCACAAAATATTGTTATCTCTTGATTATTATTTATACCACCTACTTAATGTTGATCTAACTGAAACTTCTGCTTACAATTATGACCTCCTTAGGTTAACAGTAATGTCACTGTTTCCATAAATAGAATTTACAACATCCTTGCTCTACATTCTTATCTATGCAGCAATTTTCAATCAGTTATTCAGAATTTGAGAGACAAAAGATTTGTTTGATCTGTAATTGGTTATGCTCCATTATCTCATCGGGTAAAATTTGAATAGATCTCTTGGTATAGTTCATATTGTTAACCAGGCATGAAAATTAACTTTTGTGACCTTGTCTTACTCTTTGACCTTCTGATTGTCCAAAATCAGGTCTAAATAATACATGATGTAAGACATGGTTTTATCGGAGGAAATTAAATTTTCAGTTCCGTTTTGAAATCAATCAATAAAAAGTCATCAAATTTGTTTAGAAATGTAATACACTCCACAAGACATTAAGAAAAACCTATACAGATAATCATATGTGTATAATGCGTCCTGGTAGTCCTTCCTGAATTATTCTCGAGAAGTACCAACAGGTTAGCACAAATTTTCATCACTTCTGTAACTGAATGATTTGTCACAGAAAATACCAGTTAAACTTGTGAACTGTTCTAATCTTTTAAAGGCCAGACTTTGATGGATCTGTATCTAAAATACACAAAAATATACCCTAAAAATGGAATTAGGAGCAACAATATGCAAAGGAAGCATTTATACTGAGATTCTGTAAAAGACAACTGGATAGTATAGTGTATCAAAATCCATGTAAAAGAAATTTGTCTTCGAATATTGATGAGTTTTCAAGTCATAAGAATATGATATAAAGAATTTTGTGCACATGCCATCATTCACCATTGCTCTACTGCATCTCGTTTAGTGTTCTGGGCCAACTCAACATCAGGATGATGTCTCATGAAAACAGATACAATCTGAAAGTCAAGAAGGGTTCATATAATACTGTGTTGAAATAATGTGTTTACAAGAGTATTTACTTTCAAATTGACTGAAATCATCATAACAGCAAGTCCAAAGAAAAAAATCAGACATAATATCTGACCTAGCAGTCTTGAACAATATTGTTTTCTGATATTTAAGCCCTGAATACAACTTGGACAACTTTAGGAATAAAAAAATGAGGTTCATGGCAATGTAATGTTATGATTTATTTCTAGTTACTACATACCAGCATTTGTCATATGATAAAACACTGGTTTAAATTATCAAATCTAATAATTTTGTTTTGAAAACTGCTCAAGTTTTGTTGAATTTACCAAAGCTTTTAATCAAATATTTCACTGAGTTGATTATGTTATATCATTGCTTTATAACCTTTGTTTTGATGATGTCTGGTTTATCTATATACTGATACTTGTTTCCATGTTTTACCATTGATTAAACGACTTACTAATCAAGAGGTTTTTTACTCTATAAATTCTTCCTAGAGTCACTTATATAGCCATTTAGTAAGTGGTGCTTCTTACAACATTATTTCACAAAGTAGTTAAAAATTGTATTGTTTTAACAGAGTTGAAGTTTTCTACACATAGGTGATGTATTGAATCAGGACATTATGTTAATGAGGGAGAAAGGTACAGGTGTTTGGTTAAATTTGTATCCTTTGTCATGTTATTGAGGAAAAATTGTTTTAAATTGTTTAGTACATTGTAGATTACAAAATCTAGAGTGAACAGTTTTAAAACGTACTATTGGGGAAACATTTGTATTTAAGTAGTTAAGATTTTAATCACTATAAATGTTATATGTGTAATTTGCTGTTTATTCTCTACTCTATGAATTAGTATCCGGTATGCCCTGTGGAAATATCATTTCTTATTTGTAGGTATACTGATAGGCTACAAAGCTCAACATAATAAAAGAAGTTGAATTTGAATACTGATAATGCTACGGAGGAATCTTTTTCTCAAGACTTTATTCGTATTGTTGATTGTGTGTAGTAAGATGACAAATGTCATTTGCCCATATTGTATTGTGTATTTACCAGGGTTACATACTCCCCCTCCAGGAAAGAACTCATCCTCGAGTTGTTACATATTCCCACTTTGGGAAATACCCCATCCTCAAGTTTCTATGGCTTACAGTAATGTTTGTGAAAGTAACGCTAAGTACAATGTATTATTCCAGAGTCCCAACATGGCTTACTAGTCTGACTGACGCTCAACCAATCGAGCTGAGGAGAAGCCCTCTCTCAGTGGTATATTACGGCCAGAATTTACCAAGGTTACATATAAGTGAGAGATAATGGCAAGTCCAGTAAATTAAGAATGGAATTTTTTTTCGTAAATATCACATGCAATGAAAATTCGTATTCTTTCTTAATCTTCTTGCTCCTTAAGTATTGGCTCTTGATCCAACCCTATCAACCCTCCATCCTTTCTGAACCTTGATCCTTGCCCTCTATGCATATTGAACCAGGATCCTAGGATTCCATCTTTATCAGCCCTTTGTGTCAAATCATATTGCAGTTAATTTGTGATCAATATGTAATATGTACCTATTTGTCCACTTGAGGGACACAGCATATATAGGCTTAAGCCTCTTGCTAACACCCATTGAATTTTTTTTTCAATAGATTCCTTGCGAAATGTAAGGGTGTGACTCCTCTCGTGTCAGCCCGCATTCTATTCTCTTATCATCCCTCTATAACCTTGTTTGTTTCCTATATAATTCAGACCTTTATCATCCCCCTATAACTTTGTTTGTTTCATATAATTTAGCCCTCGATCCCCAATGCGGTATCAACGCACTTCAGCAAGCGTAACGTCATTAGATTTCGCTCCAGCCCGATTTCTGTGTATTTTGACAGATACACTTTAATTCCATGCCAGTGCATTAACCAGGCACGGATAACAGCCCTCTGCATTATACGTCCCCGATTTTCCGTGTCTTGCATTTAGAGGATACTTATTACTGTCGTGTACCCATTAGGGAATGGTCTTTTCAAGATGGCGGACTTGGACGGCCACAAAATGCAGGTGGTCATTTCATGCTAAATAATCACTGGTTTATGAATACACTCTGACCGTGGCAACGCGAAGCTCAGAAATATTCGAAATTTGTATCACACTATCTGAATGGTGTTATGGACATATATCATTGTGAGCCCTTCGCAAAGTTAACCGAACGGTTGAATTCGGCATAGAGGCGAGACCTCTGATATTTTGCTCATATCGAAATATTTAAGCAATCTAAGGTTGATTTTCATTGTCAGAGACAATCTCCAATAACATTCGCTTTTAAGCGATATATTGTATCATCGCTCTATAATATTCACAAAAATCGAAAGAAAACTTATGTTTTTGTTACGGACCTCAGAAATATATAGCAAATTTGACAGAAAAAGTTACTTACAGATTGGTTCCAAAACCAGATCCATTTCGGCTATGGATTGGTCCTATCAATGACTGTAATGGGATTAAGAGTGAACTAGAAATACCTTAATAAAAAATGTGGTATCTCCCCTATTGTGAATTTTTCCTTTTCCAGATAGCAACACTCCTGTATCCTCAACCTATGGTGTTTATATGTCATAGTTGATTCGATATTCAAGAGCCTGTTCCTATTATCACGATGTAAAAATTACTTGTCCGGACCATAACTGGAAAATTTGGTACAAAAAAAAATAATATTAATAAATAAATAAAAAAAATAAATATAGATAAAAATATCGATGATCCCAAATGAGATAGATATCGGTCTTGACAGTAAAAATGTGACATTTGAAAAGTACAAATGTACGCTTTTCCCCAAGTTCCAAAGTTTCCGCTTAAAATAGACGCGATATTACGTCAGCTAGTTACAAAGAAATAAAGCCTCGTAATTTTTTCAATGTGTGAAAATACAGAAATAATCACAGTCTTCGCAAATCATAGGGCCAATTATAAGTCGGTCTCCCTCCCGACTGCATGGCCTTATATAGGCTTACACATATTCTTTTAGAAACGTGCATTTGTGTTCTCACCGACAAACGAGAGAAATTAATTTATTATAGGTAGCTATGGAATAGGAAATCGTATAATTGGAATGAATCAAATGCGTAAAACATATAACAGTTACGTCAATTGCTACATAGAATTATGAAATCGGCAAGAAATTCCGGGAGTTTTTACTTCGGTTCATCATACGTTTTTCAATGCAACGACACCTAATTTCCGTATACTGTACTCTCTGGAAGTCATTATCGCGCACTTCCACATTTTATGTCATTACGCAAGTAAAATTTTGACACCCTGTGTCTTATTGTCGAGGAATTCTTCTGTCGCAGGGTACTAAAGCGACATGTGAAACTCGTCTATTAAATGTAAATGGTACAATATTGTACCCAAGCTCGCGACATTGTCAATTGAAAAAAAAACGTCTCGCGATGCTCGGTATGGCAGAACTAACCTTAAACTGGTACTCTGGCTAATGTCTAACAGGGGTTTATATGGCTTTTGTGTTTTAGCACGATTTATTGACGATATGTTTTGCTCTTGTCTGTGTTCATAATTGTTTTCGAACAAGTGGACAATCCAAAGCAATGACTTTTGGCTGAAAAAATCTTTATCTATTTACCTATAGCATGTAAATTGTTTTCTCATATATATGTAGTTAGCATCCTTCAGTCGTTTCGACTATGGATTAGCGCTGTGATTGGTTGATGAGGAACATCTACGTCGGCAGCTGTAGAGACCGATTCTCAATCCACATGCTCTGTTACAGTCCTGGCATGTGAACATTTGTGGTTCCTGGTCACTGCTCGTAGTGCACTGACTGGCTTTTCTCCTTGCTCTTTTTATGGCTGTTCAGTTGCCGAAAGGCCAGTTCACCTTCCTTCAGGCCTTTGGCTACTCGCTGCTTCCAGACGGTTCCTGAGCTGGCTGAGTCTTCCCATGACCGAGGCTGAATGTTGCAAGCCTTCATGTCTCTCATGCAGGCATGCTTGAAGTGGAGGTGGGGACGACCCCTCTTTCTCGCACCTGTGGCAAGCTCACCTAGAGGAGGTCTTCAGGGATACGTCCGCTTCCATTCTGTGGACGTGTCCTAACCAACGTAAACGACGTTGGCACATCATGGTGAAGATGTATGGTAGACCAGCTTTGGCCAGAACATCGTTGTTTGATAACTTGTCTTGCAACACTATCCCGAGTATTCTGCGGAGGCACCGGAGGTGGAAGACTTGGAGCTTCTTTTCTTGGAAGAGTATGTCGTCCGGGGTTCGCTGCCGTAGAGGAGAGTGCTTAGAACGCAGGCCATGTAGACATTCATCTTTGTTTGAATTGTGAGGTGATTGTTGTTCCAGACCCTTTTGGAGAGTTAAGAGAGAGTGGACGAAGCTTTGCCTATGCGGTTGTTGATCTCCATATCTAGCGACAAGGTGTCCGATGTGGTAGAGCCGAGGTATTGGAAATGATGTACAACATCCAGTTCTTCTCCTTTCACTGTAAGAGTTGGTTCTGGTGTGTCTTGACTCATGACTTGGCTCTTCTTTTGGCTGATCGTGAGACCAAAGAGATCGCAGGAGTCGGAGAACCTCTGGAGTCCTGGTTGATGGTAGGAAACTATGGTAGCGTCGTCTGCAAACAGCATGTCTCTGATGAGGACTTTTCTGACTTTGGTTTTTGCTCTGAGTCTTGCAAAGTTGATAAGGCGGCCGTCTGACCTAGAGTGGAGGTACACACCATCTTCTGTGGTGTTGAATGCCTGTTTCAGCAAGGGGGCGAAGAAGATTCCAAAGAGGGCTCGTGCGAGAACGCAGCCCTGTTTAACTCCGCTTTAAACTTCAAACTCTGCTGATATGTCACCGGTGGGCACCCGATTTTTGGCAGCATCTTGAACAGACCATCGCGGCTGACTAATTCGAATGCTTTTTTTTCAGTTTTGGTTTACTTGGAATAGTCGATATATACAAAATGAAAATCACTTTTGCAAACATATGCAAACGTGTCCTTGTATTTATTCAAGAATTACGCAGCGCCTTAGATGCATCTTCCAAATATTATTTGTACAAGCATATTGCTGATACCTTTTGTACCCAGTTCTATCTGACAAAGCTAAATTTCTTTAAGTTAAAATATTATTGAGTCAATTTCATCCCACGAAGGCAGAGAGTATAAACACTGTGTAATAAAAAGGACGTATAAATGTATAATAACAATTATTTGATATTTGTCAATAACTCGTTAAATAGTACTTTATCGATATGTCACGGTGCTTTTTATGTATTGTTTCTATGTTGTCATTACTTCATGACGTCATATATATATATACCTGTAGTAACGTCATACAGTATTTCATCACGTAACTGATCTATTTATTTTACAACAATTGCGAAACAAGTTCTTTCAACTTATGCTATATCACTCTTGTCACGTAACTGACCCGTACTACATGTATTAGACATATATATATGTGTGTGTGTGTGTGTGTGTGTGTGTGTGTGTGTTTGTGTCTATTTGATTGGAATCGTCCTCCGCCATCTTGTACATTACATATATAAATTTTGATAATTACATATACAATCTACTTGTACCTATTAACTGTAACTGTATTATTGTATTTCGATATAATAAAACTTGAAACTTATCGGAGACTTGTACGTAATCGCTTCAGTTCACCTTTTTTCTGGAAATCTAATCGAATAGCACTTATACCCTTTATTGTCTCGTCCTACCTCTGTAAAATTCCTGAAAGTATCTTTAAGCACACTTAAAACAAAATCAAGAATGGTTGTTATAATCATGGCTGCATCGTACACTTGTCGTTTAAAGTGATTGTACATGTAAGTATTAACGTCAACATGGTATATACATTGTTCAATTCTTTAATAATGCTTTCATGATTCGTCGTTATTGTTATATTTACTGTAAGTGAATCTTAATGATTCATTGTTACACGTGCATTAATGCCGTGTTTACTTGTACAGCGTTGGGACTGTGAACTGAAATTATGTGCCATTTTCACCTAATTTTTTTTTTAAATTGAGATTGGCCAACAAAGATATATTAATGTGTTGGAAAGTTATTAGACTATACTTGATATTCAGAGGATTTAAGAGATTTATAAATCTTGCCTTTATTTCACACTGAAGTTGTCAAAACAATTATTTTGCTAAAAATTGTAAAGATTATGATGGAGATTCATGTGCGAGTTTTAACTAAAAAAAATCATCGAACATTTTTGAAATTTATATATCTGTAACGAAGAAATGTTAAATTTACTGACCAGAGGCATGCATATTGGATTTTATTTTTCTACAAAACGATATATTAATATTTTTCTGAAATGCCGCTATATAATCTATAGTTAAAAAAGGTTCACCTGGAGCGAGAAATCCGCGACGCGGTAGGTCATAAATAGCTGTATATAACAAAGGTTTAACCATCCATATTTATTGGATAGGTATTGGTAGATACGATATAGCGTCGTTCACGATGGAATGGTCAAGTCTAGCACACGGTAACGCGCTTTCAGAAACCATATAAAAAAGCATAGTGTGTCGGTGTTATTTCCCTTGATACGGATTTGGCTATTTGTACACGTGCGAATTATGAACAATTCTTTTATCAGCAATTTGTCGCGCATGTAGCCCGACCAGTTCTTCTTGCATATACATGTTTGTATACTGTATGCATCCGTGTATTGTATCGTATGGTGGGCAGGAGACTGCTGCAGACAGAAACGTCGTCCTCGATTCAAACACACCCGCGTACGTAACGCTTCGTTGCTGATATTGCGAAAATTATGCAGGGTCAAAGGTTGACATCCGGGGAATTATGATCCATTCTGGTCTCCATTGACCGGAGACGGCATTGTTTGGTTCATGTGTGCGGGAAAATATATTTGACCTAAAAATAATGTGAGAATTTCAGCAAAGCACCGTTATTTTGTTTGCGGAAAGTGGGATTTATTCAGAACAGTTCTGACAGTGTCTCCAAAGCAGAAGACATTCAGGTAAGAATTCTACTTTCACGCGAAGTCGATGATGTCATCCAATGTTGGGGATGCTGACGGGTTGCTGCAACTGCGAAGAGTCTGAGAGATGGGGCCCACAAAAGGGCATTCAGTCCGATAGGATATGTGACGTCCTTTCACCAATATTGAGAATGATTTTTTGTTGCAATTTTTCGGATGTTTTCTTAATTTCAAACGGTAACATTTGATTTTTTGCGCTGAAATTGAGTAATGTTTCTTAGCAGACGAAATACAATTTGTGTATTGGAAAATTAATCTAGACCGGGACTGTATATTGTGACAAGTGTCAAGCCGGTTGTGTCAGACATGGAATAAAACGCTTGCTAATGAAAATACTTGTATTTTAAATGAATTAATGTTATAGATGGAAAATTATGATTAATATCAGCCTGCAGTTACAATGAGAAGTATTCTAAAATTATTAATTGACGATTTTAGGATAAAATCGCCTAATTTTAAGGTGTCATTTCTCCTTAATGTACCCAATTTCACAGTTACATTGGCAGAACTCCAAAAAATAAAGTGTGAATGTCTGCATGGAAAATTGCATGCTGGATTTCGAGATGAAACTTTCACACATCGATTGAAATCATCCGTTTGATCTTAAACAGAAGTCACAAATCTTAAACAAAAATCCACACTATTATTGCTTTTATTTTGTTTTAATGTCAGAAATTTAGGACAATATGGTTATTTTTAACTGAGGTATTGCTGTTCTAGTTTGTATGATTTTTCAGCTTTTATGTTACTTAGTCCTGACACCTGGTGTAGATCTAATTCAGTGAGGCATTACAAGTCATCAGTTACATGTGTTGTACACATATGAAACAAATTAGATGGTATAAACAGGAGGATACATAAAGTTGTGTTTCAAGTAAAACTCTTCTGGAGTCTCTCTGACATTTCTATAGGTAGACTTCTGGTTTAATTTGAATGAGGTTAACCATTCTGTAGCAATTATATACTCGATGGTTATTTTTCCAAGAATAATTTTTAGGCATAATGATACTCCTCCAAGATTAAGATATAAGGTATGAATGTTTTGGATCATATGGGTGACGGTATTTATTTTTCATACACTCGCCTACCACTTGTGAATTCTAAATCATCATCAGCAGTGGTTTACCACTAAAAATATGCACCTTTAAATTATGATACAGTTGCAGTTTAGATATTTGTTTTGACCAATAAGTTGGCTAATTGGCTAATAAGTAAAAATCATGTGTATATATTTTACTTCATTTGTCCGATGTTCCATTAACAGATTTTTATTCACTTTTTTTAACCTTAATGACCTTTCATGTGTCAATGGCCCATTAAGAACATAATAAAATCAAACGAATTTCATGTAGTTTACAGTAAATATTCGAAAACATTTGATCTGTATATTTCCTACTATATGCCTAGGGGGCCAACATACAAAGTTTCACTCAAAGGAAATTAACATATTACAGGACATTGTAATAGTATTGGTATTGAATTTCATTGAACAGAGATAGATATTAGGGTGAACATATTATCTAATTTTAGATTCTATTGTAAGGAATGTATTAATCTGTGTTTCTGTATATTGAAATTACAGCAGACAGAATATAAATGTTTTTGGAACATATTGCCACACACTTCATCATATCTGCTGGCCCCCTTGAAAAAAATAAAAAAAATAAAATTGTATCTTGGAAATGACATTTTCTGACAGGTTTATATTTACATGGGTGTATATTTGTTATTTGAGTAAGAGAATACGTTTGTTGGCTGCCTTTGCTTATTGCAAAAACAATATGATAGACAAAAAGTAGATATTGTGTATATATTGTAACATATCAAATGCAAAGTTTCAGTTTTTTGGTCTCTGGAATTTCTTGGGCTGTCATCCAATGCATTTATCACATAAAACTTCTAGTATCTGTAGATAGATAGAACTAAGTTATTAAAGGTGATTGAAGTGCAAATGAATAACAAAGAACTCTTTCTGTTTATGTCAGCTTAGCATGTACCAATGTTCTAAGGTAGAATTTCAATGTCCCCCGTACCAAATTGATCCTTTCAGGGAAATACCCAATGCACTGTTCAAAGGATAGTAGCTCTGACTGGTGGTGTACCAATTTTATTTTCTTCTCTGAATGCTTCCCATTGCAGGCTTTGCCAATGTTACAATTCGTCATCGTGGCATGACGAAGAGAGAGATAACGGACCAGGGATTTCCATAAAACTCCCTCCGGGCTCTGGAACATGGTCCCCAATTGTCATTACAAATGGCAGTTATTATTTCAATAACTAATAAAAGATAGTTTCTGGTATTGTATTACAAGGTTTTTTTTTTATCTAATATACATTACTTTCATATGATGATCAAATTTGGAATATTTCTTTAGGAAGATTCCTGAATTATATGCTTTAGAAAATCAGGGAAATCAAATCTGAATCATAGTGATCCAATATGTCTGATTTTATTCATAATTGAATAAATAATTCATCAAAGTTTGTTTATGACTCACACTGGTGGTAGTGTGACATTGTCAATATTGTATAAATCAAACTAGAATTGATGAATATTTAATGTTCTCACCTTGTCTCGGTACCTTATAGATTTATCACTAGGAGGCTGTGACTGGCTCTCGGACTCTTCATTATAGCAACATACCTATCATCTGAGGTGAAATATATGTATTTATTTATTTATTGTGCTGAGAAATATATCCATAAAATATTTAAAAAATTGCAAATGGAATGTTTGTGTTTGCAACATCAGATCTCTTTAGGTTAGGTGTGCAGTTTCACCAGTCAGAGTAGGAGCTATCATATAGTGTAACATTTTTCAATAACTCTCTCAGTCTGATAAAATTTTGTGTTTGGAAAAGTAGATCTCATATCAAGAGTTGTCCATAGTGAAAAGTTGGTTAAATCTTTACAATTTTTTTTAAAGAATTGACCACCTAGAGAATTATTATCTATAACCCATATGACATTCCACAAAAAATAAATTCTTTGATTGTGTAGAAAACATTTCCATCACTTACAACATGTCTTAATGTGTTCAAATTATTCCTGGTTAATTTTAAATGGATGACCCCTGTAGTCTGAGTGACCTAGAGGGAGGAATGGTTATGTATGTTACAGTGTCAAAATAAACCGTTGATACACCACTATAAGTCAAACATGTGTTTCTCATCGCATGAAAAGTGTATGTGTCAGTACAGTTAGATTATGGAGAACATTTTGAAGGTGGTACCAGTGAGGATGTTGAAAATATCCATTTAACAAGGATCAGAGGCCGATGTATTGCTAAGTGAATAAAATACAGCTCCATATAACCGAAGGGTGCACGTTCAAATTTCACCACAAACATTTTGCCAAGTAAAGTGATTATTTTTATATTTAGCTCTTTGCAAGAAGCTAGTAAGTATGAATAAACTGGACAAATAAGAAATCTTTGTTGGAGATTCAACAAAAAGTACAAAACTTTTAAGTCAGTTTACCACACCAAGTACATGTAAGTTGGTAGTTGAATCAGTGCCATTTGATATAGTTTTATTTGATATTTCAGAAACTTCATTTTTTTCTTTAATTTGAAGTAACAAGCAAATGGTATCATATCTTTGATCAGTTCTGCATGTGTAATGTGTGTGAATACCATAAAGGGCAACAAATTGGTTGTCAATGCAAGTACTACAAAAGCTTTTTGGAGGTATATATTATGTATTGCAGAGAAAGGTCTGAGCTTTTTATTGAATGTTGAAGAAGACAAAAAGATCCAGAGATTGGAAGACATGATGTATTTCATGAAAGCATTGTATTAAGATATGAGCATGGCTTCTTTACATGAAATAACTTCAGCTTTCACATAGTTTACCTCACAGCTATCAGTTATCGACACTATTTACATTTGATTACACTAATAAAGTTAGATCATACGACATAGCTGTGTTTTATTGCATTGCCAGCAGCTCATTGGAAAGGGGTATGGTTCAATATCATTGCAAGTATCACGGAAAAAAAACATTAACACAATATCTAACAAAAAGTATTGAACAACAATTATTTTGATTGATAGAGCTCTTTCCTACTGTATGATAAAAAATATGTAAACAAGAGTCAACTGGCTTTACTACAGGGTAGCCTTCGCTACAAAAAATCTATAAAATCTGATGTTTAGATTGGTTGGCGTTTTAATCTAATTGCCCTAGTCTTGGATGTCCAATATCATATGCGTGGTATAGCAGGCAGACAAATTTGGGAAAATTCTAGTCATTGTAGATTTTCATAGTGTTAATATTTATCTGGCAATAAACCTATTCCTTTATGTATGGCAGTTAGTTTATTTACATATATTCCTAATTGTTCTTCTATCCGTTTACCAAGAAATACTAACTAGTTGTCTTAAAATAAGCAAAATCTCTGTACTCGAGTTAGAGGTAGGTAATGTATGTTGGCAAACTGGGCTTTGCAGGATAAATATGATAATCTGAAAATAAGATCTACTAGCATCATAAGGTTTAAGATTTAATATCACTTCTAAATAATAAACCAGCTTATCTGTCATATATAAAGTAAAGAATTTATGAATTAAGGTTTTTTTGAGTATTAATTTTTTTTTCTTTTTTAATTTATACATAATCGTTTAAACTTGACATTACTATACCATAAGCTATACTATACAAAACATGAAAAAGTACCAGGTGACACTACTTAAACAGCAATGTTTATGATTGGAAGAGTAATATGGTAGTCTTGAAACAACATCAATTTGTACAAAATTAGAGATGAATAAAGCAAAGGGAGGTAACTCAGTATGCAATACAAATTGTGTCCCCTACCTGCATCATTATGTAATGTCTAGAACCCCAAGAATAGTGTAATAACTACAAATGCTTTCATGATACCTAATGGTAGAAGCTCTAGAAGCTCACTATAAAGATAATATAACTTGCCTAGACTTGATAACTGTGATACATGCAGGGCTGTCACACCCCATTTTG